TTATTTATATATTTCCCTCTAGTGCTCGTGGATCAGAGGCTCACAGACTCGAATCCATCTATGTTGTACTTGTAGGTCATCAAAGATGTATTATTCAACTCACTGCCTCAGTCCAACAACAAATCTCCTCACGACTCGTCTGATACAGAGCCTATGATTACATGTTGAAGTTTCTCTTCTTTTGGTCTCTAGTTTTGGATTTGAACCATCGTTTGTTGTTATGTAGTTGTCATTTCATTTTTTTGTTCCCTGTTGTGTAAAAAGTTTAAGGCAAATGAGAATGATGAACATACAGAAGAAAAGTTTAAGCCAATCGTAGCCGTTGTTATTGATCCCACAAGAACTGTTTCAGCTAAACAAGAATAATAGGTAATGTATTTTTAATGAAATCGTCTTCCATAACCTTACCAATGAAACTGGGAAGCTCATTCTAAATTAGATCAAGCACTTTGGCGGTTATGTAAGAACGAATTTAAATGGAATACATAAAATTGGGGTAAGGAATCGTCGACATGGTTTTGATATTATTTGAGAATAAAGACATAAAAGATGAAACCAGAAAGAAAGCAATAATTTAAGACTTACAAAAAAACACAACAAAAGTGGGTGTTTTTCTACCGTACGCCTCTCTCTCTCTCTCTCTCTCTCGAAGCTTTTTTTTTCAGCTACAGAGAAATGGCGCTGAGAGTCGGAGGATTGAAAAGAGTGAAACTTTCTTCTGCAACTCCAGATTTTCCCATAGTTTATCGTTTGGATGGAGTACGTATACATCGACGTTACTCTTTCTTGAGAAATTGTTCTTCTAATCGAAAGCCAAGACTACGAATTGTTGCCCAGAAGAAATGGAAATTAAACGATATCGACCCAAGTAAGACCTTCTTCTTCGAATCCGGATTCTCTTATGGCTTCTAGAAGTTGTGTACGAATCTTTGGAACATAACTCAGCAACAGCTGCTTGGATTTTATTAAGTATGTTTTTTTTTTTGTTTTTTAAATTGGGTGTTCTGCTATGACAGATGCGGTGCAAGAACGATTTAGTAGGTGGGTGTCTAAATCTCAGAAAATATTGAGTGATGTAACCTCTCCGTTGAAGAAAAAGGGTCAGAGTCTTAAGGTTGAGCTTGAGGATCAGCAAGATGTTGAAGACTTGGAGGAACTTCTTACAGTTGAACAAACAGTTCGAAGTGATACACCAAAAGGATCTCTTTCTTTTGATGCTATTATCTCCATCGAGCAGTTTAGTAGGTGAGAACCAATTTTAAACAAAAACAGAATCATTGAATCATCCTGACTTGTTGTTGCTGTGAAAGTATTCATTTTTCTTTGACCCTTTTAAAAGCAGGATGAATGGGATAACTGGGAAGAAAATGCAAGATATATTTGATACACTTGTTCCTCCAGCTTTATCTACCGATGCACGAAACCTGGTGGAATATTGCTGTTTCAGGTTTTTATCGAGGGACAGTTCGGAATTTCATCCGTCTCTCAAGGTATCTGGATGCTTTACATGATTTCTCTTTAGTTCCAATAATGTCAACATTGACGTTTCTTAAATCTTTTGTTGGTTTCTGAACCGTTGAAACATTTTTCTTTGTAGGAACCTGCATTCCAGAGACTAATTTTCATCACAATGCTTGCGTGGGCTAATCCATACTGCAAAGAAAGAAATGCACGCAATGATGTCTCAGAGAGACCTTCGTTTCAGGTATTTCACAGACGTGGTAATAAGCAAAGTTTGTGAATTCAGAGAGAATTCTGCTCTTTGGGAAACTATTATTGAATTGCTGATGAAAGGTTACTGGTGTTGAAGGGACGTTTTGTTGGGGAAGAGGCATTTGTTCGTATTGCTCCAGCAATTTCAGGCTTGGCTGATAGGGCTACTGTACATAACCTTTTCAAAGCTCTAAGTGCTGCCACTAATCAAAAAGGCATTTCTTTGGAGATCTGGCTAGCTTACATCCAGGAACTTGTCAAGTGAGTATGACATTTGCATTAATAACTTAACTTTTTGCATAAATAAACATGATCCCAACGTTGTTTTCCTAGCTGAGTATCTTTCCTTTGTCAGAACAGAATACACGAAGGACGGAAGTCACACCAGACTACAGACCTTCGGCAGTTGTCATCGGAGAGACTATTATGCATGGCCGCTAACAGGAAAGGACCTGTTTTAAAGTGGGAGAATAACGTTGCATGGCCTGGAAAACTTACTTTAACTGATAAAGCTCTCTATTTTGAGGTACTTGTAGTTCTTTATTTTCTAAGTCCCTCGGGAGGGAGTCAGCGAACACTATTTTCTATTTGCTTTAAGAAATGAAGAACACTTCAATTTTACATATACTGCATAGATATGTATTGTAGCTAAAACTTGTTGTTTAATTTTGAAGTTTGTGAACCCATGTCTTATTGGCTTGTTCTTTTAGTGTTGAAATGAGAACCCTTCTCATGGAAATGTTCTTTTTGTTTCAAGGTGTTTTAATTGTTTTCATTTTCAGCCAGTTGACATAAAGGGAAGCAAAGGGGTCTTGAGACTTGATCTCGCAGGGGACAAGTCAACCGTGGAGAAAGCAAAAGTGGGGCCTTTGGGGTTTTCTCTCTTTGATTCTGCAGTTTCTGTTTCGTCCGGCTCTGGGTGAGTTCATATATTCATGTAACTGATGTTGTTCTGAGGCCTCTCTTATGGTACCATATGTCTGGATGGTCGTTTACCTATATGCTAACCTGTAAAATGTTCATTTAGGTTGGCCACTTGGGTTCTGGAGTTCGTTGACCTTGGAGGTGAACTTAGACGAGATGTTTGGCATGCAATTATTAGTGAAGTTATAGCTTTGCACACATTTCTACGAGAATTTGGGCCGGAAGAGGATGATGAATCGTTGTATCAGGTGTTTGGTGCAAAGAAGGGTAAGGAAAAGGCAATTGCAAGTGCATCTAACTGTATTGCAAGACTTCAAGCTCTTCAATATATGCGGAATTTGCCAGATGATCCTATCAAACTAGTTCAGTTCTCTTTTCTTCAACAAGTAGCCTATGGTGATATCGTGTGTCAAACTTTAGCTGTAAATTTTTGGGGTGGACCACTATTGACAAAAGTTGCAGACACTTACAGACAAGGTAATATAGCCAGGGCTTCCAGAGAGTCCTATGAAAGTTTTGATAACGTGTCTGATCTAGATGGAAGTGTCTACTTGAAAAGGTGGATGAGATCTCCATCCTGGGGTTCAACAGCATCCATCAACTTTTGGAAAAACTCTTCTCTAAGACAAGGCTTAGTTCTAAGCAAATACCTTGCAGTTGCTGATCTGACACTTGTTGAGAGAGCAGCAGAAACATGTAGACAGAAATATAAGGTGGTAGAAAAAACTCAAGCCACTATCGATGCTGCAACCATCAAAGGAATACCTAGTAACATTGATCTCTTTAAGGTAACACTTTTCTCCTTTAATATACAAACATTGTTTCGGAGGATTTCCTAATTCTACATTTTTGTGTGCAATACACTCGGGTTTGTTGTAACTTTTCATTACCCTGCAAATTGTTTTACAAAAGTAATATTAGTAGAGACCGTAGTGACAAAATGTTGTCCTCCTACTCTTATTTTCTCTGCCAGGAACTCATTCTACCATTGAGTATAACTGCCGCAAAGATTGAGAAACTCAGGCGCTGGGAGGAGCCTTACATGACAGTCTCTTTTCTAGCATTTGCATCAACGATAATTTTCAGGTTGGTTCAACCTAGACATGTGATACTGTGATACCTTGTACCTCATGCACGTTGCATTCAGAATGATCCTTAGGTTTAAGACTAGTAGTTGCATGCCGAGAAGTCATATTATCACTGCTACTTTAAGTTGGATATTGTTATATCCTTTTGCTGCTTAGTAATGATCTAATACCACTGAGGATACTTTTTTCTGCGCCTCAGGAACCTTTTGCAGTACGTTTTTCCTGTGTCGTTAATATTTTTGGCAACTGGGATGCTTACGTTGAAGGGGCTCAGACGACAAGGTCGTCTTGGAAGACTGTTTGGAATAATTACCATTCGAGATCAGCCGTCTTCGAATACTATTCAAAAAATTATTGCTGTCAAAGACGCCATGCAAGATCTGGAGAGCTACCTCCAAAAGGTGAATGTAGTGCTTCTAAAACTACGGACAATTGTACTCTCTGGTCATCCTCAGGTATTTTCCATTTACTGGATCAAGTTTTAGAGCGTTTTTATTGACATGCCTTCTTCTCTCTCTTACTAAGTAATTTTGGAATTGGTACAAGAATCATCTTGATTTTTTAGCATTGGTAGTGGTCGTGATTAGCTAAATTTTTATGTGGTGTTTACATGATTTGAATATTTTCTCAGATAACTACTGAGGTAGCACTAGCTTTGCTATCCATTGCGACGGTTCTAGTCATTGTCCCTTTCAAGTACGTTCTGGCTTTTGTTCTCTACGATCAATTTACTCGGGAGCTTGAGTTCCGTAAACAAATGGTCAGGAAATTTAATGCTTTCTTACGAGAACGTTGGGAGATGGTACCAGCAGCCCCTGTGATCGTTTTACCGTTTGTAAATGAAGAGTCTACACCAGCAACTCAGGAAAACAAGCAGCTCAGAAAACAAACACAGAAGGGTGATTGATAAAAAGTGCCAAATTTGTATAATCTAGTGGCATGTGCATGTTTTAGATACACTAGAAGTAGATGCTGAAGAAGGAACAATCCTAGGAGGAACAAATATAAATGTAGTTAACAATAATTATTATTAAATGTATATGAGCACATAGCCCTATAGATGTTAGTTATTTGTTTATCTCTCATTTCATTACAAAACTAATGTCCAACAAGTAAAATATTATTCTCACATTTCTTACTCTTGATCTCCAAAATTTGTCAGCCTTTGGAGATTTACTATGATTGGCGTGGCAACTCTATCCTTTGTGGTCTCTCAGATAATCTCGTGCTCACTATTTTCTTGATCTTTATCCGAGGAGAGTGAGAAACTCCGTCATGGTCATGTCTCCTTGCGTAAATTTTTAGTCTCTTCTTAAATGAAATCAAGCATGATGCAAGCTTTTTTGACTCGCTGACATGCAAGCAGCCGAAATGTGTGAGAGAGAGCCGTTACAAATTGAATCAGAAATTCCGGAAGATAACTCCTTTGAGTCACATGCAGCATGTTTTTCTTAGGGCCTTTATATAAGAGTATTCCCATATTCACAAGCTCATTACCATAAACACAAACGGACAGAAGATGAAAGACCATATTGGAGGATATGTGTTGATACTTGCCGTGATGGCGTCTGTTATATCACATCAGCCTGAGTTGGTGACCGGGCAAGCTAGAGTTCCGGCTATGTTTGTACTTGGAGACTCCTTGGTCGATTCTGGGAACAACAACTTTCTACAAACTGTAGCTCGAGCCAACTACCTCCCTTATGGCATCGACTTGAACTTCCGTCCTACTGGCAGGTTTAGCAACGGCTTGACTTTCATTGATCTGCTAGGTAAGATTTCAGACACTTGAAGGAAGTTTATTTGGTCAAGATCCATCAGGCTGTTTTGGTACTCTCTTTACTTACTTAAAAACACCAATAATTCTGTAAAAACAGCTCAGTTGTTAGGAATTCCACCGCCTCCTGCCTTTGCGGATCCAACTACAGCAGGCTATAGAATCCTCCAAGGAGTTAATCACGCGTCAGCAGCTGCTGGCATCCTCGATGAATCAGGCTACAACTATGTACCTTTTTTATGTTTATTTGTTTTGTTTTGTGTCGTCTCTTTTAGTTAAAAGAGATTATAGTGTTAATGGATTGTGGTGTGCAGGGGGCAAGATACAGCCTGAGCCAGCAAATGGTAAATCTAGAGACTACACTGAGCCAAATAAGAACAATGATGAGCCCTCAAAACTTTACTGATTACTTGGCAAGATCGCTTGTGGTTCTAGTTTTTGGAAGCAATGACTATATCAACAACTACCTTATGCCTAATTTCTACTCCTCCAGCTTGAGATTCAGACCGCCTGATTTTGCCAATCTACTTCTCAGTCAATACGCTCGCCAGCTTCTTGTATGTTACGTCAAATCTTCATATTGTATTATACTTTAATCAATTTTTCTAATAATCTTTTGAATCTGTGTAGACGCTGTACCGCCTAGGTCTAAGAAAAATATTTATACCTGGAGTAGCACCACTAGGCTGCATACCAAACCAACGAGCCACCGGCGCTGCACCACCTGGGAGATGCGTTGACAGTGTAAATCAGATTCTAGGCACATTTAACCAAGGCCTAAAGTCACTTGTTGACCAGCTGAACCAGCGATCACCTGGAGCCATCTATGTATATGGTAACACATATAGCGCAATCGGTGACATCTTAAACAACCCAGCTGCTTACGGTAAACCTCTCCTCTTCGATTATATGGCTGTTAAAATGGAGTTTCTTCTATGCTTTCTACTCTGATCAAACAGGGTTTTTATGGTACAGGATTCAGCGTAGTGGACAGGGCTTGTTGCGGGATTGGGAGGAACCAAGGGCAGATCACATGTCTACCAATGCAAACTCCTTGCCCTAACAGGAATCAGTACGTCTTTTGGGATGCATTCCATCCGACTCAGACTGCTAACTCCATTCTGGCTAGAAGAGCTTTCTATGGCCCTCCTTCCGACGCATACCCTGTCAATGTCCAACAGATGACACTCCTTCGCTAGTTTCTTTTTTTTTATTGTGCTCCTCGTTCTTGAAGTTTGGATGTTATGATAGTTGAATCTGTCTCAGTAAAAAACTGATATCAAAATGCTTTTAATGAAAAAAGGGCAGAAGCCCTATGATTAGAAGTCTTAGAGAGGACATGTCCGATTCAAAAACAGAGCATGCCGAGTTTCGTGTGCATCAAATTCCAGAAAAATTAACACATGCATTGCCAATTTACTCCGTTCCTACTTCCTACTACGCCATCAGTTCATTTATCCCACTCCTGCTCTAACTGCTGTGGATCAGTATTTCCATGTGAAGTAGTCCTCTGCGTTCCAGTACCATCTTGATCTGTTAACCGATCCCAACCCATGAGGTGTGGAAGGACAAACTGCACAAAGTACAAAATCTTGTTAAGAGACAATCACAAGATCCTTTCCTTAAAGAATATATACTTGATCCAGATTCATATGCTAAACTTGACAGAATAGCAATGCTCTTTGTTCTTCCCGTCAATGATTTTGGTTCTCGAACTGATATAATAGTAATAGAGGAAAAGTAGAATTAAAATTCTTATCTTACACTGAAAGCTGTTTTCATCACTGTAAATTCAGCTGTTGTGACAGGAACCACAATACGGTCATTGGTTTTGAGGATGCTATTGATAACGCCTGCATCAAACCGCACAAGCTAAGTTTATACAGCATTCCTATTATTATAAAGAAAGCTATTCCGTGCAAAAAAAACTGTTATCGCCTTATTACAAAGCTAATTCAAGTGCAAGCTTCTTAATTTACTAAACAGAAAGCTCCCATAACTAGCTATTTCAGTAGGATACAGACTGATGATTTATCACTAGTTGCTCAATTGATAGATAAAAGCCTTACCCAATGAGATGAAGTAGCCGCTACCATCTGCGTGGGGCTTAATTGACAATGACTTCCTGACTTGACCAGCATTACTGAAGAGTCAAAGACGCGTATGTCAGAAGATGAAAATGCTGCGTTAAAAAGGCAACTGTCTGCAAAAATTCAGCAGTAAAATCATGTATTAAAGCCAAAAATAAAAAAAACCTTGATTTCATGGAAGGGTCATGGAAAAACTCAGAGCTGTCTTTGGATCCCATGCTAATCAAGGATCCAACCTCCGTAGGTGACAGAGCAAATTTCTGCAACAATGTAGCAAAAAAAAATCAAGTTTTTAGACAAGAAAGAACATTAGTGAAGATAACGGAGAGAGGGAGCAAAAGATCAAAACCTGTTTCTTTTCCCAATCGTACTTACGCTCACCACTAGCAGGCATAAAAGTCATCATCAAGGATCCACGACGGTCTAGCCGAAGATTTCCTGACTAAAAATTGTCCCCACAGTAAGTAAGTAATGAGAATCTAAAAGCCTTAAGAAACACTCACAAAACTAAATAAGAACTGGTTTGGTTTTGGCATACATCGATTTCGGTGAAAGTGGGGAGAACAGGTTCAACAGAGAGAGCAGCTTTCCCCTTGAAAATAGCATAAGGTGCGAACACTCGACCACTAGGCTTTGCAGCTTCTTCTGAATTAAGCAAGCAAATTAGGGCAACCACAAATCTACAGCCAAATGGAACAAACCAAAGTTCTTACCTTTACCGGAGAAACCACTTCCAGTTGACCAGCTCGCAAAACCACGCAACGTTGAAGCTCCATCAAAGAGTGACTTACTTTGGTCACAAAGGCTCCTGCTTTGAGAGAAAAACAAACAACCCCAGATAAGCCATGTGAGAGAAATGGGTTCCAAAATCAAAATTTCATGAGTAGAAAACGAGGAACTAGGGTAACCTGGAGAGCAAAGTGCGAGCTTGCTTCATCATCTTCTACACAATTCCGAGAGAAACCACTCAACCAGTACAAGCGTCTCTTGGGGGTTTCTCTAAGGTTTTATTTTATGGTTGATCAAAACGGGTTTTACCCAACCCGTTTAAAACGGGCGACCCACCATAATTTAACCCATTCTCATATATTGTAGTCTTTTAACGGCCCATTGGGCTTTTATTGTTGAATGGGAAAATCAAAATCAGATTTAGAGAAGACGAATCTGGGAAAGCTGAAGCTAAAGAAGTGAAGAAGAAGAAGAAGAAGAAGAAGAAGAAGAAGGAGAAGACTCTAATGGCGGACTCATACTGATTTAAGAGACTCAAAAGGTAGATCTTTCGGGCAGTCTGATATCGTTTCCCTCATAGTTCAAACATCGTTCTAATCTTAAGATCTTACGAAAGTTTTCACTGTAAATTATTTGGATAAGTTGAGAGATCGGGCATTCTTGTTACATCAGCACGATGTCTGACATTTCCATTAACGCATTGGTAAGCTTGCACATCGTTTTTTTATCCGTTATCTTCGCGCCTGTTCGTGGATCCTGTATGATTGTCGAAGTTTGCGTCTAATTCGCTTTGTTCTTCTATCTAAATTTTTGAAGGGCCAAGCAATGGGTGACTTTAGTAATCATGAGAAAAATGGATTTGATTTAGGAGCATTTGTCGGAGACTTGGCTTTTGAAGAAGATTCAGGCAGGTAACGTTCTAATGGTTTTTTTCTGTTTACCTTAACGTTCTGCTTCTCTTCATTGTTCTGATTAGAATAATCTCATTTGATTTCATCTCACTTGATCATATTGGCGTTACCCTTTTCAATTTTGATTTGTTGGGCAGTGAGGATATATCATTGGAAGGGCTTCAACAAGAACTAGAAGAATGTGCAAGTGATGAGGTTAGCTATTCACTGAACTGAGATCAAAAATTTTAAAGCTGAAAATAAGAATGTGGATTAGTCATAGACGGTTAGATCCATGGATATGATGTGCTATCTATCTTGTTTGTGTGTCAGCTCAGGTTGTATCCAATATACTATCCAGTGGTGCCAAACTTAGAGACTATGCAAAAGGGGTAGAAAACAATCTCCGGAAGGTTGAATTGGATTCAATTGAGGTTGCTATTTTCTCTTACCTCTCATACAATGTGGCACTTATTTTCTACTTATCATGTAACATATTTTTTCCATCTCCAAGTTTGGGATTTTTTTCAACATCGTGAGTAGCTTTCTTAAATGGTGTACCTTCCATGAATACCCAGGATTACATTAAAGAAAGTGATAATCTAGTTTCACTTCACGATCAGATTCGTGACTGTGACAGCATCCTGTCACAAATGGAAACTCTCCTCAGTGGATTTCAGGTATTTGAAAATTAGACATTTTTAGTTTGTGTGTGTATGATCTTCTTTCTAGGACTTTGAAACACATATCTATATTTTCCTTGTAATCTAAATTTGCAATTTGCTTCTTTTCTTTCAGGAAGAGATTGGTTCTATAAGTTCAGACATAAAGATTCTTCAAGAAAAGTCAATGGACATGGGTTTGCGATTGAAAAACCGCAGGGTATAGCCAATTGGTAACTGCTATTAGTGTTATCTCTTGCTGCTTCCACCCGTGACTCATCCAAATGAGCTCTTCTAATTGAACAGGTGGCTGAGTCAAAGCTAGCAAAATTTGTTGAAGACATTATAGTGCCACCAAAGATGATCGATGTAATTGTTGATGGAGAGGTATTTTTCAAATTCCTGGTTTTATGTTGCGTTCGTATTGTTCAAGATTTGTAGGATCTCTTCATGTTGTGAACTTGTCTACTGTTTCTGATACTGTAAGAATTAGTGATTTGGTGCATATGCTGTACTATGGCAAACATAGGAGAAATAGAAAAACAACATGTTCTGGTAAAGCTTTTGTATATGCTGCCACTATGTGCAATACTAGTAGAACTAAAATTTATTAATTTATCTTCATTTAGTTTTCTTATACAACGTAGCCCTTCTATCTGTATGAGTATGACCCCTGAGTACGTGTTATGGTAAATCTGGAGGGGTGCATTTAGTCCAACGTTGGATTGTTGAAGGTATTTTTATTTCTTATTTAATATTTCTAGTATTTTCCTTATTCAGGTGAATGAAGAGTATATGAAAACGCTTGAAACTCTGAGTAAGAAGCTGAAATTTGTAGAAGCAGATCAAGCAGTTAAAAGCTCAAAAGCTTTAAAAGACGTAGAGCCTGAGCTCGAAAAGCTTCGGCAAAAAGCTATCTCCAAGGTTATTGATCGACTTCTTTGTTACCTGATACCGAACAATTAAATATTTCGTAGAAGGGAGTGTGTTAGGCCCAAACAGTTGCATACCTATTGACTCAAAACTGACATTTAATACATACATATTTCTTAAAGTTGTTAATTGTTGGATAAATAAGTTTTAAGAAAAATGATGTTTCAGATATACCCAACTTATAACCTCATTGATATGAATCTTGTCATTTGTATTTGTTCTCTTCCAATGCCGAAGGGCATGCACATCGACAGAGCATTCTGAATATGTTCTCATGCAAGATTTATATCTGTTTTGCAGGTGTATGATTTTATTGTCCAGAAGCTTATAGCCCTTAGGAAACCCAAAACAAACATTCAAATTCTTCAACAGAGTGTGTTATTAAAGTACAAGTGAGTTATGCTCTCCAGTCCCTTTTATTTGGTTAGACATAGTGAGGCTACTATACGACAACAATTCCTGTCTTGCATTTATGTTTCTGTTAACTAACTATTTTCTCATAGTTTGTGTATGTGGTTATCACTTTAGAACTGATTTTGTTAGTTATCTTGCTTTGGGTTTGGCCTGTGTGATGTTAGCGAAGTTGTTTTATTTAACATGTTACTTGTACCCAGCTTGATATTATATTTGCTTCTACAGTAAATTTATGTGGTATAATTCATTCACCAATTACATTTTGATGATAGGTATATTATCTCCTTCCTCAAAGAACATGGAAAAGAAGTGTTTATGGATGTCCGTGCTGCATACGTTGATACCATGAACAAGGTGACATTCTTTATCTTGTTTGATTGCTTGCGCCTTCCTGCAACTTCATTATATACTTTTAGTTGGATGAGAAAAAATAAACAGATAGATTTGTCTTAGGTTAATCTCTGAAAATATTCAGTAGTGAATACAACATCTAGTTGCACGTTACATGCAAGTAGTTATTATATTCTTGTATTCTAACAAGAGTTGGACAAAGCTAGTTATTTTCTTTGTTGATTGAGTTGTGAACTTGTGATAATTAAAGGCTGTATGCAGGTTAGATAAAAATGATGTTTGCTAGCTTAGGCTTTCAATTGTTGTTACACCTAATGTGAGATCTGGTTTCAGGTGTTAAGTGCACATTTTCGTGCTTATATTCAAGCCCTTGAGAAACTACAGCTAGATATAGCCACAGCATATGACTTGATTGGGGTGGAGACTAGAACCACCGGCCTCTTCTCCAGAGCAAGGGAGCCACTAAAGAACCGTTCTGCCGTTTTTGCTTTGGGTGAGAGGATAAAAATTATAAAGGTATTCATTATTAGCGATTAGCATTCCTGATTGATTTTTCGACCATTCTACTTGCTCTGGCGAATTCATTATATAAACTGAGTTGCCTTTCTGACTCTTATTACAAAAGATGGTACTAGGTTCGGTCTTACAAATAGATAAGAAGTTGTATTAACTTAATATGCACCATTGGTTTTATATAGGAGTGCCACTGATTGGTTCAGATATTTTAACTTTGTCTCGAAATATAGGAATCAAATCTTTTGACACATTTCAGTTAGCTTTAAAAAAAATATATATCCGTAATTTGAAGGCTCCTCACTTTCAGTTTGGATTAATGTGGATGAGTATCAATATGGGTTTTTCTGGTGTAGAAGTAAATCCAAAGTTTGTTTGGTTTAACCATATTAGTTACCCCTATATCCTAAAAGTTTGTTAAAAGACTTAAGTTTCAGTATGTCCGCTGTAGGAAATTGATCAACCTGCTTTGATCCCGCACATAGCCGAAGCCAGCTCGATTAAATACCCTTATGAAGTGCTCTTCAGGAGCTTGCACAAGCTACTTATGGATACAGCTACTTCTGAGTTCTGTTGATTTTTCCTCTTTTATATTTGTGTTATTTTCCCTCACCGCTCAGCCCCCTGATTAACGTCATGTGTTTTTATTGTAACAGGTATATATTTTGTGATGATTTCTTTGGTGAAGAGTCCATATTCTATGAAATCTTTGCAGGTAATTTCTAATCTATCTCCCTTTTGCTATACCAAACTATGTGAATATTGTTAGCTGTTTAAGAGTACATCAGTATATCTTGTAGAAATCCTCGCAACATAGTTAAGTTAGTTGTTACAAATTTGATATGGTGTTGAGCAGCGCTTAAAACATTATTTGGTCTTCTTTCGGATAGAAAGCTGAACCCCTTCTACTTTACGAGGCATATGATAATATTTAGCATTTCTTGGGAATTATTCTGCACTTTCCATTGTGCAGGTCCATTTTCTGTCATTGATGAGCACTTCAATCCTGTTCTTTCAAACTGTTTTGATGCTATCGGCCTGATGCTTATGATTCGCATAATACACCACCACCAGGTATTAACGCTAACCCAATTACTAGTTTATCTGTGTTTTGGTGAATCACTAGTAATCAGGTAATCTTGTCAGCTACCCTTTTGTACCTTTTTAGCTGCATACGTATGTGAGAATGCATAAAAAATTAATGGTCCAGTGAAGTATGGTTAGATATTTACTAAGTCAGCATTGGAAGGAGGAATTAATGTCTTTTGAACTAAAGATTCAGGTACACTGGTTTTAGGAAAAAATGTTTATTGATTACATACCTTCAACTGGTCCACATAGGTGTTCCACCCCAGTCTATATTTCCTCAACTGTATGATTATCTAGTATAGCTTAAATTTTACTTATTTTCATGATTCCAGTCTTTTGCAAGGGCCATGATCGTTTTTATGTCCACTAAGTGTTAAGCAATGCTCAATTTCCCTCCTTTTTTTACAGCTTATCATGTCTCGTCGAGGGATTCCATGCTTGGATTCATATCTAGACAAGGTTCATAACTCTCTATCTATTCTGTTTGATATACTCATTATTAGTGTGCTCATCTGCAGCTATTTTCACTTGATCATTATATATATTTTTTTGGTATAACTTGGAAAGTCTTGTATAGGTTTTAGATATAAGCTTATAGATGTTATGGTTGATTTCCTTAGATTCCTTATGGTTCTATAGTCCCTCAATAAATCTTTTACATTTTCCAAACTGAGCAGGTTAATATTTCTTTGTGGCCACGTTTCAAGATGGTATTTGACTCACACCTCAGCAGTCTGCGAGATGCAAACATTAAGACATTATGGGAAGATGATGTTCATCCTCACTATGTCATGAGACGTTATGCTGAATTCACAGCTTCATTTATTCACCTGAATGTTGAATATGGAGATGGGCAGGTTTGTTGTAAGCATACTCTGTCTCTAATGATATGTGTTACCTAGTTCTTCGCTTAATCGCTTGACATTATCTATGACCCCTGCAGCTTGATATAAATCTGGAGCGGTTAAGAATGGCTGTTGATGGCTTGGTTCTCAAACTTGCAAAGTTGTTCCCAAAGCCAAAGCAGCAAATTGTGTTTCTCATAAACAACTACGATATGACAATTGCTGTGCTGAAGGTGAGTTGAACCCTTGGCCGTCTCATGTTAAGTGCGCCCTAAAATGCCTTTTCAGAATCAGTCAGCATATCCAAACTTTTTACGAATCTTTATTCTATCTATCGAATCTATCTTACCAGAATGCTCTTATTAAACCATCTTCCGGTATTTTAGGAAGCTGGACCAGACGGTGGGAAAATTCAAATGCATTTTGAGGAATTGCTAAAGAGCAACACTTCGTTATTTGTGGTAAGGGCCAATGTTGCAGTTTTTATTATTTTGAGCAACATTCCTGGTATGTGTCCATTTGTTATTTTGGTTCATTCTTTTTTTAATATCGCAGGAAGAACTGCTGGTGGAACATTTCAGTGATTTGATAAAATTTGTGAAAAATCGAGCCTGTAAGGAACTTCTTTATTCCCTTGTCCTCGCACTCATCATTTAAGTAAAATAAACCACTAAACTGTAAAATATGTAGCAGCTGAGGATTCAAGCTCAAATCCAGAGAGGGCCATAACAATTGCTGAAGTAGAGCCACTGGTGAGGGACTTTGGGAGCAGATGGAAGACAGCGATTGAGTTGATGGACAAAGATATCATAACATCGTTCAGTAACTTCTTGTGCGGTATGGATATTCTGAGAGCTGCATTGACACAGCTATTGCTCTATTACACAAGACTCACAGACTGCATCAAGAAGATAGATGGTGGATCTGCTCTGAACAGGGATCTTGTCTCCATCCAATCTATCATGTACGAGATCAGGAAATACTCAAAGACTTTCTGAGAGATGACATTTTGTGGCTGCTAATGAAGAGAGTATTGTAAGATAAGTCAAGATATTTCTAAGTATTATGGGTGTATGATGTATCTTTCAAACCAGTTAGAGTTTCTGTAATGTCTTTTGATACTGTTATCCCACTCTACGGTTATTTTCACATCCCTGAGTGTATGGAATTTTTTCATGGGAATGTCTATTTTCATTATCCACTATTGTTAACTATATAATAAAGATTATAACAATAAAGCCATTTCTGCAAACTGAAACTGTTAAAAAAAATTGCAAACTACATTTTAATGAAAAATGCCCTAAATAAAGTAAAAACCCTAATTATTTTCCATCGAATCATCGCACTATAATTATTATTCCTTTTGTAAGCATGAAAGTAAATTAAATCAATGATGAACACGTTTTATAAGTCTCAACAATTTTAAACTAAAGTCGCCCACGAGCTAGAATCTATTATTCGTTAACTCTTGTTTCCTTTCTCTTAAGAATAGAGTTAGGTCTGCGCTCCCATATCTAGTATGCATGCACAAAGATCAAGAACACGAGCAGTTCTAAACATTTGACAGTAACAAGCACGATAGCATCTGTGTTTTTGTCTCTATAAAACAACAGAGAAGAATGGAGGAAACAAGAATCGAAGAACTTGCTGAAGATATACAAATGGAGATTATGTCATGGTTGCCTCTGAAATCATTGGTGAAATGCACCTGCGTCTCAAAGCAATGTGCATCTTTAATCCGCTCGAAATACTTCAGAGATCGTTACTTGCGTAGATCGATGACAAGGCCTCGACTCTTGTTCGTCAACTTCCCATTCGGACGTGATGTGTTGTTGCACTCTGTTTATCAAGAAGAGGAGCCTTTGCTGTCGTCTGGTCAACAACAGATACGCATTTCTCCAGATCCAAGATGTGAGGTTTCTCAACCCATCCGTGGTCTGCTCTGTATTCAAGAAAACACCAAGATTGTGATTCTCAATCCCGGTACGAAAAAGTTGCTGACGACTAAATTACCAAAGATCCAAGCGCATAAGAACGCTGTCATAACTTGTTTCTTCGGATACGATGAATCAACCGATGAGTTCAAGGTGTTGTGTATGACGAAACTGGCGTCTGATGGACCATCGGAAGGAGCTATTAATGAACATCAAATATCAACCGTGTGTTTTGGTGACGAAACTTGTTGGAGACGGATCACATGTAAGCATGATCATTCACCAGTTACTCAAGGACTATGTAAAGAAGGGCTTTTGTACTATGGAGCTCAGTCCAGTAGTAACAAGTCTCTGGTCATGAGGTTCAACGTAAGTTCTGAAGTTTTCAGTGTCATTGAAGTACCAGAGGAAGTCCAACTTGATCATCGTTGGAAACTGGTGAACTATAATGGGGATATTGCGTTAGTGAACGACTCTGACTTTGACTACGGAATTGTCAATGGAGTTTTTGATATATGGGTTAGGAACGAAACTGCAGGAGATTGGAGGAGAAACAAGATTGAGATTGCTGGTTGGGAAGAAACTGTTGATAATCATAAGTTTTATTTCAAAGGTACCATTGGAACAAGAGAACTCGTTTTCACACTAGACTCTGTGATTGAAGGATCATTCTTGGTGGTCTATTACGATACAGCCACACACAATCTCAGAACATTTACGATTGAAGGAGTGTCTGGAGATCAACTCAATGATGTTCGAACATTCTTAGATCATGTTGATAGTACTTGGCTTATGTAAAGAACAGGAGTTGTTGGTCCATTAATTTATAATCAGAAACTGGTTGGTTGTTAATAATATTCTTATTCATATAGATTTTTTTTTATGTAAGTTTTTTAGTTGTTAATTATTCATTTACTCTGAAATTAACGGCCTCGAATAAAATTTGGTTTATTAAGATAAACTAGATAATTAAATTGTATTTTGTAATATTATCTTCTTTTTTTTAAGCCCGCAAACCTAGCTTATATATATTAAAAAAATATACGTAATACTCAATAAGGAAAAAAAAAAGGAAATCAATAAGAAATTGACTTCCAAAATCCAAAATTTAACCTGACTTGGATTATAAGGAATCTTGATTAAATCTCCTTCTCACGTTCGAAAGTCGAAATCACAGACTCATATCTTATCGAAGTTTTTCTGTGTATTCTCTTCTAGTCGTCTTCTTCTAGCTAGAAACTTAGGGCCAAGCTATGTGCGACTTCAGTAATCATGTGAAACATGGATTTGAGTTAGGAGTGTTTGTCCCAGACATGGCTTTTGAAGAGGATTCGTGCAGGTACGTAACATTAATTCTCATGCTTTCTTTTTTTTTTCTGTTTACCTTAATTCGGGTATGACATATATATATGGTGGTTCTGCTTCTCTTCCGATATGTCCCATTCATAAAACCGACATTACTCTTTTCAACTTGTTTTTTTTTTTTGTGTTTGGTTGGGCAGTGAGGATATGTCATTGGAAGGACTTCAGCAAGAACTAGAAGAATGTCAAACTGATGAGGTGAGATCAAACTCTTCTTTTGAGTTACTCTGTACGTTGTTAGATGTAAAGATATGATGTCATCTCTCTATCTTGTTTTTGTGAAACTTCAGGTTGTTGCCAATGTACTGTCCAGTGGTGCCAAACTTAGAGAATACGCAAAAGATGTAGAAAACAATCTACAGAAGCTTGAATTGGAATCCATTCAGGTTGCTCTATATATATATATATATATTCTCTATACATTGTGGCACTTGTTATGATTTCTATATTATGAGTAACTTACTTAAAAGCTTTATCCTCCATGTGAATACTCAGGATTACATCAGAGAAAGTGATAACTTATCACTTCACGATCAGATTTGTGACTGTGACAGCATCCTGTCACAAATGGAAACTGTCCTCAGTGGATTTCAGGTACTTGAAAATTCGACAATTTGAGATATGATTTGTGTTTGTGACATGGACTTCTTGCTCCTTATTCTGACTTTTACTTCTTTGCTTCTTCGTTTCTTTCAGGAAGAAATTGGTTTTATAAGTTCAGACATAAAGACTCTTCAAGAACAGTCAATAGACATGGGTTTGAGACTGAAAAATCACAGGGTATAGCCAATCAGAAAACAATATTAATTAGTATTTTTTATGCTTCAACCTGTGTGGTATTTTTTATGTGTTTCACTCATCAACACAAGCTCTCACTATTTGAACAGGTGGCTGAATCAAAGCTAGCAAAATTTGTCGAAGACATTATACTGCCACCAAAGATGATATATGTGATTGTTGATGGAGAGGTATGTCCTTTGAGTACGTGTTTTCCTGTGAAAGATTTGTAAAGATGTTAGAACTTTTAACCATATGCTGTACTGTACTCCTCATTTCAGGTGAATGAAGAGTATATGAAAACACTTGAAATTCTAAGTAACAAATTGAAATTTATAGAAGCAGATCCAGCGGTAAAAGGTTCGAGATCATTAAAAGATGTAGAGCCTGAGCTTCAAAAGCTCCGGAAAAAAGCTATTTCCAAGGTTCTTGATCCTACTCTGTCTCTCTGTTACTTGATCCCTAACAAGCTTCTATGATGTTGCTGAAAGTAGTGTACATAACAGGTTCATATCATATGTCTGTTCTCATGCATTATAATATGTTCATTTTCGTTTTGCAGGGTTGTGATTTTATTTTCCAGAAGCTTATAGCTCTGAGGAAACCCAAAACAAACATTCAGATTCTTCAGCAGAGTGTGTTATTAAAGTACAAGTGAGTCATATGGCTCTGCAACTGCAAGGCCCTTCTACTTGGTTTTTTACTTCAGAAGTTTTTTTTTAGTTGTATTAATTTTTTTTGTTTTATGCAAATTTAATGATAGGTATATTATATCCTTCCTCAAAGAACATGGAAAAGAAGTGTATATGGATGTCCGTGCTGCATACATTGATACCATGAACAAGGTGATATTCTTTATCTTGTTTAATTTCTTTCACCATGGTGCAACTCCTTTATCTAGTCTTAGTTACATCCAACTGCACTTTACAAGCAAGTAGTTCTTCATTCGAGCCTTTTGTCTCGCTAGAGATAGGCAAAGTTAGTTTTTACTCTGTTGATTGAGCTATGATGACTAAATGGTGTATGCAGGTTAGATAAGTAAAAAGCTGCATGTGTGTATATTATCTAATGTATTGTGAGATTTGGTTTCAGGTGTTAAGTGCATATTTTCGTGCTTATATTCAAGCACTTGAGAAACTACAGTTAGATATAGCCACACCACATGACTTGATTGGGGTGGAGACTAGAACCACTGGCACTGGCTTCTTCCCAATAGCTAGGGAGCCACTAAAGAACCGTTCTGCCGTTTTTGCTTTGGGTGATAGGATAAACATTTTAAAGGTATTTTATCATTCAGTGATTAGCATTGCTGATTGATTTCTCCATACATATATAAATCAAGTTACTCCTAAGTTCACTTGACATTTTCTGTTTTTCTTCATTGCTGAATTGGAGGCATTATGATATCTCACAAGCTTGTTTGACTATGTTGTCTGATATGTAGGAAATTGATCAACCTGCATTGATCCCGCACATAGCCGAAGCCAGATCTCTCAAATATCCTTATGAAATGCTCTTCAGAAGCTTGCACAAACTACTTATGGATACAGCTACTTCTGAGTTCTGTTTATTTCTCCTTTTTTTTTTCTACTTGTGTTATTGTTGCTCATAGCTCAACCTCATGGTTAATTAATGTAAGTTGTTTTCATTCTAACAGGTATTTATTTTGTGATGATTTCTTTGGTGAAGAGTCCATATTTTATGAAATCTTTGCAGGTAATTTCTAATATATCCCCCTTTTGCTTTACCAATCTTTGTGGAACTTTTGTAGATTTAGAACTCCTTAAGATAGTTACAATAGTTATTACAAATTTGAGTAGTGTCTAAGAAATGTCTTGTCTTTTTCCAATTAGACAGTCCTATAAATTGTGTTAACTAGCATCTTGGATAAATTGTGAATTCTCCATGATACAGGTCCATGGTCTGTCATCGATGAGCAATTCGATCCCGTCCTTTCAAAATGTTTTGATGCTATCGGTCTGATGCTTATGATTCGCATTATACACCACAACCAGGTATTATCTATGAACCAGTAACTAGTTTGAGTATTTTAGTGATGTCTTGGAATAAGGTAATTTAGTTAGCTTCCCTTTTGCAACATTCTTATGTGATAATGAATTAAAAGATAGTATTCCAGTGGTGTATGGTAAGATATTTATCACTTGCATACTTATGATTCAGATGTATCTGGATTACATGATTGTTCCTCAGCCGGTCTATATTATGCCTAAAGAGATGATACTCTAGCATAGCTTATATTCCCCTTTCGCAGGGATGGTTTATTTGTCCACTATGTGTTTTAAGCAATGCTCAATTTGCCACATTGTTCACAGCTTATCATGTCTCGCCGGAGGATTCCATGCCTCGATTCATATCTGGACAAGGTTTGTAACTCTATCTCTTTTAGTCTATTTCATATACTCTTAAATGTCAATATTTTAACTTATGTTTTCTCTCTGGTATAAGTTTGAAGGTCTTGTATAAAATTTAAGTAGGAGCTCATAGATGCTGCTATATATGATCATTTAGGTTCCATAGTCCTCTCTCAATGAATCTTGTTAATTTTTGAAATGGTGCAGGTTAATATTTCTTTGTGGCCACGTTTCAAGATGGTGTTTGACTTACACCTCAGCAGTCTGCGAGATGCAAACATAGAGACATTATGGGAAGATGATGTTCATCCTCACTATGTCATGAGGCGTTATGCTGAATTCACAGCCTCGTTTATTCACCTAAATGTTGAATATGGAGATGGGCAGGTTTGTTATAAGCATTCCCTGTCTTTAATAAAATGTGTTACCTGGAGCTTGTCACTCAAAGCGCTTGACTTTGTCTCTATGAAACTCTGCAGCTGGATATGAATTTGGAGCGTTTAAGAATTGCAGCAGACAGCTTGATTCTTAAGCTTGCAAAGTTTTTTCCAAGGCCAAAGCAACAGATAGTATTTCTCATAAACAATTATGATATGACAATTGCTGTGCTGAAGGTGAGTTGAACACTTGACCGTCTCATATTTAAGTGCACCCATTAGGTGAATCTGACCTAACAGAACAAATGTTTTGATCGTCTTCTTGTATTTTAGGAAGCTGAACCAGAAGGTGGGAAAATTCAAATGCATTTTGAGGAATTGCTAAAGAGCAACACGTCGTTATTTGTGGTAAAGGCCAATGCTGCAGTTTGAGTTTATTGAAATTTTATGATCTGCTTCATGATTGTAGCGGGGTTTGCAGTAGCTAGCATACGTTTATTATTTTGTTCATATTTTTCTCGCAGGAAGAATTGCTGGCGGAGCATTTCAGTGATTTGATCAAATTTGTGAAAACTCGAGACTGTAAGCAACTTCTTTCTCTCTTGTCTTCGTACTCATCAATTAACTCAAATAACCACTTAACTGTGATATATGTAGCAGCTGAGGATTCAAGTTCAAATTCAGAAAACTCTATCATAGTAGCTGAAGTAGAGCCGCTGGTGAAAGACTTTGGAAACAGATGGAAGACAGCGATAGAATTGATGCACAAAGATATAATAACTTCCTTCAGTAACTTCTTGTGTGGTATGGATATTTTGAAAGCTGCACTGACACAACTATTGCTCTATTACACAAGACTCAAAGACTGCATTGAAAAGATAGATGGTGGATCTGCTTTGAACAAGGATCTGGTCTCCTTCAACATTTTTACCTTCGAGATCAAGAAATACATAACGAGTTTCTGACATATAACATATGAGGCTGCTTATGAATGTATCTAAGATAAGTCAAAATTTCAAAGTGAATCTAAAGCCAGTATAATGGGTTATGGTGCATCAGAGAAACCAGCAAGAGTTTTTCAATGTCTTTTGCTAATATTATCCCATTTGTCTCAGTATTTTCTCAGCCTGAGTGTATTGGATATTTTCATGGGAATCTCCATCCACAAATCTCTAGTGCTTAAGATATTGAGATATAAGAAGGATGGGAAATTAATAAAGGAAAGAACAGAGAGTGCAGTTTCCAATTGATACTCTTACTGGTTAAAGTTGCAACCTTAAGTTAAGTAACAGATATGCAACAGAGGCTCATTTCATTATCCGACTTCAAATCCCAAAGCTATCAAATATCAGTAAATACAGATCTTAGATACCAAAACATAAGCTTCCCTGAGTTTTATCCTCAACAACTACACTACTAGGCAGTGGGAACACACACAAAAAAAACTTCTACTTTCCCGCTGTAAAAAGACACCATTTACAAAGCATCCTCGTGATAAAGATGAAGCCCTAATCCAAATCTTGCACACGCACGGCGAAATGCCATTGCTTCAGCCTTTTGCACAGCATCACCATAGCCTTTGCAATCTACAGGAGTAGTACCTGTTGATTCCCTAAAAATCTTCAGAACACAAAAACAAATGATAAATTAGCAAATGATTTCAGCTTACAAGCAAAACAATTAACACATAATGGTCTCACGATAGTATGTAAGAAAGCAAACCACCACCACTTTTATCATCTCTAAGGTTCATGAGAGTACTGATATACAACCCAGAGTTGGTGTTTCTCCAGAGTTGGTATAACATACACATTCTAAGCTGTATTGGCTTGACAGTGGTTTCATCACAATCATTGGAGAATTCAAATGTACACAAACAAAAATTAACAACAACTAGGTCTCTCTAGCTTGGCAGCTTCTCAGACAATAAGGAAAATAACTCTAAGAGAGAACCACTTGGGCTAATTACATATCAAATCAAACCATAAGTAAACAAAAGGGAGGGAAAGACCTCAGCATCAGTGCCATAGAGAGTCACTCGATAAGCCACAGTAACAGTGTTACCATCAGGTGAGTAAGTAACACTTCGAACTTCGCCTGACCATTCTGTAAACATAGAATCACAGACAAAAATGTCAAAAACCAAAAACCCAAAAGAACAAGAAGGGTTTAGCAGACCTGGAGCATGCATATTCATGATCCGATTAACAATGTGCCTGAGAATCAACACAAGCAATTATAAGTATGACCCAAAAGAAAAGACAATACATTCTCTTAAAACCCCCATCAAGAACACTGAACCCTAAACCCTACACAAAGAGATTACCAGGGAATGTATTTAATGGAGGACCCATCTTCAACTCTGGTTCTGATGACTGAATCTGGAATCTTTTTGTTAAGCTCCTTGAGAATCTCGGCGAGAGGTCTACTGATTCCTGAAGTTGGAACATCGTTTTCAACTTCAGAAGAGAATCGACGAACACCCTTCCCCATTTCCCTCGTTAAAGTAGCTGCTCCGCTCCTCAACGTCCATGTCGCCGCCTTCAACCGTAAACCTAACCCCGCCATTTCCGAACCAGTGGACGAATAGCAAAGAAGTGGGGAAAGAAGTCCAATGAAGTTTGTGGCTGAAGAGACAAAAGTGGGAGAAAGCCTTGTAGGGAAAGAGAAGGTTTCAAGTTTATTTATGCTTTGTCGTTTTAAGTTGAGAGTATGTATTTAAATGAAACCAAAACCCTAAGGTTCCCTTTATCTTATGAAATACATTATTCAACTCTTCTCTTATCTTCTTCTTCCGTCTTTCTCTCTTCTTCTCTACCTCTTCCGTCTTTCTCTCTTATTCAAGTCTGAAACTAACAAGTTCGCTCCTTTTTTATTAAACTTTTTAGTTTCCTCCTCACTATTTTAAACTTTTAATCTTTTAATTTAATTTTCAATTAATTAGGTTAATTAGTAAAGCCTAAAGCCTCCTCGTTGTGAAGGAGGCACTCGTCTTGTCGACCTTTTTGGTGTGAACTCGCTCTCTCACTCTCGGCGTCTCTATGTCTTGTTGCTTGAGCAAGCTACAACGTGAGTTAATCTAATCTCTCTTTCTTTCTTCTATGTAATATATTTTACGGTTTCTGGAATTACATCTGAGTGTGAGTACTTGTTTTGAAGTTTGCTCAACAAGTGAATTCGATAATGCTGTTCATTGAGTGCTTAGAAAAGCCTGAGCTGGGTTTTACTCACTACCTCTACTTATTGAATCTGGGAAATTGAAAGATGTTAAATTGAGACTCTTTTGTAAGTTCTCTTATATGAATTGTCATCAGTCTCCACAAAAAAAAGTTTGAATTTTTCCGTGTTTCTCCCCAATTCTTATAATTTGAGATAGTGATGTTTAATGACAGCTGAAGAATAGAGAAAGGTTATGGATTCAGATACATGGGAAATTATCCATGTACCTGAAAAGCCTGCATTGTCACCTGACCATCAGCCCACTGGTAATTTTTTCAAACTTCTCCCATGGGAAATTATCCATGTGTTTCTTTTTTCAAAGGTTAATTTTTTCAAACTTCTTCTTTTGTGTTGTTGTTGTTGCTCACAGTGAAGGTGTTTGCGAGTGTAATCAAACCCAAATTTGCCAATACGATAGTGAGGTTTGTTTGCATTGTTGTTCCCACTCTTGATCCCTTGACTGAAATTTTCAGCTGTAATCTCCACTTCAAAATGAGTGAAATTGACTTTGATGTAATTAGGCATTTATGTAAGATTGCTCCTCTGGAAGATCTTCGCCATGTTAAAAGGGTGAAGAAGAAGATTCTTCCAGATCATGGTATCCCATTATTAGTTTTGTTGGCGCTATGATACACCAAACTTAAAATTATGAGGTTTTGATTGGAAGCTTATTGGACAGGTGAACCTCAGTTGACTGTCATCTTATGTCTAGCACCTGAGCACCACGATCATTTGAATGATTTGCCACCTGATGTACAGAAACTCGTTGATCCCTATGAGTTGAGTCCTTTTATTACAGAAGTGGGTTTCTTTTTCTCCTTTCTCACCATGATTTTCTTCAAGGCTTTTGTTCATATAGCTTCCAAGTCAAAGATTTCTGCTCATTCAATTATATTTTCGGTGGAATCTCATATTCTGCTATAACTATGATAGGTATACAAATATGCTGCGGTGTCCAAAGAAGAGTGGGAAGAACAAAGTAAGATATGGCCAACTTCATTTCACCCCCCAACCTAGTAAGCTCCATATCAATCTGTTAAATTTTGGTTTCTGGGATGTTTTTTGTAACCAAAAGAGTACATTATTTTTCTTGCCTTTTAATTATTTAAGCTTTAGTCTTTTCTGAAGTAATCCTACTTCTTGATGATTTCTATTAGTGCTCTTATATGCATTGTGATAGCAATATATTTCTTCATTTATAGTGCAGCAGTCAATTATTTTCTACTTTTGCATATGGTAATGACAGTAATATAGACGGCATCGATGGGTTCAGCAAAGAGGAGACACAATCAATCTGCAAGTTCATGAGAATTGTTATTGATATGGCAGTATCTGGTCATAAACCAGTAAGTATTTTCCATTGATCTACATAACGTTGATATGAAGTTTTAGACAACAGTCCAGGCTCTCTTATTCATATATTTTCATTGTTAAGATATCATTTGCTTTTCTTTAGCGCCTCAATCCTCTTTCTCGTGGTAGTAAGATTTACCATTGTTTCATTACTGTTTCATTACATAGAAATGATTTCAATTTACCAAATTTGTAATGTACTTTTTAGTTTGTAAATGCTGCAGTGATAGTTGATCCCTTAGTTAGGCGGATAATAGCTAGTGAAACTGATCAAGTATATGCATCGTCTGCTCCTCATGACAAGACTAGCGCAGAGACCAGGTCCTTCAAGGAAACAGGGGATATATGTTTAAATGACACACTTGAAAAAAATAATGGTTCATTATCTACTGTTGCTTGTCTGAATCCCTGGCAATGGTGTTTACAGCCGCATGACACTGAAAATTGTAGCCACTGGCATCCTCTTAGGCATGCTTCCATGGTTGCCATTGAATCTTCTTCTGCCAGAGATAGACATATGTTTCCCAATTCATCCGAAATTTCTGGTCAGGATCTTGTTCAGCCCTCAAATACGGATTCCCCGGCTAAAAAGCAGAAAACAAGCAGTCGAAGTCCGGACGTAAGTTCTAGCCAACCAAGATTTTTAATTTCCTCCACGTACTTTGACTAGCAGAGCAGTCTCTCTTAAACTTTTGAGTTACCGATAGGTCCAAACTGACAGCAGGGAAGAGACTCTTAGAGATCCTCCAATGGAAAGGCCGTACCTTTGCACTGGTTATGACATTTTCCTCCTGTTGGAGCCTTGTACGATGTGAGTTTCTACATACATTATTACCTTTCTAACATCCCCAAGTTTGTATATCTAAAGTCTTGATATGTTCCCAAGGTGTGCTATGGCGCTTGTGCATCAAAGAATAAAACGGATTTTCTATGCTTTTCCAAACCCTACGGCAGGCGGTCTCGGGGGTGTTCATAGACTTCAAGGGGAAAAGAGTTTGAACCATCATTATGCTGTGTTTAGAGTCTTGCTGCCTGACGATGCTCTTAGACAATCGACCACGGTCTAATACATTATTGTAGTCGAGTGATAGTATTACAGGTTCTGAGTAACAAAGCTGATTATTTGTTCTTGTTCATGCCAAGAATCCAAAATCTATTGTGTTATTATGTAGACCATTCAAAAAAATTCATTAGCTGAAGGAGAAAAGAAGTTGTTCTGAGCTAATTGCGACAACTAATTAGGACGAATATAGATCTTAGATACCAAACTTTTTCGAGAACTTATATATGAAATTTTAAAATCTATCAATTCAAAGAACTAGATTATTAACACAATTAATCTAAGTGATTAATTGTTAAAGGAAAACATATGAAAGCATATTTAATCATTTTATTTTCATTATTTTTTAGCAGAAATTTTCAACAATAATAAGTATAATTTGAAAAGAATGTTTTAAAACATATGTTCGCATTATATAAATGTACCACTCATATGGCTCAAATGTTTTGTCACTTCTATATATGTATTAGCTATTTTAAAAAATGGTTTGATTTAATATTTTTATCTGTTTTTTGAGCCCCGTTCCTTATGTTTTTACTAGTATCAAATTCTTATTTTTATCAACATATTGCATATTTAAATATAGTTATGATGAATTGGTACAATATGTTGAACAAGTTTTTGAAATTGTCAAGACGAGTACAGTGAGTGGGTAGTATTTAGTGTTGTGTTTATGTTATGTTACAAGTAGCACAACTAAGTTTATGGAACGGGGCTGTGTCAGATGATTTTTAGTTCTTTAGCTTTGTTTTGTAGTCTTGTAGATAATGATGTTCCATTATCTTCTCTTTCTGATACTTAATTTTGTAAATATTGTCTCAACAAAATTCAGTTTTGGTATTGAGCAACCCTGAATGTGAATAAGCTAATACTTAAGTAAATATTGTGTTTGTAACTGTGCTTGTAGAGAGGAATCATCAGAGATCAGCTTTTCCAGGATACCGAGGGAAAGGAATGATATCTCTGATGTTATCAATTCCTGTAGCGAACAGAATCATACGTTCGAAGCCAAGTCCAAATCCACAATGCTTCACTGTTCCATAACGACGCAAGTCAATGTACCACTCATATGGCTCAACTGGTAGACCCATCTCCTCGATCCTGTTACAAGAACCAGATTTTGCTTCATAAACCGATCACAAAAGAGCCCAAAATATTGAATCTAAGTTTCACTTTCACATACCTCTGTTTGATGACTTCATATTGTTCTTCCCTTTGGCTTTCACCAATGACTTCTCCAACCTAATATATGTAGACAAAGAAAACAGATTACGAAAATAGCACTGACATGTATTCTCCAATGATTGAATGGCATTGAGTAGGTTTTATAAGAACTTGATGAGATTTAATCGTAATCCAAATTAATTAATTTTAATTAGAAACAGAAATTAATTGGGGCTGCTCAGTGTCTAAGCTGCCACTAGAGCTGTCAATTAGGGTTAAACCGCAGAGGGCTTTTTTTAATATGTGTTTTAGTGGGCTAGCTCGCTTTGATCCGCGGTCGTAAAATTCAAAATCCTAATCCAACCCGTTTCATAAGTGTGTAGAACCGTCTTCAAAAAATAAAGTTAAAAACTTATATACACAATTAGGTATTAGTTAGCCCGCTGACCGCAACAATTAGCCCGCTAATAATTTTATACCGCAGCGGGCTCAACCCGATTGATCGCAAACACCAAAACTAAAACCCTATACCGCTAAATTTTAAAACGGATTGGACTCTAACCCGCGGTCTTTAGCCCTAATTGACAGCTCTAGCTGCCACATCAGCAATAACGTGACACACTTTTTTAACTTTTGACTTGTGTTACTGTGTACAAAAGGCTCCGTAGTGTGTAGTCAAAAACTTGTGTTTCAGTGAAACAACATAAACAGAAAGATATTGAACTTTATCAGAAACTTCTGAGCTGAAACTGTAATTTTTAAGAATGCTTGAGTTTGGTGAATCGTATAAAAACAGCTAAGTTGGTCTTAAACTAACTAAACATGGAACTAATATCAGTTCTCTGTTGCTCTAACCAGAAGATTATTATGTCCGTATGGAAAACCCTTCTTCAAGACACTCAGTTCTAAGATCTTCCATGAGACCTTGAAACATAGATGGATCGCTCGTAACAACAGCATCCACACCTAAGTGAAGCATCCTTTTCATTGGATCAGCATCATCCACAGTCCATGCATACACCTCTTTGTTTCTCCTGTTGATCAGATCAAGCAAAGGTTGTAAACAAATGGAAAATGATGGTGGGTGTGTTTTCAGTTGAAAAACATTGGAATCTTATTGCTTACCGACGCACAACTCTAACCAAATCTTCATCAATCAAAGGATGATACACTCCCACAACCCTAGCACCCTTCATTCTCAGCAGGCTGTTTCTCGACCCGGTCAAAGGATCTACCATCACAATGTATCCCACCTGCCAAAATAAAAAGTGCAAATATGAGCAAGAAATTTCTTTTTTTTTCATCCTCACAAGACAATCCATTTCTGTTTACCGTAGTATATGGTGCTCGTCTGATTATGTCCCTAGTCAAAGTGTCGCTTTTGGCCCATATGATGCAATTCTTGCACTGCGCTCTCTCCATCTAACAAGAGAGGATTAACGATTCACGTAAGAAAAGCAAGAAATACCACCATTGAATCATCAACAATAGTCCACTCTGTTTTTTCAAGTACTTATACTCTGGTGCACAAAGATACGAGGAGAGAAATGATTAAGCACGCTCTTAAAAAATTAAGCTTGTTGATAAGGGGCAAACAAGATCTCGTGCCAATTGTACTAAAGCTTTATAGTACAAAGAGCTAGTAAGTGATAACATAGTACTTACAACAGAAAGAATGTCTTGTGCAAATCCCTTTTCATACATTGGCGGTCCAACTTTCGCATCAAGAATCACTCGCCGGACTGAATTTGATATCAACTAGATAGTTATTGAAGATAAAGGTTAGATTCAACCACTTGTCATTTGTACATCAATTACAAAAAAAAAAAAAAAACACGAGAAGATGGCAATAACAAAGAGTTGCAACGTTGAGGCGTTACCGCTAAAGCATCTTCAAGAGTAGGAATCCTACGATTCACCAAGGTCCCGTCAACAATTTGTGAGACATCAAGTTCCTTGATCTACAAAAAGGGTCATCAAAGGGTTTTAGAGAAATGGATGCAAATAATGTGAAAAGCACATCCCAAAAGCTGGTAAATTGAGAGAGGAGAGGAAACCTGTTTCATACTCAGATCTCCAACTTGAACAGAAGAGTTAAGAGCAATACGCTGCAGATCCCTGACTGTGCGTGTGATTAGACGATGAATGAACAACTCTGATGAGAATCCAAACACAACAAAAGAAGATGATACAAGGAAGGATCAGAGTCTGTAACCTGTTGTGGAGAGCGAATAAAACACCATCGGATGAACGTGAAACATCGACTTCGATGCAATCAACTCGAGAACGTATAGCTAAATTGTAAGCATCCATCTGTGAGAGAGAGTAAAGAGAGTAAGGTTTAAAAGAGTTAGTGGCACGAGTGTGAAGAAGAAGAGATCGAGAGAGTGTACGTACAGTGTTTGGGAAAGCGAGGGTTGAATCGCCGCCGTGAGCACAGACAAGTGGAGGATGGTGAAGCCAATCGCACTTTTGCGCGACAATCTGACGAATTCGTCGGAGCTTGAAATGGAAGAAGAGAGGAGGGAAGATAGCTAAGAAGGCCACAGCAAAGAGAAACATTCTCTTGAATTTTCGCGAATACAATGGCCTGAAGAAACGACGGCGGCGAGTTCCTCCGCCGTCGAGTGGCCGTCTTTTCTGCCGCCATTCAAAAATCGCCATTAGCTGAAAGACAACGAAGGTTGTTTTAGGAGCTAATGAAGACGTTTAATGCTGATCTTGGAAAAAAATAATAGAAGTTCACCAATCACCATCGAACTCGTGTCTTTTGAGTTGCATCAAACTTGTTATTATTTGGAAGTAATTTAATGAACATCTCACAATCTGACATCAATAGATTTCTTCTTTTTTTACTTTGTGATTTTGTTAGATATACAAATGAAAACTTTGATTAAAAAGAACACTTTTATTCTCATTTGTTTCATATCTTAAACTTAAAGAGTCAGTAATGTAAATCCATAATATAAAATTAGAAGTTTAAACACCAAAGAAAAAAAAGTCACTTCCTAGTCTTATCAAGAATTTCAATGTATCTCTTTGGAACTCCATAGTGTTCCACCAGATATTTCGCAAGATTATCAATCACACCTCCTTGAATAAGAACCTCGTAACCTTTCTTACCTGAAAGCAACACACAAAACAATCATCTCTCAAATAGTTTATTCACTTACACAGAACAAAAAGGAAATAGATTTTAAACGTACCTGGAAGTTCCCCAACTGAAGTACTGCAAGCAAACTTCTTCTGCAGTTCTGATCCAAACGAGTCTGGGTCTATCAAGAACGTCTCCATCCCTGTCACCTTGGTCACCTTTTTGTTACCTTGTCTTCGTTCTGTCATTATCTGAACCGGCTTTATAGCTCCTTTACGAACCACAGGTTCACCGCCTCCTCTCATCACTACGTGATGAGGCTGCATTCTACCTACAAACGTCGACCCAACATCCTTTTTGTGAATCTCTGACGGATATGCAGATCCCTTTTTGATAGCTCCTTTGAACAATGCATCACATAGTATCGCATCCAACACCACCATTGACTTGTTTATTGGCTTTACCAGATTTTCCTTCTCGATGTATCTGAACACAACATCAGTGGCTTCAGAAGCTGTGTACAGATTTCCTTTGTCTTCCCCAACTGATGCAAATATTCCACTGTTGTGTATGCTTGGTTTATAGACCTCTATGATTTCAAGCATTTTCTCTGACTGAGCTTGCAATGTGGAACGCTCTCCAGGAGACTCAGAGACTTCCGCTTTCTTTTTCTCTGGCTTGAAGGATTTGTAATCTGGGTGGCTGCGGTTGACTGAAATCAATACAATCTCCTTCTTATGCTTGTCTTCTTTAACAGATATCTGCGCATATATTTCAAAGATTGTGACAGAGTGTAGTTGCCAATCAAGACACCAAAGCAAATCTACTAACAATTATGAGTATATCAGGGTAAAGATTTGTAAATGCCAATGTGTTACATACTTTTAAGGAGATACAGCTTACAACACTTGATACTAATAGTTTCCTAAATTGAGAAACCAGTAGGTTTTTGTAGTTAAACCGAACAACTACTAACACTAGTGTTATATCAGAATATAAAATGAAGCCAAAAAATTACCATAAGACAAGGGAAATTAGTAAGAAAACTGACCATTCCAGTAGACGCTTTAGATTGCAGCCACTTTGACAGCTTTTTATGGGAAGACTTCTTAATGTCAAGTGTGAGACCAGAAGGCCTACAAGGTAACACATGATTTGCCCTGTACCACTCACAGGAAAACATTTGTAAGCCAAACTTGGAAAGGAGAAGGAAAACAGACAATTCCAGGTGTATAGCTTGTCATTGACGGAGTCAAGAGTAACACAAACAAGAACAGAGCTTCAGAGGACAATAAAGCAACCCAATCATAAGGCAACAAGGTAAAGCGGGATTGCATACAATAGTAGGTACGACACCAACCCAAAACCAGAATATAGTTGGATTTCCATGTAACTAAAATATTTGAATGGTGTTCTTACCACAGAGTGCTTCCTGGGATGGGAAGGTCCTTCTCCTTTAATGTTGTATGCAATGCTTGCAAAAGGCATTGGTCAAGAAGGGCATCTACCTCCTCAGGAGAGAAAATATTCTGCTTGTCGGTATTTGCTTCATTAGCAGAAACGTCATCTGTTAAGTTCAGCTCATTCATGCTCCCAACCACATGTTCTTCAGTGTCATTCTTAGAATCCGTAACAGAGGTTGAGGGCCCAATATTATTCACATCACCAGATTCATCTTCAAGTTCTGTGCCTGTCTGAGGACCAGCTGAAGAGTCTGTGATTTCTTCAACTGAACCAGAAGCAAGGTAAGATGGGTCCTCCATGACAACATTCTCCATAAAACCAGCATTTGGAACATAGTGCCCTTCAGCAGACTCCCTGTGAAACAAGCCTTCCGCATTTAAGAAACTGAATTCCTTCAAATATAACAAAAAGAAGCAAACAAAAAGCAAGCTGTTGCCAGCATCTCATGTACCAAAGGAAGTCACGGTAATAATGAGTTATCCGTAAAGCCTTCCCATGCAAACCTGCTTTAAGGGCTTCTTCACTACTCATTGTGGTACAACCAACCTTCAAAAACATGTATAACCATGATGTTACTCAAGACACAAGCTTCAGTTTTGTTAAGAAAAATTATATCGGTTAGCAAATATAAGGAGACTCACCGCAATAGGTGCCTGATTTCCAGGAACTTTGACAGCCCATATTTCTCCGGCGGAGAAAGAAGGATAGCCTTGGGGAGGGATCAAAATACCTGGGAACATCAAATCTGCACCACCTAAAACATACCGTGAAACTTCACCTCCTTTCAACATAAAGGAAGGTAACATTTCAGGAGCCTCCCAGAGAGCAAAAACTGCAACACAAGAAGGAACAAAATACAGTTAATCAAATTGAACTGGTATTAATCAACAGTCATATGTGTCTCTTAAGGTTTTATCATTTTCCATATATATCTGGAAAGTGCAAACCTGTGGGGAATATCTCAGTCCCTCTTCCATCGATATCGAAAAACATGGGACATCCACCTTCAATACTATAGACATGAACTCGATTCTGAAACTTGGAAAGAGTTATCTCGACCTAGACAAAACAAGCAAAAGTAAGCAACAGTGAACCGCATCAAACCGTTGCAGAATCCGATGCAATCAATTCGAGAATCAATCAGATGACACGAATCAAAAATTCCTAGTACTCTATCCAGACAACAACGATACCAAAAACTGAGGAAAAAAAAAAAAAGAGAAATCAGACCTTGGGAGGAAGAATCACGTCGAGGAGTTCATCGGTTAGAAGCGGAAGCCTATTTCGGACGGTGCGGCGGAGTTTTTTCCGGTCAGCGCCGGAGAGACGCTGGTGAGACTTAGCCTCCACGGCCTTCTTGAACATTCTGTTCGCCTGTAGTGTCGCTTTACCACCGCGGGATTCGAACCAAACCAGACCAGTGTCGTCGTCTCTCACATAAACCCTCCTTTTTGTTTTCGGTTTTTCGCTTCGCTTCTGAGCGTGCCACGTGTCTCTTACACTGTAATTTCATCAAACCGTTTTACTAAACCGGTCCAGAATAGTAAATTGATGAGACCTTCCAGGGATTACGGTTTTTAGTAACGGAAACTACAAAATTTGTAAAGAGTGTTGAAGAAACCGGAATTTCAAGGCAACAATACTAATCTTCTTCCATTGAATCGAACAAAACTCTTGTATTAAATCTTATGGACACAGCATAAAGATATCTTCTACATTGTTTTATTGGGGTATAAAGACTCATACTAACTCTACAGTAATACTAGAAAGCAAAAAGAAAGACCAAAATTGAGAACTCTTCTCTCATCATAGGGACAAAATGAACATAATGAATGTTGAGCTTATCAATAACAGAAGCCAAGCCAAGCCACCTGGCGTCTCTGCTCGACATATCCCCTTACCGAGCACCACGGCTACAACTGCTATAGCCCCAAACCCGACACAGATTGTGAACACAACCACACCTTTCTTCTCCATCCACTCCATTCTTTCCAATACTTGCTCTAACCTCTCATTCACTTTCTCCTTCTCATTCTCTGCCTTCTCAAGCTCTGTCTCCACTCTCCTCCGCCACTCTCTCATCTCCATCGCTTCCTTCTTCGTACTCTCTTCCCTCTCCTTCATTCCTCCTACCTCCAGTCTCATAGTCTCCACCTCCTTCTCTCTCTTGCTCGCCTCAAGGTCCATCTCCTTGAATATCTTCCCATAACTCGAGCTCCGCTCCTCCAAGTAACTCTCAAGCACGGATAAGCTCACGTCCAGTGACCGTATTTTCTGCATCAATATCTTCAGGACTGTGTCCCCTGGCATTCTGCTTCCTGGTTGATGTTTTATCTCTTCCACCGGATCTGGCAGCTTTTTTCTCTCAGTTAATACTTCAGCTTTCACAACAACAACCTCTGGTGAGGTTTCTTGTTCCTTCTCCTTCTGTTTAGTCCTGTCTTCATTGCTTTCAGAGGACTCTGTTGCTTGTACTGGCTTCTTCTCTTTCTGCTCAGTGTCTCCTTCTTGGGGTCTCAGTATGTTTTTGTCTTGGATAGATATCAAATCCTCCAGCATTCGCTCCACAGCATCCACTCCGTAGACTTCTAGTAAACTCAAGGTGCAGTAGAATTCTGAACCGTAGTGGCTTAGGAAGTTTAGCTTTAGATATCTCACCCATTGAGGATCCGCGAGTGTAAAGTTCTGCTCGTGCTTCATGTTTAAAGCCGTGAAGTTCCCTAGATGAACCCAGGTATCAGTAGGATAAACCAAGGTGCCAAGGATCTCAAAATCCTTGAGATTGGAAGAGTAATGCTCGAAATTTGCAATCTTGATTGTGTTCACCAACGTTTCTTCTGAAAGTTCTATGACAACGAATTTCTCCTCGGTAGAACACGGGTTTCGGAGATACTTGTCTTTGTCCCGGCTTATGATGCTTGAAGCTCCTTTTGCTTCTTTGTTAGAAGATAAGACCTTTGCACCTTTTGAAGCAGCTGCATAGTTGTATTCTTTGCCACCAGGTTCCATCCTGTGAATCACACCGCTGACTTGGCCGGACAAAGCTTTGTCTCTAGAATTGGATGCTCTGCTCTTGAACTCATCAAGGCCAAGCGGGACAGCACGAGATAGCTGATCAAGCTTCGAAGCACTCGTCTCAGTATCATTCCCTGGACCTGTATAATTACCACTCTCACTTTGCTTCACAAACTCATTGCCTTTGCTTTCTGTAACGTTTCTTGCGATAACAGTTGTGTTGTCGACTTTTCTTTGCTTCAAAATGGTTACTGAGCTTTTGATTTCTTCGGCTGTGGCTATATTAACATCGGGACTCAAATGAACAGAGGCATACTCTAGTGATGGGGCATCAACAGACTCAGCTGTCTCATCTGCCTTATCATCATCTGGTTCACCTTTTTCAACTGAATCCACTAAAGACCTACCTGCAAACACGCAAGAGTAAACGTTAGATACACTTAATTAGGAGACAAGGAGTATATGTTCATCGAAATCAGGAGCTCAAAAAGTTACCTTTGTCACCATCAACATGACTGATCCACAATGTAGATAAGAAGACAAGTCCCCATATGAGAAAAACAAGAGACAAAGAAACTTTGTAGAAACGAGTCCTTCCATTAGAAGTAGTCTCAGAAACTCTTCTTCTAACCAGAAGAGCTCTCCGTGATCTTTGCATTTCACATCCAACCAAGATCAGATCACCACCAAACAAAAACTAAATGTACTGTTCACACCTGTTCATAAGGATGCACATCAGATTCATAACCATAAACTAAACAAGAAAAAAAATGATTTTATACAAACAAGCTAAAAAAAAATAGAACACATGATTCAGAGCAGCACGAATAAAAACAAAAACTTGTCCTTTCAGGTGACCCAGAATACAAAAACAGGGGAACTATTGAATTCCAGATCCAATTACGAATACGAAATTGAAGATTATAACAAAAGAAAGTAAGAATTACCTGAGAAAGGAATCGGAGATTGGTTGAAGAAGACAAACGACACCGAAGGAAGAAGATTCGAGAAGCTTCTTCGCGTCGTAAAAAACCCTTATCAACGCCGCCGTCTCCGATGAGTATCCGATCTAATAAACCCCGGTAAAAGAAATTCCGACGATATACCTCGTCTCTGCATCACAATCGATGAAACGCACCTCAACCTCTGCCACTTTTTTCACGGGATTTATAGAGCTCGGAGGCAAATTACAATTTTTTATTTATTTAACCGTTGTTATGGTTCTGGTGTTAAAAAAAGAAGAGAGGTGAAGAGTAAAAAAAAAAAGAGACTTTCAAATAATTGAAAAACCGCGGAAGAATCTGTGTAGAGCCGAGACAGAACTTGATCTGCTAAAGAGACAATGGAGAGATGGGTGTGTGTGTGTTGTGAGAGAACAGCAAATATGTAAAATATACACATTATGAATGAGAGAGAGAGAGAGAGAGAGAGAGAGAGAGAGTACCGGTCAATAATTTTTGAATTTAGGAATTAATGTTTTTCTATTTTCTTTTTAAATTCGTTTCCTTAATATATTAGTTTACCTTACCTTCTAATCCAAATCATGTGCTTAGCTGTAAAGTTCATTCACCTTTAAGTTTGACTATTTGTAATTAGATTTCCTATCTTTTATTTTTCACTTTTTACTTTTTTTAAAAATGGATATAAATTTACATAGTTTCCAAACGGGTGAGATTATTATCAAAAAAAAAAAAAAAGTTTTTTCATATAGTAATTTTTTTTGGATCTACACAAATGTGTATTACCAAGTATTATTGCCAATTCATTGGTGGGGTTATGGACATGGATGTAGTTATTATTATAGCCACTCTGGTATTGTATTGGCCAAATATATTTCTATCGTATTTAAATTATTATATACCTCGAGAGAAACTAAATTTTACAACATATACTAATATATTACAGTTTCCCACTCATTCAGTTTCTTCCTACGAAGACGAGTAATCATTGTCTCGCAAAACCTTTGTTTCAAATTACTTTAAAATCATAGGAGTCTTCTTAACTTGTTGTTTAAAAAATAGATCGAACATTTTTACATTAAGAATGCATTTGTCCCGTAATATTTTGACTTTTTACCCACTCAGCTCTGTGGCTTATTATTTTAATGTCTTAATTACTTCATGTTGGTCGATTAAGAATTAGCACACACTCGAAGTTTTCTAATCAATACAGTCATTATGAATCAACCGTTATATGGATTTCAAAATTTTAACCTTAAAAGTATTCATAAAAATTCTATAAATATGTTTGTACTGAAACAAAAGATAACACAAATAACTTAACCTTATACCAAAAAAATAATAATAACACAAACTAAAATAAGTCTAATTTATACTATGAAATAAATACGTAGTTTTCTAATTTTAACCAAGGAGTAATTTTTTAGTCTAAAATAAATAGAAAATAACGTTCTTTTTTACGCGTTTGCCTGCAGCTGTTTTGGAATTATCGTATTTAATTTGTTTACCCACGCATGAATAATTTTCTTTTAGATGTATATTGATTTGCTTCGAATAATTATAGATCACGACTTACACAGCTAGACGTCGGTCACAAATATCATAAGCCATGAGGGCATGGAGACAAAGTTTCATTCATTTCTTGTGGATGAATCATTCTCTACTTTAATTCGTTAAATGTCAATTCTATTGATGTTCTTCAAAGAATAAGAACCGTAGATCCCAAATAATTTAACCTAAACATATACTTATAATTTTTATATACAGTTTTTTTTTATGTAAACACAAAATAAATATGAGAATTATGTAGGCTAATAAATATTAGTATTTGTTTGACCAGTTAGAAAAAGATTTGAGGCCATTAACAAATAAGAACACAATTATAAATTTATAAGCGTGAATTTGCGATGCACTAAACAAGGAAAAATATGATACATGTACATACCAGACCGACGGGTACTAACGGCCACATCTGACTGAATATAGTAGATCAATCGATGGCTACACAAAATTGTAAATGTTATATGTCAGATTTCAACCTAAGTGGGATAATCAAAGACATTTCGACGTTTCAAGCCCTAGCGTGTACGTGTTTTAGAAATTAGACACATGTAACATGTTATAACAAGACATGTGATGCTAGTACTAAACATATATGCTAAGTTTAGATTGGTAATTAGGTATCCCAACTTTGACAAAGTTAAACAATCTCATAATCTTACGATTAAAACTTTCAAAACCAGCAAATAACCTATGGCAGCCTCTTACCATATATTGCTTAGGAATTTAATTACTAATTAATTTCCTAAGTACGGTATCCCCATTGTCCAAATACCTTTACCAATATTTACTTAATACTTAAGTTATACTTTCAATAATTTGATGGTCTTGTAGAAATTTGTTTGTATTCCAATTTCAAATCAACAAACAATGAGTTCTCGTATATATAGTCACTAGTCAGTACGTAGCATGTTTGAAAAGTTATTACTTTCTTTGTCGTCATATCAAGTAGCCACAGAAATGCTTTGGTACAATAATAATAAATTTGAAAATCAGATACAATTTGTATTCGAAAAAAAATATCAAAATAGGAAACTAGTGAAACGATAGAGAAAGAAAACGAGGCAATGAGTCCAATATAATGTTAACCAAACGACGACGTGGCGTAAAGAGAGTAAGAGAAAGAGACAGCTTCGATTGCTCCCTTCTCATCCGACACCTGGCGTATTCATCTGCGTCGACCTCCCACCTTGGCCGACCTCTTTTACATTTTCACTCTTTACACGACACTATAATATATATTTTCATCTTTTACGTGTGTGCATCATGAACCTTGCTTATCACGTCATCTATGAAATATTTGTTAAAGATGACTATGCAGAACTTACAGGATTCAATTAGAGCTCAGATGGGTTGTGGGATAAAGTAGCATATTTTGAAAAGTTGAAATTGTTAACATACTGATACTGTTTTATTTATATTGATGACATCGTTGATCGTGTAAATACTCTTTAACTCTTTTTGGTTCTTTCATGCTCATGCTATTACCAAACATTTCTCGAAATAAGACCAAGATAAATATTTCTTCGGGGGTCCATTAATATTGGGTCTTAAGCCCATTTAAGAGTTTTACAATACCTTACTAACTTTTTCACGTTAGGCTTGGGCCAACGGATCTTTAACTAAAACAGGAAACAAACAAAAGGAAACACTACAGACATCGGAGAAAAATGCACGACGGTGGCGGATTCAGTTTCAAGCCGGTCTACCGGAGGCGAAGTACGCCAAAGGTCCGACGAAGGCGGCGTTTATGTAAGTCGCCGGTTCAGAGTGGCTATAATCGTCTCTCTGATCTGGATACCCATCGTTTTGATTCGGACCTCCTACGATTGCTCCTGTGAGAATGTTCGGGTTAGGGTTTTGAGTGTAGAATGATTGGAATCCGCCATTGCATCCTAAGGATCGGGAATGAAGTGAGTGGGAAGGAAGCGAAGATGCTCTGTGGTGGATTCTTTTTGGGAAATTGGATCCGAATCCAACCATGTACGACATTTTGATTGGGTTCTCTCCGAGTATGTAATCAACTTGTCGCTTTGATAGGCTTATCAAGGCGTTTGGGACGATAACCGAGCTTCCGCAGTTGAATGTGTGTTTTGTGGCTTTCATGTATTTGGCGTAAGTCGTAAGCAAGAATGTTATGGAGGTTACGTATTGCAGATTGCTTTGAGGTAACTTGTACATTAATCCTCCTGTAGTTAGTAAACGTGGTATTAGTATACATGAAGAGGGTTTTTGTTATCAGGCATTGAATATAGTGAATTAGATCACCTTGAGTGTATTGGGTAGATGAGGAAGGAGAATCTGGAAGGATTTGGCACATGAAATTCTCAGCTGCTTGCTTGAATTGCTCAAAGTTGCTGTCTTTGTTGAGTAATGCTCGCTGCCAAAAGTAACAGATTTTGTTTTTTGGATTAGTGAGTCAGATAGTCTGATGCTAAAGTATGATTATTTATCAGTAGCGAGACAAACCCGTGACAGAAGAACATAGGCACCAGCATATTTATTGTCCCAGCTGAAGATGTCAGGCTGATCTCCACCTCCTAAAGATTTTATGAAGTTCGCGTAATACGGGTTATTGGTTGCTGTCAGCAGCCAGGACGCACCCCACATTAGCTCGTCCTGTCATCATAAAATTCACATTGAGGATCCTATAATGTAGTAAGAGGGGTTTAGTTGCACTGATTTGTTGAGAAATAAACCATATGAAAGCACACCTTGTAACCAGAGTAGGAGCAGTAGAAAGGACAGACGGACGAGGAGAGGGAATCACTATAAGCTCCCCTGTACTGAATGGCAAACTGCATAACGTTTTTAGCTGTTGCCAGCAGTAAACGTGAATACTTAGAATCAACTTTTCTGAAAACCATAGAAGCTGCAGCTAGAGCTGCTGCTGTTTCAGCTGCGACATCAGAACCGGGGTTAGAAGGGGATACAGAGTAAACTGTGCGAGGTGTATCCATGTCCTCAGGCCGTTCCCAGCATTTGTGATCAACATTAGGATCTCCTACCCCAACATAGAGCTTCCCGGGAGTGGCTCTTGCACATTTCAGCAGATAATCTGTGGCCCAACGGATGTTCACACGTGCATTTTGCAGCTCAGGACCCATCCGCTTACCATATTCCAGTGTGCTCCATGAGAGCATTGTGGTGGTAAACGCCATTGGGAAATTGAACTTAACGTTATCGCCTGCGTCATAGTACCCGCCAGTTAAGTCCACCTGCAAGTTGCGTAAAATTTAGCTATCAATGCTTTTAAGAAAGATATTGTCTATAACTTGTTTAGGGTGTGTACATACATGAGCGGAGGAGCCATCGGAAAGGCCAGAGCTAGCCCTCCATGAGAGTTGTTGGCCTCTAGGAAGGCGACCGGATCGCTGACCTTGGAAGAAGAGCAATGACTTGGAGAGAGCTTCTCTATAATTTGGGTTGGCATCAACATTGCCTGTGAGAAGAAATGAGAAAAGGAAAAGAAAGAAGAAAGGAGAAGTCATTTTCCAAAGGACACAGAACTAAACTGCTTTTGAGGTTGTGAGGTATGAATCTATTACTTGAAGGTCCACATATATATATATATATACACAGAAAGGGGGAGATAGGAGAGAGAGAAGGATCCGGCGCTGATAGAAGCGATAAATATGGCTTTTTTGGTAATCAACGTGCTCCTAAACAAAGTTGTAACCTTAATTTCTCCAATCTAAATCCTCTTTTTTTTACTAATTTATAGAATAATCCTTAACAAAGTAGTAACCTTAATTTCTCCAATCTAAATCCTCTTTTTTTTACTAATTTTATAGAATAATCCTTAACAAAGTAGTAACCTTAATTTCTCCAATCTAAATCCTCTTTTTTTTACTAATTTATAGAATAATCCTTAACAAAGTAGTAACCTTAATTTCTCCAATCTAAATCCTCTTTTTTTTTTACCAATTTATAGAATACTCCTTAACTTAGTTTTGCTTAACCAAATCCTTTTTTTCTCTTTTCTGTCTATTGTTAAACTTTGAGTCTTCTTCTTTACCTTTGTTTATCCCTAAAAATTCCTATTTGTTTTTTTTCTTTTCTTAGTGTTGAAAAATGGAATAAACAAGGTTTTGCCATTAGGGCATTGGGAAGCAAGAAAGTCGTAACAGTCTCTCCCATTTCCGAAGAAGTAGCATTTGGCTCAAAGTAGACACATGAATGAAACGAAAGAGAGAAATATAAACGCACATAACGACTTTGCGTCTTCTTGAAAACAATACTGTTATGGTCAAAGACCAAATGCTAAAGTTAAACAGCAAAAGAGGGACTTTATAGTTTCTATCAAAGACGAGGAGATTTGTGATATAACTAAAAAAAGCGTTCATAAATTGCTTGATATATACATATTTATACATTTGTTATTTCTTATGGAACCAAATCTAGTTGTAGGATTTAATACGTTGAGCAAATCTTAAATTTCAAATGTGAAAATAGTAACAGTAAGTTATATACCGTCTTCATATTAAGTTTTACTTTAATCATACCAACAACAAAGAAAATGGTGTTACTCACTTACTCCTTAAATCATTACTGAATAAAAGGTATAATGCCCTTTTTGTACTAGTTACTAGGATATAGCAAGCAACTACTACTACTTAAAAAATTGAAATGGGTAGTTCCAAGTTTGAATTAAATATATATAGTAATGTGTTCATACATGTATGGGGACTGTATATAAGTTAGGTAGTTTATAGTAGTTAAATTAGGTTAGGGTTTAAGGGGTTGTGAATCTTTTTTAAGAAAAAGAAGATTAAAGGGAGAAGCGTGAATGGCGCCAAGATAACGGCGCCGAGTCTTTGGGACTTAATCAAGAATTAATTTGTGTTTAATGTAATTGGATACGAAATTTATGCCTTAATCCCCACTTTCTTATTTGTTGTTCCTGTTTTTATGCATGCATGTTTTTGATTAAAAGACTACTCTTCTATTACTGCATCCCTCTTTATTTGCTTTATTTCTGGGACATTCTTCTTTTTTAGTGTGTGTGTGTGTAATAACAAAAGCGAATGAAAAAGGGGACAACGTGTCTGCTCGATGTCATTGATCTTCTGACATTATAATAGTATTGAGTTAACAGAATGATTATCATCATGCATGGATAATATAAATTTACCACGGATTAAACAGACGCGTGATCAAAGCATAATTTGGAGATTATATTACTTATTAGTAACTAACTGTAATCATTCGATGTCCCTAGAGTAAGCTAGTAATAGGACTCAAATATTATAATTGCATGAGATTGAATAATAGGAGAAGAAGAGATTTCAAAATTAAGCAATAATTTTTTTTTTTTTTGTTATAACTTATAAGGCTTTAATGATAAAATGATTGTTTTCCAGTGAAAAAAATAGGGAAAATTGGAAAAAAGAGACATATTATATTTTCAAACCTTTGTCCATATATACCTTTTTTGGAAATTGTCAATCTTAACTAAACTACCCCTACTAACATATAAATCAAATTTTAAGGGGTTTTTAAAGTTGAAAATTATCAAATAATGTAAATAAGTCACTATAAATTATATTTGAAGAAAATACTTTTGAACTTTTTTAAAAAATAATAGTTTTTCACATAGATGATTTTTGTTCTAAAAAGTTTAGAAAACGTTTTCTTATTTCTAAAAAAACTAGGTTCGGACCCGCGCTACAGCGCGTAGGAAATATTTATATATATATATATATATATATAACCATTAACGGATTATAATATGTTACATTTTAATTTTATTGCAATCCAGTCGATTACGGTGAATCATATATTTGTATAATAAGTTTAAATAAAATAATAAAGGAAAAAGTGAGTAAATAATTATATATTGAGTTTTGATACAATTAAAAACACGGTGAAAATTTAACAGCACGAAATAATATTTGTCGATAAAATATTCATTTTGACCATTTTGTAGTAGAAGTAGGAATATATGTAAAATTACATATTTACAATAATTTTTTTGAAGGACCAACCCGTAACATAATCCATTTTGTAAAAAACATTATTAATAACTCGCTTTATCATTATAATTGTGATTTAACAAAATACCCGTCAACAATATAAATTTTAAATAGTTTGATATATAATATATTTTATCAATTAAAATTATGTCTCCAAATTACATTTATGTCATAAAAAAATTTAATATTATAAATTCTAAAGTTTATATATATTTGAACCTCCTAATCATAATATTTTGAAACTTTTAAAATTTTTAAATATGCTCATGTAACAATGGTTTTAATATTGGTCATACTTATAATGATTTTAAACCATTGTCCAAAATATTTAACCGAGTGTAGTTGAGTATTATATGTCTGTTTCAAAAAATTCAAATTGCAGTATATGCAAAAAAAGTTAAATTATTATTAAATATTTATATTATATAGTATAATATCATAAATTAAAAATAAGATCAAATAAAAGTGAAAGAAGAATAATAATTATTTTAATAGATTATATTAAATTAGTTAGAGAAATATTTGGAAATCCTCTAATTAGTTATGTAAATAATACAATCCTAAAATTAGATATGGAAAGTATCCGATGTATGTATCCAAACCCAATTTAATATCCACTTTTGAAGTATTCAATTGTTGAAATCGGGTTAACTTTTTAATTTTCACCCGACCCGTATTCTATTTTTTACTTCTCTTTTACTAATATAGAGATAGTTTCATAAAATATAGAACTGTATCATTTCTATTTAATAAGTTTCCTAAAATACTGAAATATTTATTTTAAATATTTTCGAAATTATTTATTAATGGGTTATATCCATACCCAAATTAAGATCCAATAATCTAAGTATCCATGTATTCCGAATCGGGTAATTTTGAGTAATTTTTTTAATTGATCTGCCCATTTCATTTTTGTAATTCTCTTTTACTAATATAGAGATTAGATTACGTATACTTATGTTCTGAAACATTTAGATTGTCCATTCTACTATTTTGTACATGTTTTACGAATTTTAGAACTGAAAACATGTTCCAAAAATTTCAGAATACAAAATTTTATATGTTTTACGAAATTCAGAATACATATTCTAAAATTATTCTATGTTCTGCAAAATTCGGAATATGTATCATACGATTTACTACACGTTCTGAAAAATGTAGAATATATATCCTAAAATATTTTTGAATATATATTTTGAAAAATATTCAGTTAAATAAGTATGGAAACAAAATCAGATAATTAGGAACGTCAATAAATTAGTTATAATCGAATATAAGATTCAGATTCTCTACAGATCTTTCAGAATATATATGATTCAAACATTATTAACGTTTTTAGTCTTTTTCTTTCTGATTTCTCTTAAAACAACCCGTCGAGGGTTAGCTTTTTATTTATGGTTTTTATTTTTATGTATTATTGTATTTTTCAATAATTAACGGTTTGATTTTTATTTCTTTTGGCCTTGTTTAAAATAATACATAAAATAGTTTTATTTAAATTAGCTTAATTATACTTTGAGGCTATAAATGGATTTTAATCTATATTAAATCTTAATTCACCAAACTTTAAAAAAAAGATGTTGATAAGATTGTTATTTTGTTATGATATTTGGGAATATTAACTATTTATTTATAAAAATTTTAAGTTATTTTTAAAATTTATCTTAAATTTGTTATAATGGTTATACTATATGACATAATTTTTGAGAAACATAATTTTTTTTTTGAATTTGTGAATGTATAAATTTTTTGGTTTTTAACTTGTACATCTTAAATTTATTTTCCACTAAGCTATTGTAGATTTTACAATTATAAACTTAGTTTTTTTCCCTTTTTATTATGATTTTTAAAACAATAAACAGTAATTTTTATTAGAATTTTCTATATTAGAGGGTATAAGTGTATTTAAATTTTCAAAAAACCTATTTCACCAAACTTTTAGAAAAAGGTATATATGGACAAAGATTTGAAAACATGTCTCTTATTTCCAATTTTCCAAAAAAAATATATAGCTAAATCAGTTGGGATTATGATGGATCAGAATATAACCATTTGACTCTTTCTTTCTTTATTACTATAGATAGATGCGAATCTATTTGTATCAAGGATTTTAATGAGGACATATATGTAGGCCATTCGTATTAATGGGTCTTCATATGCAATCAATTTTTTTGAGTCAATTTACGTTACAACGACGATTATCTTATCCCACAGGCCACAGGCCATAGCTTGGTTATGCCGAATTCAGTGTATGTTCCCGGCCCTTTATATAACTTTTGGGTGATTAAGAGGCTAATTTTTATTAGATGGAAATTATCTAGCCATCTTTAGGAATAGTATCTGTAAAGAACGATGGTATATATTATATAGGAAAAGGAATTTTGGCTAAGCTTTCAAGACTTGAATTAAAGAGATAATATTTTGAATGAGTCAATGTTTTACGTGTAAAACTTTGAGACAGGTGACACAACTCATTAACATTGATGATAAAGCAGAGTTGAAGATTTTGACGAAATCAACTTAAAATCCACTAACGAGTCTCTCTTCTTTTTAAAGAGAGCCAATGAAAGAATACATAACTTGCGACAACACAAACATCAAAAAGAAAAAATGGTGATTCTAAGACATTGTTATTGCTTTACTAGTATTATGATCACCATCTGTTTCTCCCTCCTAATCCACACTCTTGCTTCTCCTACAGTTCACTTCTGCCCACACGACCAGAGAGATGCTCTTTTGGGATTCAGAGACGAGTTTCCAATGGATGAGTCGGAGACAAGTAATGATACATGGAGAAGTTGGTGGAACAAGAGCACTGATTGCTGTTTTTGGAAGGGTGTCAGCTGCGATGATAAATCAGGGCAGGTGATATCACTCGACCTCTACACATCTCTCAACCGCTCTTTAAAAACCAATAGTAGCCTTTTCAGACTCCAATCTCTTCGCCACCTAAACCTTAGTAATTGCTTTCTACAAGGAGAGATTCCTTCTTCTTTAGGTAACCTTTCTCGTCTCACATTTCTTGACCTTTCTTGGAATACATTTGTAGGTAAGATTCCTGATTCTGTAGGCAACCTACACAATCTAAGAAACCTTAGTCTTGCCTATAACGGTCTCGTAGGAGAGATTCCTTCTTCTTTTGGAAACCTTTCTAGTCTCGTAAGTCTCGAACTTTCCAATAATGGTTTGGTAGGTGAAGTTCCTGTTTCCATAGGAAACATGAACGAGCTAAGAGTCATGTCACTTGACTTAAACACTTTAAGTGGCAAGATTCATATTTCTTTGGCCAACTTAACGAAGCTTCACTATCTAAACCTAGCTTATAATAACTTCACATCCACGCTACCAACGGACATGAGTGGATTCCATAATTTGAGGTACTTTGATGTCGGTTCAAACTCGTTTCACGGGCCTTTTCCTAAATCTCTGTTCTTGCTTCCTTTGTTGCGATCAGTTATCTTAAAACAAAACCAATTCTCGGGACCTGTAGAGTTTATGAATACATCTTCAACATCTAAGCTCTGGGCTCTAAACCTTGATAGTAACCAATTCGATGGCCCAATCCCTGACTTCATATCTAAGTTTCTCAACCTCGCATTGTTACACCTTAGCAACAACAATTTAACAGGGCCAATCCCTAAGTCTCTTTCGAAGTTGACCAACCTTGATTTTCTTCGTCTTTCCAACAACAAGTTGGAAGGTGAAGTACCAAGTTGGGTATGGAGACTAACGGGAATCACGCTATCTCACAATTCTTTCAGCAGTTTTGAAAACCCTTCACAAGAAGAAACATTAATCAAAGGGTTGGATCTGAGTTCAAACTCGTTCCGTGGACCGTTCCCTCGTTGGATATGCAACCTTAAATGGTTACGTCTTCTAGACTTGTCCAACAATCTTTTCAGCGGCTCGATTCCTACATATTTAAGGAATCTCACTGTTTCTCTTACCGAGCTAACTCTTCGGAACAACAACTTCAGTGGGACTCTTCCAGATATATTTGCCAATGCTACCAAGTTACAAACATTGGACGTTAGTGGCAACCAGCTGGAGGGAAATTTTCCCAAGTCCTTGATAAATTGCAAAGCTCTTCAATTTGTGAATGTGGAAAGCAACAAAATCAAGGACAAGTTTCCATCATGGCTGGGATCTCTACCATTTCTAAATGTTCTTATCTTCAGATCAAACAAGTTCTATGGGCCGTTGTATCATGACCACATGTCCATTGGGTTTCAGAGTTTAAGGGTCATCGATATATCACACAATGACTTCACTGGATCTCTCCCACCTCACTATTTTTCCAACTGGCGTGAAATGACCAACCTAACCGAAGGAGACGGCGAGTACATGGCAAGTCTTCCGACTTTTTCTCTTATCTACCAGTCGATGGAGATAGTGAACAAAGGAGTAGAAATGAGCTTTGAGCGGATCCGACAAGACTTCAGAGCCATTGATTTTTCTGGAAATAAACTTTATGGTCAAATCCCTCAATCTATAAGCGTTCTGAAAGAGTTACGACTTCTCAACTTGTCCGGTAACGCATTCTCAAGCGATATCCCACGATTCTTGGCGAATTTGACTAGTCTCGAGGCATTAGACCTATCCCGTAACAAGTTTTCAGGTCAAATCCCTCAAGATCTTGGTAAACTCTCCTTTTTGTCTTACATGAACTTCTCTCATAACCTTCTTCAAGGTCCAGTGCCACGAGGCACACAATTTCAAAGGCAGAAATGTTCTTCATTCTTGGACAACCCAAAACTCTACGGTCTGGAAGAAATTTGTGGAGAAAGCCTTGACCCAAATCCGACATCAGCACAACAACCCGAGGAGTTGTCAGAGAAGGAGGAAAAAACTTTCAACTGGGTAGCAGCTGCAGTAGCCTATGGACCTGGTGTATTCTGTGGATTGGTGATCGTTTTTTCCGTGGAGAAAGAATTATGATCAATTGATGCACTGTGGCAATTAAAATCTTTATTTTCATTTTTTTTTTACTTTTAGTTGTAAGGTTAACGTACCCGTATAATTCACCAAATTACGATTAATAAGGTAAATTATGAATTGTCAAATGAGCTTATATGTGGACCGTTCGTAGTAATGGGCCTTCCTACACTGTTCATAAAGTATCAATTTGGAAACCAACCACGCGAGGTCTCCCATACGACGACGGACGACTATTATTATCTTGTCGTCTATCAGCTCGTTCCTCGTTAATGAGGAAATTAGTGTGTCATTCCTCAAATGGGAATGGTCGTACCGTGGTACGTAAAATCATGAGATTCTCTGAAATGGTCTAACGTGTGTTATGTGTATCAAAATACTAAAAGTAAACACTTAACGTGTTATATGTTTACGTTTAATCTCTCTGGTTAACCTGACTTGAATCGACATCTTAAAACACGGTTTATGTAGATCTGGTATGTGTAATGTGTTCATTATATTGCCGCTCCATATGACATCGACTCAGTTGAATTCTAAGGGCAAAAAGTGTAGCAGCTGCATGCATGGCCATTTCTCTTTTCGTGCGTATAGTCCACTAACAATGACTTTTTAGTTTTCATTGCATATAACAAATGTGCCCACCACCAACCTAGTTACATACATGATACGTACTAGCATGATGAATTGATGATTATCAGTTTATTAAGTCATTCACTCATTCGTAAACCTTAACATACTTCACGAACTTGACGTTTGTTAACATCATCGCACAAAGTAAACACTTGACGTGGGAAATATTTTAGGAGGATTGAATAAGTTAGTGCATGTTTTACGGGGAGATATTTTGACAAAGACTTGAACAAATCAACCAAATCCATGACTTGACGCAAGGCTGGTTAGCTTAGTCACATCCCCACTAAGGGGTTATCTTCTTCTTTTTAAAGAGAACCAATGAAGCGCATATACAACTCATTACTTACAACACAACCTCATCAAAAGATAAATATAACGACTCGAAGCCGTTGTTGTTATTGGGTTTCTTGTATCATTACCATTTATTTTTTCCTTTTTATACACTCTCTTGCTTCTCCTTCGCTCCACTTTTGCCGCCATGACCAGAGGGATGCTCTTTTGGAATTCAGAGACGAGTTTCCGATCTTCGACTCTAAACCAAGTCCGTGGAATAAGAGCACCGACTGCTGTTTCTGGGAGGGTGTCAAGTGCGATGATAAATCTGGCCAGGTTATATCACTCGACCTTAATACAACTCTTCTCAACAACTCTTTGAAAACTAATAGTAGTCTTTTTAGACTCGAGTCTCTTAGTAGCCTAGACCTGTCTGGTTGCAATCTCCAAGGAGAGATTCCTTCTTCACTAGGAAATCTTTCTCGCCTCATTCATCTTGAGCTTTCTTCGAATAGATTGATCGGTGAGATTCCGTCTTCAATAAGCAATTTAAACCAACTAAGATACCTTAGCCTAGGGTTTAACGGTCTCATAGGAAAGATTCCTTCTTCACTAGGAAACCTTTCTCGTCTCTCAGATCTCAAACTAGGGTTCAATCAATTGGTAGGTGAAGTTCCAGCTTCCATAGGAAACCTAAACGAACTAAGAGTCATATCACTTGAACGTAACAGTTTAAGTGGTAGTATTCCTAATTCTTTTACTAATTTAACGAGGCTTTCCGAGTTTAGCATCTACTATAATAACTTCACATCGCTTCCATCTGATATGAGTGGATTCCACAACTTGGTGACTTTTTCTGTTAGTGCAAACTCATTAGTCGGGCCTTTCCCTAAATCTTTGTTCTCGATTCCTTCACTAGAATTGGTTTATATGGATAGAAACCAATTCACCGGACCTATACAGTTTGAGAATACATCCTCATCATCTAAGCTTCAATATCTACTCCTTTCTCATAATAGATTCGATGGCTCCATCCCAGAATCCATATCTAAATTTCCCAACCTCGTATTATTATTTGTTGATAACAACAATATCAGTGGGACTATCCCTAGATCTCTGTCAAAGCTAGCTAGCCTCAGTTTTTTTGGGGTTTACAACAACAAGTTGGAAGGTGAAGTACCATCTTGGGTTTGGAAATTGTCGTCAGCCATGCTTTCACACAACTCTTTCAGCAGTTTTGAAAAAATGTCTTCAAAAGAAACACTGATCCAAGTGTTGGATTTGAGTTCGAATTCATTTCGAGGGCCATTTCCTCTTTGGATCTGCAAGCAGCTGAGAGGGTTAAACTTCTTAGATTTGTCCAACAATCTCTTCAGCGGCTCTATTCCTTCATGTTTAAGGAACTTCAATCTTACGGGGCTGATTCTTCGAAACAACGACTTCAGTGGAACTCTTCCGGATATGTTTGCCAATGCTACAAACTTACAATCACTGGACATTAGTCGCAACCAGCTGGAGGGTAAGTTTCCAAAGTCTTTGATCAACTGCAAAGCGTTGCAATTTTTGAATGTTGAAGGCAACAAAATCAAGGACAAGTTTCCATCTTGGTTGGGATCGCTGCCATCTTTACATGTCCTCATCCTCAGATCAAACGAGTTTTATGGGCCATTGCATCATCACGACGTGCCCATTGGGTTTCAGAGTTTAAGAATCGTCGATATATCACACAATGGCTTCAATGGAACACTCCCACCTCATTTTTTCTCCACTTGGCATGAAATGACTACATTAGCCAATGGAAGTTATGAGTACGTTGAAGACATCCAGAATTTTTCTCTTATTTATCGCTCCATGGAAATGGTGAATAAAGGAGTAGCAATGAGTTTCGAGCGGATCCGACAAGACTTCAGAGCCATTGACTTTTCGGACAACAGATTGTATGGCGAAATACCTGATTCCGTTGGTTGTTTGGAGGAATTACGAATTCTCAACTTGTCAGGTAATGCATTCACAAGCGTTATCCCACGATTCTTGGCAAATCTGACAAAGCTCGAGACGTTAGACCTATCTTGTAACAAGCTATCAGGTCAAATCCCACAAGATCTTAGTAAACTCTCTTTTCTATCATACATGAACTTCTCCCATAACAATCTCCAAGGTCCAGTGCCACGGGGCACACAGTTTCAAAGACAGAAATGTTCTTCATTCTCAGACAACCATGGACTCTACGGTCTTGAAGAAATCTGTGGAGAAACTCATGTTCGGAATCCTACATCACAGCAGCAAGAGGAGTTGTCAGAGGAGGAGGAAAATATGTTCAACTGGGTAGCAGCAGCAATAGCCTATGGACCCGGTGTATTTTGTGGTTTGGTGATCGGATACATCTTCACTTCACACAATCATGACTGGTTCACTGAAAAGTTTGGTCGGAAAAAACTGAGCACTTGTAAAAATTTGGTCGGAAAAAACTGAGTCACCACAAGTGCCCGTTAAGCCTATCTCTTGTCTAATCATGTTTGTGTTCTCCAAAAGACTCGTCTGTGTTTGTTTGTAATTTTCTATTTAATTGTTATGTAATAAACGTCTTTGGTGGTAGTCGATATATGTATATTGGCTTGAAACTGTATACGTTGTGTTCAGCAATTCTCACGTATGCGGCTATAAAATATAGATCTCTTGATCATAACTATACAAATAGTGAGTCCATATGTAACAACTGTAAGGGGATTGGAACGGTCACTCGGTGGCACCGTCAAGTTACCAACAGACGCTAATGACAAATGGAGAATTTCCGACATTCAAAAGATAACTCAGACCTCATATGTACGAAACGATCCAGGAACTGCCAAAAAAAATTTACGTATACATGAAAAAAAGAGCCGCTACCGTGAAATAATATAATGAGTGATGAATGAAGCAATGGAAAGAGTAAGAAAAAAAACATCGCAAAATGTACACAATTTGAGAAAGACAGAAACAACCTGAAGCTGTTGTAAAGTTTATATGGTGGAAGCTAATCCCAGAAGATGTTTACATAACATCTCCATTTTTCTGGAAAGTTTTCTATGCACCACAAAGCACAGAGCGCAATCCCCATGCTATATATGCTTTTCTTCACTACACGACCAAACACCAACACCAAGAACTTTGGTCATAATAGATCCAGCAGAGATGGTTGTGAGCCATTGGGCTTTGAGGTAGATGTGCCAGTACCACCTCTACCTCTCCCCCTTCCTCTTCCCATTGCTACTGAAGGTGGTGGTGCAAGTTTCATTGCGGACTGCTCGGTTTTGCTTGAACCGAATATGGAACTGATGTCTGCTGGCTTCTGGTTACTGTATGAACCACTAGCGAAAGATGACATTCCTTGGCTCTGTTTTGGTACACCGAAAGAGTTGATTGGGTCTTGATTATTTGCAGAGATACCTAGATTCCCTTGCTGGGGTGGTTTTAGCGAAGACAAGGAGGCATTGCTGAATGCCCAGTTGTCATCGTTAGCGGTCTGAAAATGGGTGCCGCTTGGTAATTTGTTGCTAAAATTGGATGCAGTGCCATTGTTGAGAACGTTAGAAGCAACAGAAGTACCATTGTTGGGACGTGGAGGCCAATTAGCAAATGGGTCTAATTCATCGAAACTCGGAGTAAATGATGGTCCTGTGTTTAGTTGTGCTTTAACATCAGTTGCTGGAGCGGTATGACTTGAAGATTGTCTTGGAGGCCACTCGATGTCCACTGCAGGGCATGCGGTTGGTGTTGTTTCCTGGTTAGGAAGAGTAGACATGATCGATGGCTTTGACTGATCTGTGGATTTGTTAAACTGATGGTTTGTGTTATGAAGAGAAGAAGCAGAGTTTCCTGTAGCAGAGTTTCCTGTAGCAGAATTTTTGCTCGGAGAACCCCAATCCTCATCCCATGCAGGACTACTCTTGGCTGCAGAAGCAACCTTCTCAGGTGGTTGAGTGGATGATTGCAACTGGATTCCATTGGCAACAGAATGGGGTTTCACCTCTGGGATTCCAGAATCATTTACTGTAACTCCTCTTTTTTCCTCTATTTTCCTGTTCCAAGAGACACATGCAGATCATAATAAAGACAACACTTTTGTCCAAAAAAAATAAAATAAATAAAGACAACACTATGTTGAGTGGTAAGGACGTGAAGAAAACTCTTCAGAAGATTGTCTGAGAACAACAGGCACACCTGAGAATATCCTTGACAAATAGCATATATTTGGCAAACTGCTGGACATTCAGTTGTTGGGCAGTGAGAAGCGGCATCATCAGGGTCAACACATGTTCTGCTGTGAATTCAACTCCATACTAGAGAACAATGATGGAAAATGCAGATTATAAGATGTGATGCTACCACAGATAGAAAAGGGAGAAAGTCAAGACGTTCAAACTTCCGACATTAAAGAGAAATTTGACCTGTTTCCTACCTGTTTTAAGATTGCGTTTGCTACAGCAAGGGTACACATAAGGGTAGGTGCAGAACGATCAACGGCAGTGCACCGTTGAATTGTTTGCAGAATTTCGATAACGGCAGGCTTATCAAGTGTTTGCACCAACTCTGCTAAGCAGAGCAAAGCATTTACTCTGACCTGCACAACAAATACATTACAACAACTAATGTATAAGATGGAATCAATTAATCCAGCTTCCTCCTTCTTTCTAAAGCTATTAAGGATGCTAGGATTACAAGAGGAGCTGAGATGATCGAACAAGTCATATAACATACCGCAGCAACTGTAGTTTTGAGAGCCAAGCCATGAACACGAGGCAAAATTGCTTGCCTCACGACCTGCATAAACAAGACGGAAAAAAATAAGACAACTAAGAGAACGCATTCAGTGTAAATAAGTGTAATACTCAGCACAGTCACAGAGCCACTAATTGAAATTGATTTTACCCTTATGGATAAAAAACTTATTCCAATAAAACATTAAATAAAACATTGAGCATCACCTGACCATCAAGTTGCTTAGCGACAGATGTAGATCTTTTAAGAACTTCCTCCTGAATGCGGACATCGTTATCATTGTAGGCTCGCAGAAGCAAAGGGAGGACATGTGATACAAGATGCTCGCTATCAGTCTGAAAAGTTTAACAAAAACGAAGCCGAGTAAGGATCTGACTCTGTGTGCAACACAAAACAAGGAATACTATTTTCAATGCATATATTTACAACTGGATCCAGTAACAAACAGCACTCAGTCTAACTTCAAGGTGGAAGCTCTCAACAGATTACCATACATGGCAAGTTAGAAATATAAGTAAAAAATATATGCATCTGACTAGATCTGTGTATCAGAAGACTTAACAAGAAACAAACATGGGCAAGCTAAGAAAAACATAATTAAGTCTACATATTTATCAACTTTACCTTGTTAGTAATAAGCTCTGCATGCTTTACAAGCAGCAGTAATGTATCTCCTGAAGCAGTACTCAGAACAGGAACAAGAGCTGGAAGTGTTATCAGCTCAAAGTCACTCCTATCCTGCAATTGCAATTTTTAAGATTTCCAGTTTCAAGCATTCAGTCAGTGACTCAGTGATGTCTTAGATAAAACTAGTTTTCCATATCACCTAAAGAATTAAAATTACCTGAGACTGTGCTATAGTTAGAACCATTGGCAAAATAATTGGTTGCAAAACCAAATTCCTAAGTTCAGCACAAAGAGGTGGAAGCACCTGCATGATAAAACATGGTTTATTAAGTTGTTGCAAGACATATTATCTCTATCAAGACACCGAATAAGTCAGTAAAGTGGCTACCTTATACCGTAATACACGGGAATCAAAATCTTTCCACATATCTGATAATGCTTTTAAGAACTCGGACTTCTGCATGTTATCTCTTTCCTGAGGAAAGAGAAAAATGTTCCTAAAAGGTTATCAAATGTGGAAATACATTTTCCATCATCAATATATAGTCTGTCTGAAAGAATTGTTGAAAGTATGTAGACGTACAAGCATATGATCAAGGAAACGGAGAGCACGTAACCTAGCATCACTTCGGAAAAAATTTGATCCTACAGAATGAGAGTTCAAGGAAATGTTGTAACTAACAAGCAAAGAGAAACAATTTTACAAGTAAGGAAACCTCTTCAAGATTATTTACACTTACCTGTGAAATCTAATGCTGTTGGTCTAAAGGACTCATTGGTTGATAGCATCCTTTGCAAATCAGATACCAAGTCCGAGGGTATCGAAGAGAAAGATTCATTTGTTATATAGTTCAACGTGTTCATGTACTGCGAGAAATTTCAAGATAACCATCATCAGCCGTGGGAAAATTCAAAGAATATAGTGCTATCTGTCTGAAAAAATAGAACTACTCCTAAGACATAAAGCATGAGAGAAAACATGTCAGACACCATATATCTGAATTTATAACTAATGTCAGGTCGGGTTATCGACTTACCATCTTGACATTGTTATTGCAGTCTAACAACGGTTTCCGAGCAACTAGATGATAGGCAAGGCATCCAAAACTAAAAATGTCTGACGAAGCTCCAGCTGATGGACTTTTGCTGCGCATCAGTTCAGGTGCGGTGTAATTTAGGGATGGCTGGACTGGCAGTATTGAATCCTCGACGTCATATTCCTGTACGGGCATATGCAATAAATCATCTCGCTTGTAGAGTCAAATACATCATAGACACAGCAGTTTAGTAATATTTAGAGTTTGGTTAACTCACAGAGTAGTGGAATGATTGCATGTGATCCAAATTCCCAGCCTGTGAAGCCGAAATAGCAAAACCAAACCCGGCGAGTTTCCAAGAACCAGCTGAAGTGATTAGAACATTCTGCAGGGAAGTTACAATGGCACACGTTAATAAATCTTGCAAACACGACTTCTAAGAAGACAAGTCTGGCTGCGAATTTCGGAAAACTAACCTCTGGAGATATGGCTCGATGGATGAGATTTGCGTTATTGTGTAAAAAATTCAAAGTCTCGGAAATCTGGAGCAGACCGTGCTTCACCTCCAACAAGCTCATCTCCTGATCAATTGTACACAATCAATTTAAGAAAATTCCTTTGAGGAGATTTAAAGAATGTCAAACTCAAATTGAGTTGAATCACAGCAAACAAGATGATGTAACTAATATATGATTCTAATAGAGAACATAAAGCTTACCATTGACTTAAGATCTTTCGGCACATTAGCCACATTCTCCACATTCCCAAGCGCATTAGCCACAGAGGCAAAGAGCGGTTCCGTAACTAAAGCCATAGCATTCTTATTCTCATCAAGTGCTTGCACCACATGAACCACACCAGGATGCCTCAACCGCACCAGCTTCCCCGCATCAGCTCGAATCAAATCAAGGAACGCATCTTCCGCTGCCTTAGACAACCCCGCTCGTACACGAGCCTCCGACAAAGCGCGCTTATCAAGCATCCAGACACAGACCGTCGGATACTGCTGTGAGCGCGTGGAATCACGCGCCTTAGCTGCGTATAGCTTCCAAGCGAGACCAGGGCCAGCGGAACCGATCTGATCGAGAAGCTCGTAGTCCTGAAGAGCCTTAGGTCCCGTAACTTCCTGAACTGTGGTATGAACCGTCTTCTCAATCACAGCAGCCGTTCTAGCTAGAGCTTGAGTAAACGTTTTCATATTTATCGACATTTCTGCTGGATCGGAAAAATTGCTCTTAAATGTTGTCGGTCGACGACGTGAAAACAAATGATCCGACGAGAGATCTAAAACCAAAACGGAGTTGAGAATGCGAATTTAACCGGGATCGAGGAAGAAGACGATGGCGAAAGAGAAGCACAAGTCTGGATCGAAGATCGTCTTCTTCCCCCACCTCTCTCACCTCTCTGGAGCAACTTGTTTGTTTGTTTTTTGCTTTCTCTTTCTCCTTAATTACAACACAACAGTCTTTTTTCCATTTCTCATTGTTTTTTTCTTTTTTTTGTTGATATAACTTTATTTATTGCCAAATCAGTCCTTGTCCTTGTCTTGAGATGAAAGTAACACAGAAACTAACATAGCTTAGCTTCTTGACCTCATTGTCGGCGATTACCAGTAGTCATTACAAGAGCAGGCGGAATCTTTGAAATGGTGAAACCGATTCGAGTCTCTCAGAAGAATCTCTTTCCCTAAAAGCTTTGAGGCCAATTTCATGAAGTTATGGCAATCAATACATATCCTTATGTTCTTTATTATCTGTATCATATTCACACCACAATCACCCGATGTTCTTCCCTCCATCACCGCAAATGCTAACGCTAGTTTCTCACTGTGATGCAACAAATGTTCTTCCTTCTGTTCCTCTTCCTCTATATCTTGTGAAGCTGACCTCATCTCTGGAACATAACCCATCTCCTTCAACCGACTAATCAGCCTCTCTAATTCTCTGCTTATGGCTTCCCTGTCTGGACGATGCCTTCCTCCTGATGCGAACTCGTGAACCTTGTTTCCTATTTCGGTCCAGCTCAAGCCTGTTTCTTTCCTCACTCGCCATGTTTCCATCTCCTTTATACTTTTATTGGCTTTGTTAAAGCTAAATTCTGCATTGTATATGTTTGACATCTGGATGTAACTCAATGAGTTTACGGGTTCTAGTTCTTTCAGTTTATCTGCCGCTAACTTACCCAACCGGGTGTTACCATGTTTCCTGCATGATCCCAATAATGCACTCCAAACTACAGGATCTGGGTCCATTGGCATCTGCTTGATAACTTCTTCTGCCTCAGCAAACCGTTCAGCTCGGCCTAGCATGTCGATCACACAAGCATAGTGATTCAGCTGGGGAAGAGTTTCAGGTTTCTCAAACATGGATCTGAATATTCTCAATCCTTCTTCTACTTGTCCAGCGTGGCTGCAAGCCGAGAGAAGAGCTATGAAAGTCGCTGAGTCAGGGCTTATGTCCATTTTCTTAAAGACTGGCAAAATTGAGTCTACTTGGCCATGCAATGAATATGCCTTGAGCATAGAGTTCCACGTTACCACATCCCGCATATCCATATCATCAAATACCCGCTTACACAAGTCAAGAGAGCCACACTTGGCATATGCATGGATTAATGAATTGTTCAGTAATGTGTCAGCTGCAAAACCACCCTTGAGCACTTGAGCGTGTATAGACAAAGCATGACGAGCAGTGACAAGTCCCGCACAAGCTTTTAGTACACTTGAGAAAGTATACCAGTCAGGGGTTAGCTTCTCATGACGTATCTGACCAAAGAGAAGTATAGCCCTCTCTGGATCATACACTGCAAACGCTGTTATAATCCCATTCCAAGCAACAATGTCCCTGCAGTGTCTCATTTCCATAAAAATCTTATAGCAGTCAGTAAAGTCTCCTAAAATTTCCGAATAAACTTTAACTAATGCGGTGACCACTTCAGCCTGAGTCACCAACCCGGATTTTACAGCCAGAGAATGCAGCTGAAGACAAAACTTTGAAACCTCGTCAGAAACTAAGTCAGAGCTTTTGTACAAGGAAGAACATATATTAAGCACCGTGGCACGATCAAATCCCACTCCCTCTCTGTGCATCCGCATAGAAAGACCAATGGCCTGTTTCCCGAGGTTGCAGCACTGGAAGGCTGCAATCATTGTGTTCCAAGTAACCAGATTCTTAAACTCCATGGCCTCAAACAAAGTCCAAGCTTCATATCCGGCGGCACCATTATGACACCTACCGTACATACAGATAAGCGCATTCGCCACATAAATCGAACAATGTAAACCGTGTTTCAATGCAAGTCCATGTACCTGCTTTCCAGGCTCGTACTGACAAGAAGTTAACACGCTTGACAACGCAAACTCGTTAGGGCAGAACTGAGCTAACATATCAGAGAAAAGAATGAGCCCCTCTTGTTCGTTCCCTGCCTGCACATAGCCCGTGATCAATGCAGCCCACGAAACTACATTCCTGTCAGGCATTTTATCAAACACATGCCGTGCGTATAAGATATTTCCACATTTCGCATACATAGTAATGAGGAAATTAGCAAGGATAACGTTCTGGGAATAACAATGGGGATGTGAAAGCATGTGGTGGTGTAAATTGATTCCATCGCTGAGATTGCGTTGCTCTGCACATGCTTGAAACAGAGCCGCGTAAGCCTGCTGAGACTGAAGCTCGATCGGCGCACAATAGAACAAGGAAACAGCTCGAGGGAGATCATTGGACCTCACTAACTTACGCAATCCTTCAACAAAGTCGTGTTTCAATGCAGAATGTAAAGCAGCAAAGCTAAAGCACCTCAATGTCCCAAAAGAGATATGAGATAAGCTTGTAATCATCGACGCTCCAAATTCATTACCTCGTTTATGAACACAAATTAAGTAACCTCTGTTTCGTCTAATAGAAACAGCTTTTGTAGCATTGAGTTAACTAGCAAAATCAAATTGTCTCTAAATCCTCTGTTTTTGGTGATTTTAACAACTTTTACTTGGACAATAATTAATAGAGGCAATACATGCTAGAAGCAAGGCCAAATTAACCGGGTATAAACCGAGATAGATCTAATCGGTTCAATGACCAACCGGGTAAAATAAAAGATATAGGCGAATCAGTCGTACCTACCGGTTAAGGAAAATAGTTAGACGGTTAAACCCGTCGAAGTTACCAATTTGACTTGCGCTATTTTGTAGGTTGTATACCGTATAAATTGAATGTCAGAACATCTTCAAATCAACTACCGAAACCCTAAAGCGAGAGCGGCTATTTTACAGGTGACCTCAAAACTTCCACCCACTGACCGGTCAATCTCATAGTTCTCTTCCTCTCCATAGTTTCGAAACTTTCTGATTTCAGCAACCATAAATCATGGGAGGGAAAGAAAACTGCAAAGATCTTTTAAAATTGGAGCTCGAGAATCCATCTTCTTCCTCTGCTTTGGATTCGGCACTTTTGGTCTGTACAGAGAAGAAGAAGAAGAAGAAGAAGGAGAAGAAACAGAGGGAAGCTCCTCCATCGAAGCCACCAACTATTGCTCCAGTTCCCAAAAGCCAATTTCTCGACAAAGTAAAAGGCTTCTTGGGGGTTATGGCGGAAGCTAACAAAAAGTTGGAGCAAGACGCAGCAGAGGGAAACTCTGAAGCTTTTGATATCGAAGCGTTAACAGGAAACGAATCTCAAGTTATCGAAATGGACTTGATGCTAGGAATCGCTGATCTCAACACACCTGAAGCAGTCAATGCCGCTGAAGCAGCTATTTCAGGCATTGGTCCGGCCACTAGAAGTGGAGATTCAAGCAGCCATGATGAAAGTGATAGCGACAGTGATGGAGAAGAGAATAAGAGTGAAGAATGTAGCAGAAAAAGAACCAAGATCATTGAGCTCTCTTAAAAACATGTTCTCTCTTCTCAGTTTCAATATTTTACTTTATATGAAACTTTTGCCTAATGTTATCGTTGAGAATATATAATGCATCTGTTTTGAAAATAACGATTTTGGAACGTGAATGCAAGAGTTATTCTCTGTGTGTCTTAGCTCTCTTCATCGATTAGAAGTGTAGAGCCCTCGCAGATTCCAACGTCCAGTAATGTTGATGTCTCTTCATCGAGTGCTGTAGGAAAAGGTGAGCCCTGCCATGGAAATATATAGAATATTTCAGTTGATATAATGAACGTAGAAATACAAAGACTTGTGCAGAGATACTAATTTTTACGCTAGATACCTCCTCCTGCAGAAATAATCTTGGCTTAATGGACTTGAGCTTGAAAAAGTTCTCACATAAGATCTTCAACTTCCCAACCTGTTACAAACACGAATTAAAAGCTATAACATAAATAGTTGCACATTTTCACAGTTTCTAAGACTTCTGATTCTCAATACACAAGAAGAATAAGTAACAACCGTTATACTGCCTGGTAACTTCTTTGTCAACTGAGGCTTTTCACCCATTGATGGACCAACACATTTGAGAGTAATGGCTGCACATGTCATAGTGATATAATACAAGCTTTAGACAATCAATGAACCATGCATAAGAAGCGCTTAAAAGAGTCATACAGATTAGTCCAGATGCCATGTTTTTAGGGCCGCTGCTCTCAGTCGATGCCCTTTCATCCTCAATTTCGTAAAGTTTCTTCAGTTCATTAAACCTGTGATATCACAAACAATTTTAATTTTTTCTTCTATCAATTTCTTTTGGCAGAAACTTGCACTAAGGAAGAAAACAGGAAACCAAAATATAGTACCACTTATTATTTTGTTTGCGAAGATTAGATTGAAGAAGATAAATAGTTTTGCAAAATGTACCTAGGGTGGAGCAGCTCAATCTCCTCAGACTTATTAGTTAGTTTTGACATCACCATTCGGACATACCTACGATCACCCAAAATAAAATAATAAAAGTGGTGCTACTGAAATCAAACAACAAGATTGATCACGAAGAGATGTTTGACGATTTACCGGATCTCAGAATCCCTTCTTTCACGAGCTCTGACCTGAAAAAATCCCGATAGGTTCAGATTTAAAAGAGCAATTAAAGGTAACAATATGTTCAACATTATTAGGCACTTGTACTACCTCACTCCCATTCAGCACTTGTACTTTCGTCAACCGTGCAATGAGAACAAATCTGGGGACACCGCCTCTTGCAGGATCGCTTATTGGGTTATCCGAAAGCCTGATGTCCTATAAGTTGAAGAGAGGAGTTCTGTTAAAGGGCATGATCTTCAAAAGTCTACCTAGCTTTCATGAAGAACATCTAAGACTTGCAAGAAAAATCAAGAATTCCAGTGGGTAAATGCTAGGCTTCTATAACAAGGATCATTACTGCTCTATTAGAGTATCACAGAAAAAAGATGTCAATACCACCAATTTCGGAAACGCATTCAGTGCGTCTATTGAGGCCAGATCATCAATGCTGTTGGATCCTGAGAAAACACAACGGTGAGATAAATGGCCAAAATTCAAGAAAGGGACATTACACTAGAGAAGATTACCTAGAAGAAGACAATGCAGACTGGGAAATGGGTTGCTGCTTTTCTTTGGTGATTCATTGCTATTTACAGAGTGAAATATGCGTGGCAGTTTATTCTTGTTCAGGTAAAGCTGCTCCAAGCTGAGAAACAATGTTTAGATGATCCATTGTTGATAAGTATCATTAGCACAATGTATATTTACGAGTCCATCGACAACGAGTAAGAGGGAAGATATTTATTACTGACCATGGAAGTTGAGATAGCTTTAATACTTCACTCCAATCGGAGATACAGTTATCTTCCAAGTTCAGAAGTTGCAGAGAATTAAATGCTTGATCATCTGAGGACGACATCGACTGCAAGAAGGAACCAGAGCGAATTTAAAAAAAAAAGGGAGGGAAAATAAGTTCACAGTTTACAAACTCAACACCCAAGTTTTCAAAGCAAAAAAAGTGTTGGCATGAGTGCAACTCAAGTATAATCTTCAAAGACACAAAAGCGTTTCCCAAGCATGTCCAAACTATATCCTACTTAAAGAAACTGAGCAAGCACTGGAACTACGAAAGAAAACACATTACTGTTATGGCAGATATCATGTTCCCCATCAGATGCAACTCCTCAATTCCAGGTAACGAGCGCCTAAGGTTTTCAACCTGCTCCATGATTGCAAGAGTCAGAAACTGAGATGGAACTCAATTAGTCCGTGAGAAAAAAAATAACAAGTTAAGAAGTCACAAATCACCTGAGTCCAGCTGACACCACTATTATTCAGAACCAAAACACGGATGTTTTTTAGCTGTGGCAGAGAGGTGACTTCACTTGACATAGAATTGCTAGACAGATTAAGAGTTGTAAGGGCTGGTAATTGTTCACAAAGAGCACCAATTTCCTGAAAGCCAAAAGAAAAAAAATGATCAGTCATAAACTCCAAAATTAAAATATTTGTGTATCACAAAGAGCATATGTTACTAGCAATACCTCCCAGTCAGAAATCAAGTTTCCAGATAAATCCAGCAGCTTCAAATCTGAAACAGAGGAAGCAAGTAACTTTACAACTTACAAGACGCTCATTAAAAGGTACTGAGCAAGAGAGAGTCACGCGAGTGTGTTTGAAAATGGCAGAGGTGAAAGTAGAGTGAATCTTACTTGGTAGAATTGAACCCAAATCAGATGAAACTCCAAGAGAGCTAACACCAAGATAAGAAAGAGAAGCACTCGTAAGCTCCTCGAACCGACTTAACTTATCCTGAATCTTGTCTCCTCCCAAAAGCTGAATCGAAATACGTTTGTTCCCAGCAGAGAGAACATACATTTCATCTACCATCAATAGAAGTATACACACATTATTTCAAATTCCAAAACATACTTCAAGCAAAATCTCCCTAATTGCATAACCGAAACTAACTATAACAATCTCTTCAGACCTTCTTCGTCTTTAGTTGAAGTTGTTCGGTATCTGAGCTCCAAGGCTTGAAGCAATGTGATACCTCGACTAAGATTCTGAGAGCGAACAAAGGAAGCGGAGTTCTGCGAACGACCGTTAAAGTAGAAAACGCCATTGACGGAACCGTTATGCTTGCCATCTCCGTCTTGATCCCAATCAACGCCGATCCAGGTCCCGGAGTATCCCTCCACACCTCCGACATACTTCACAGTGCCCACACGACGCGAATCATTGAGCGAGTGGACTCGCTGCCCAATTTTGAAAGACTCGTTGCTTGACTCAGCGTTCATTTCCCAAACAACCGATGAAAACAAACAAACTTGTCGATCTGAGAAACCCGCCGGAAAAATCAACAAGACGTCGTCAGATCAACGAGTGCACGGACGTCACAAATGGGCCGCACATGGGTTCCATCAATAACAGCAAACTAATCTATATGGTCCAAATTAAGCCCATGTTTTAAAGAAGTCAAACTATTCTCACGCCGACATTACGTGTGGTCAAAGGATCTTATTAAAGTCGTAACTTTATTAAGGCCTTGTTCGGACGAAAGGAGAGTGTACTTAAGTTTTTGGATTAAACTAAACTTACATAATTAAGAAGACTTTTTTGTTTATGATAAAACAAAAATTAATAATAAGTAAGACCCCAAAATAGGAATCCAGCTGCAAATCACCATTAGTACTACTAAATTCCCTCAAAATAGGAATCCAGCTGCAATTCACCCACTAGTTTCACATTCACGCACACACACATATCTCTTTCTCTTAATGTGTTCATCTTTACAAGGCCCAATGAACACCTTCCATTGTTAAGAAACCACACTTTTATTTATAATTAGTATATTTAACTATTTGCTAAATAAAATCTTTAAACTCTCTAATCAATTTGGAGAGAAGGTTTGAATTCTTCAAAACATGAATTTGAGTATGTACTGATGTGTTACAACGTGTATCAAAATCTTGTACAATCAGATGTTGTATTTTTTTTATTCAAAAAGCAGTTTAGTTATTTATACAAAAATGTATGGGCCAAATATATGGAAAAATACTACTAAATAAACAAAAGAGGTAAGGTGTATGATTATTTATAATTTAATGAATCAATGCATAACATCATTGAATCTTTTCCTAAGTAGAGAGTTTTTGTGGTTCGATTCATTGTTTCCACAACGCGTAAGACCCATTTCTATTTTCTAGTGCTTACAAGAAACCTAAAGCACCAAGACAATACAAAGACGAAAGACTCCATATACACTGAACTATTTTTTCGTACGTTTCAGTACTGTTATACGTTGAGTTATGCATCACAAGTGCGAATACTTTTATACAAGAAGAAAGAAAGTTTTCTTATCAGAAACAGAAACATAAGACAAAAGAAGTCGGTGGTCTAAAGAAACTTTTGGTTTCTTCTGATTCTAACTTTCTAAAACTCACAGAGTCTTACGCACACATCACACATGTCTCAACAACATTAGTTCTTGTTTTCTTTTCTTTTTTGATGTTGTTCAAACTACTCTGTGTTTCTGTCTCCTTAACTTTATATCTGATGTCTTTCCCGACAAAGAAACCAAAACGATTCTCCTTTTTCAAATCAAGACTCTTCCCTCCTACACTCTTGTAAAGCAGTTAGATATGTGTGATTTGATACCCTTTTTCTCTACTACTCAGACACGATTACGTAACTATATTACATGTTATACCTTTTTTTTTGGTCAACATATTACATGTTATACCTTAAACTAAAAAGGTAGTATAAATTTTCTTTTGGAACAAAAAAAAAAGAAAAAAAAACGGAAGAAAACTAACATTTTTGTAGAGCATAGGCTAGTAGGCTACTAAACTGAGCATAAGTTTCATAATATAAGATGTTTGAAAGAAGTTCTTTTCATTTCATAAGAATATAAAATAAAACTTATGCTTTCATTTCATAATTATATTATAAAATGTTTTGGATTTTCTATGCAAATGATAGATTAATGTAATATTTAAATCATTTTGTATATTATGTCTTCATTTAGACTTGTGGAACTTTATCAAATTAGACACTCTTTAATATGCATGTTTTTAGTTAAAACATCTTATGTTTTGAAACAAATGGAGTATGAAATAAAATCGTATATTACATAATATAACATCTAACATCATCATTCACAAAAAAAAAAAAAAAAAAAAAATCAGGTATTTTAAATATTGTAAATAAAATCCTAGCTTAAATTACACACAAAATTAAAAATATCATAAATGGGAACATAACAATAAGAACATTTATATTAAAATAGCCAAGAATGTTCAATTTTAAGAGGAACATAATTCAAATGATTTACATAATCACAATCAAATTAAATTCAACATAAAAGGTTATAAAGTGTCTAACTTTGCTTAATAAAAAGGAACTACATAAATCCAAAATTTAAGTTGCAACAACAACAACCAAAAAAAAAAAAAAAAAAAAAAGGAAAACCAAAACACTAATAATTTATTTTGTGAATTGACTCAGGAAAAAGGAAGAGTAATATGATCCAATGAGCTTTGACATTTGTTCGAGGATAAATCCACCTTTTGCACCAACTCTTTTAGCATCACAACGTTATGCAATGGGATCATACATAACAACAGGGTCCACAGCTGATGCAACAAAACCGCGTCTTCTTCTATTGCAAAATCCATTTTTTTCAAAAAATCCACTTCTGCTTCTTCCTCTCTCTCCATGTCTTCTTCTCACTATTGTACTTCTCTTTTTTCCATATAAAACAAAACAAGCAAACAAAAACTTGAGATTCTGCCTCCTTCCTAAAGACTCTCATTATTTTAATCATATACTACTGTTTGAGTGAACCTACAGTTCCATTTGATTCTGAATTAGATAAAAACACTTGTTAAACTCACAAACCACCTCTGAACCTTCCTGGAAGCTAGCTTTTGAACCTTTGATATTATAAAACGTGTACAGGAGTTTATCTGCTGTTAAGATACTAATCCACACCTATAAATATGTGCAGACAATTACAAACATTCCAACATCATAATCCAAGCACACACATTTACATATATATATAGAAGAACACAAAACAATCTGAGTAAAAAACACTTGTCTTTCTGTGTCTCTGTTTTCATGGCTGGGCATAGTAATTCCAGTAACAAACCGCAGAACGATGGTCAAGCTGGTATACCATCTGCCTACAGAGGGGTCCGGAAGAGGAAATGGGGGAAATGGGTGTCTGAAATACGTGAACCAGGGACCAAGAACCGTATTTGGCTTGGCAGTTTCGAGACTCCTGAGATGGCTGCAACCGCCTATGACGTTGCAGCATTCCATTTCAGGGGACGAGAGGCTCGTCTCAACTTCCCTGAGCTCGCCAGCACCCTGCCACGTCCTGCAGACTCTAGCTCAGACAGCATTCGCATGGCAGCTCATGAGGCAACACTCTGCCTCGGAACCCAACCAGTAGACTCAGCCATGCAAGTGGACAGCTCAAGCTCCTCTGCGGTGAGTCCAACGATGGTCAGACTCTCCCCCAGAGAAATTCAGGCCATCAATGAGTCGACTTTGGGATCTCCTTCCATGTGGATGCATTCAACAGATGACTGTATGGGGTTTGCTACTGATTTAGGGATGAATGTTTGGGATACATACCAGAGTGACTCTCTTTGGGACCCTTAATCCCAAAATCCAACCCATGGAGAGTTCCTACAGCTCAATATTACAATACCATCTCAAGTTACTGGCCTAGAATGCTTCATTTGTTAGGGTTTAGTCTCCAGAGTCTACCACAAGGGTTGTTGATTCTGACCTTATTTCAAAGAATAAAGCTCAACCGAGTTTTGGAGGGAAGGGCACTTGTCTTGTTCTAAAAGAACAGATGAGATTGATGGGGTCCCAAATATGGACCTCCTCACAAATATTTTTAAATTTTTTTTGTTACTAGTAGAGAGACACATAGCTTCTATTTTATAAGCTGTTTTAGAGATTGTGAGGTGTGACTTAATTATTATTTTTTTTCCAATTGTTTGTAACCCCCATGCTTATGTATTTGATTTGATATTATATTGTATGAATTCCTAAAAGCTATAAGATAATTTTTATTCTTACTAGACTTGTGTTTTCTCTTGACTTTCTCCCCTCAGCGGCATTGACTAATCTTAAGAACAAAACTAAATTTGATATTGCAAGTGCAAGATTTTTACAAGTTGAACAAGTTCAATCTGATTAATTTCTGGAACCAAATTCAGTATATACAGTACTACTAATGAAAGATCTTTAAAACAAGAGAACAGAATATACTATTCAGGATTTTTCGAGCAACTTACTTGGTGGCTTTGAGAAGAGCTAAGAAGATGTCTGAATCTGCAGTCAGGTTTGTAGGGATGACGAGGAACTCATGACCTCAAGTCTCTGCGCCTCTTTAACACGACCAAACCGATTGAGAATTTCAATGACCAGTGAATAATGATCTTTTGATGGCTGCAAATTGTACACCCGGAGCATCAAGTTGAAGAAGCGATAAGCTTCATCAACAAATCCGGCTTGACTGCAAATAGATAAAACTGCTGTAAATGTGAAGGGGTTGGGAGTAAACCCTCTAGATATCATTTTCTCAAAACAGTTTATTGCATCCTTGAAGCGTCCATTGCATCCATAAGCCTCTATAATGGCAGTCCATGTTAGAGAACCCTTGACAACAACAGTATCGAAAGAGAAATTAGCACTTCTGAGATCTCCACATTGTCCATACATCTTGATAATTCTTGCAGAAACAAACGGGATAGACTCAAATTCCTTTTTCAGAATGTGCCCATGAAGCTCCTTCCCCAGCTTTAATGCTTTGAGTTCACTGCAAACAGTCAATACCCTCCCCATCGTAACAGAATCCGGCCTGTGCTTTGATAACAGCATTGATCTAAACACTTCGAATCCTGCTCTTAAATCACCGGTTTCCACATAGCAGTCAATCATGGCGGTCCATGCTTTCACATTCCTTTGTTCCAACCTGTCAAACAGTCTAACAGGATACTCTGGAACACCGCATTTCGAGTACATCACCATCAAGGAAGTGACTAGAGAAACATTTGGCAAGAAGAGATTCTTTAAAGCATAACAATGAATCTCCTTTCCTTGCTTTATAGCCCTCAGCTCTGCACAAACAGGAAGAACTGTAGCAATTGTAACAACATCTGGCCTAAAGCCTTCTTGCTGCATCCAAACAATTGACCTCAAAGCTTGATCAAATCTTCCGTTGGCTGCGTATCCAGACATCAGTGCAGTCCAAGAAATGGCATTCCTCTGTTTTGATCCATAGAACACCCGTCTCCCAGAAACCATATCCCCACACTTGCAGTATAAATCAATCAAACCAGAGTGGACAAACGGCTGTTCCACGTAATTCTTCGTTTTCAGTACATGGGCATGGACCTCCTTTCCCAGTTTCAGTGCCTTAACATCCCCAAGTACAGGAAGAATCGTCGTAAGTATAACTGAGTTTGGATATATTCCTTCTTCACTTATCATTGTTCTAAACAATCCCAGTGCTTCCCACTGCCTTTTATTGTGAGCCAGCCCAGCAATCATTGCCCCCCAAACGACTATATCTCTCTCTACAATCTCATCAAAGACTCGACGAGCAAGCCCTACTTTGCCACATTTGAAATACATATCAACAAGAGAAGTCTTAAGAAAGACACTGCTAAACAAACCATTCTTGATCGCAAGGGCATGCGTCTTCAATCCCTGTCTCAAAGCAGATGCACCAGCAAAGCTCTTGAAGACATTAGATAAACTATAAACATTCAAATCAACCCCTTGCTCTCTCATTTCCGTAAACGTAGAAAGAACATCTTGATACCGCTTCTTCCCAGATATCACAGTCCCTCTAAGCAAAGCATTCCAAGAATAAACATTTGAGCTAGTACTTTCGTCGAACACCTTCTGTGCATCCTTAACCGAACCACAAGCAGTGTACATATGAACAAGCTTGGTCCTAAGAAACTCATTACTCTCCAGTCCATTGATACGTATATGAACATGGACTTGCTTACCGTGAATCAACGACTTCCGGCGAACACACGCGGCTAAAAGAGCGGAGAAAGTGGTCGCATTTACAGGAATTCCCCTCTGTTCGAGATAATCAAGAATCGTGAGAGCATCTTCGAGATTGTTCTTCCTCGCAAAGCTTTGAATGTCTCTGTGAATACTACATGGATTTTTGGAGTGAAGCGGAAGAGAAGAAGGGAAAGCATCTCTTTCCCTAAAAGGTTTAGGCTTTCTGGCGGGAGAAGTAGAAGGTCGTCTAGTTCTGCTTGGTCTAAACGGAGAATTCGACGGAGCTCCGTCTCGATAGGAACGTTGAGGACGGTACTGAAGACTCGTCGTCACGGGAAGTGAAGGGAGGTCCCGGAATCCGAGAGACGACACTACTTCCATTGGTGACACTAACCACTTGATTGAGCTAAGGTCATTATTTATAGCATTTAAACTATTGTGGCAAAATTACTAAAGTCTTTTTACATTAATTTAATTTTCCTATGCGTGCGAATCAAATTGTTGTAAGAAAATTCGACAATTCTCTATAGTTTAAGTGTAATAATTTGTACAAGAGTTGAAATAATGTAATTAGCATGCGTAACTTAAAGAAGCAAAAATCGCGAAGAGTAAAGGCTGAGATACCAACTCGAGACCAAACATCCCACACTAAATCCAGAAACTTGGGATGCTTAACTAAAAGAGTGAAAAATTTAAAAGGCCTAGTACCATAAGAAGGAGAAGGTGTGGTGAGCTTTATATGACAAGGAGTATGATCAGAGAAGTCCGGGGCCTCAAAAGTGCAATGACTAGATGGGAACCTAAGCAGCCAACAACCATTCACCAAACATCTATCCAATTTCTTCCCAATAGGATCCACACATCTTTTATTTGTCCATGTGAACTTCGGACCACTATAAGGAAGATCAAAGAGTCCTAAATCAGCTAAGCAATCACCAAACAAACGCATTCCTCTTGTAGAACTCACAATATCAGAATTTGAGGTTTCAAGTGGATTAAGAATCTCATTGAAATCTCCATTGATCATCCAAGGCTTATTTGATAGACGAAAAGCTGTCTCTGTATCTCGTAGGGCAAGCCAAAGCTTTTTCCTTTCATCTTCTTCATTTGAAGCGTAAACTGCAGTATAAATGAAGTTTGTGCCATCCTCTAACGAAATCTCACACGTAATCGACTGAAGGTCCATAGAAAGAACTGTTGCTATTGTTGGAGCTTTGAAAATGATCCAAATCTTACCCAAATCAGAAAACTGGTAATTAGACAAAAGGGTCCACTCCGGACCAATAGACGACAAAACAGAAAACTTGCTTGCTTTTTTAACATGAGTCATAGTACGAATTAGCGGAGTTGTCGGAAAAGGAGAGGAAGAAGATGACAAATCAGACATCACCACATCGATTAAAGGAACCGATGAAGAAGAACCAGAGAGAAGCGGGTTTGGATCCGGAGGAACTGGAGGTGGAGGAGGCATAGCCTCAGTCATCACAGATCTGAAACTCTTACTTTTTGTCGGCAAGATGTTCCCCTTCTTTCAGTGTAAGCATAAATGGAGTTACTTCAGGCTTTTTTAAAGGAAGGACTGGTTTGCGCCAGGGAGATCCACTTTCCCCAATTCTGTTTGTTATGATAATGAATGTGTTATCTTTGATGCTGAATAAGGCAGCAGAAGAAGGATCTTTCAATTACCATCCTGGATGTGAGAATCTTAGGCTTACTCATCTCTGTTTTGCTGATGATTTATTGATCTTCTTAGAAGGATCTGAGAAATCATTGAGAGGAGTTATGTCAGTTCTTACTAAATTTGAGGAAATATCAGGACTGGGAATGAACATTGAGAAGACCTCCATGTTTTGTTCTGGATTAAGTGAGGTTAGTTTGAACCAGTTAAATAACGTTTTCAATCTAAAACCAGCCTTGCTTCCAATCAGGTATTTAGGCCTCCCTTTATGCTCCAAAAAGCTATCAGTCCGTGATTGTGATCCATTGTTGTTACAAATAAGAAAGAAATTAAACTTATGGACCCACAAGTTTCTGAGTTTGGCGGGAAGGTTAACTCTTATCTCCTCAGTTATCTCTGGAATCATAAGTTTTTGGACTTCTGCTTTCTTCATTCCAAAGAAGGTTATAAGAAGGATTAATGGCCTTTGTAGCTCTTTTCTCTGGCATGGAAAGGTTGATACTCCCTCTGGTGCAAAAGTTGCTTGGTATAGCATTTGTTTTCCTAAATTAGAGGGTGGACTTGGTTTGAGGCACATTGGTAGTTGGAATGAGACATGTGCCTTGAAACTGTTTTGGATGCTGTTTTTTAGAGCTGGTTCGCTTTGGGTGGCTTGGATTAAAAGTAAGTATCTTTCTACATCTCCTTTGTGGGCACTCAATGAAAAGAATGTTACTTACTCTTGGATGTTTAGAAAATTACTTAGGCTTTGTCCCAAAGCTCTTAAATTTTTCAGCATTAATATTGGAAATGGTGATTCTACGTTCTTCTGGTGGGATCCTTGGACTCCATTTGGACCTCTTTACCATTTTCTTGGATCAGATGGTCCTAATCGTTTAGGGATCCCTCTGTTTTCAACTGTGGCTGAACTAAAAACTGAGTTTGGATGGTCTCTACCAAATGCCAGAACCGAGAGACAAGTTCTTCTCCACTCTTTCATCTCTACCATTTCCATGTCATCAGCAAATGATACACCGATTTGGACAATTGATGGTATTCCTTACTTGTCTTTCTCCTCTAAAGCAGTATGGAATGCTGTTAGGATTTCAAATCCAGTAAAATGTTGGGCACCACTTGTGTGGCACAAAGCTACCATTCCAAAGCATGCACTAACTTCATGGTTATTTATACTTAATCGCAATCCTACTCTTGATCGTCTGTCTACTTGGGGTTTCGATATTGATTTGGACTGTCTCTTGTGCGGTTTGGCCCAAGAATCGCGAAATCATTTGTTTTTTGAGTGTGACTTCTCTGCTGAGGTTTGGAGATTAATAACACAAAAGCTTAGGTTATCATCCCCTCCGTTTCTCTGGGATCAGATCCTCCTTTGGCTACCGACAGCTTCTGCATCAAAGCACCAAAAACTTGCTCTCCTTCAAGGTTGGCAGGGTGCAATCTTTGAACTGTGGCGAGAGAGAAATCGACGCTTTCATGAGGGTCTCTCCCTCTCTCCAGTTACAATAGCAACGCTCATCATTTCCACATTGAATAATAAGTGTAATGCAATGCTTCAGCTGGGCTTAAAGCGTGGGATTTCTCTTCTTCAATGCTGGGCTAATTAAGGTTTAAATCAAGACTTGGGCGCTGCTTTCGTCTTCTATTATCAATGTTTTGTTTGCTCTCTCTTTTAAGTATCCTAGCATTAGTTGCTAGTCTTCTTTATTATCTTTTTAGTTGTAATCGTTTTTTCATACTCTACTATGTATACTTTCTCTTTTTTATTCAAGAAAACCGTTTAACAAAAAAAAAACTTAAAGAATTTTAATGATTAATATTTCCTCACTTAAAAGGATTTTCTACGTAAAAGTATGAATTTCTTTTCTTTTCTTTTTAATGTTAAGTTTTTGGTATGAAATCGTTATAAGAGAAAGTTAGAAAACTACTTATAATTTTAAGCCACCTTGTCTTGATTTGATTTGTAGTTGTTGAAAGTTGAAAAGAACAGTGAATATTATTACTGGTTCCGGAACACAGCTCCAGCTTATACGCCGGCATTAATAGCAATGATTTATCTTCCGCTAGTAACCTCGTTGCTCAGGACTGCGTCTACCGGTCTACGAGGATCTCATCTTCTCATCTCCCTTCGTTGGCCCAACGGTGAAGGGTGAACCAATCTCTCTTCTTTTCCACCGCTTGTTTTTTTTTGTTGCTAAGTGAGTAAGTAACTAAGTATCATATAAAAAGAAAATGGAAAGAGGCGATTGTTTGTTTAGGATCGGAAACGTTACTTACGTACCGACGTACGTACGTACGCTGATCTCGAGAGTTTAGACCATAACAGGCGATTCTATATTTCTTTTGAAAGTTCATGGATTCAACAAGCACGAACATGCAATTCGTTATAGATGACATTTCAACGGAGACACGGTTATGGTAACATGAGAGCTACTGTAAAAATTTCGAGTGTGTGGAATGTGTAAATGCACTAAAGCTAATCTTGATTTTTTTAACACTACAACGTCTTTTTACATTAGTATTCAGTATTCACTGTTCAGGCTGCTAAAAAGGGAGTTGCTATGCCTGGTTGCTGAAGAGATTCCCACAAATTTGCCGATTGGTTCTGATGGAAATAAAAAGCTCTTGTTTGAAATATGTTTTATATTCATTCATTAGTTTCTTTTATATATCCGGGGAATATAAATTAATCAATGAAGAGTTATCATTTTTCGTTAGTAAATACGTGCGGGTACTTTTTGAACCATGCACAAATTTAACTTTTTTTGAAAGAAAAAGGGCAAAATATAAATATTTTTGTCTAATTAATACCGAAACAGTTTTTAAAATTATGACAGGCAAACAAAAAAAAAGTTAAAATAGATGGTGATACCGTTTTGGCACAGCTAAAATCTACTTAAATAATGATAAGTTATTGATCAAAATTCATTACTATAGTCTATACATAAGATAAAAACTAAAGTTTTTTTAAACTGATCTATACATTTGGTTATACATTAATTTGTTCAGCTTTCGATATAACTTTGTTAATGAATTTTACCTTGGTTTTGCTTTAAATCCAGGTAACCTGTGACAAATTCCCAAGAAAATAAAAATAAAACGTTTAATACTTTCATTAGAAATATACTCGTGTGAAATAAAGTATAGGACTCTTCGTTTTCCTGGACAACAATATAAATACATATCGGGTCTCTCCTACTTTACAAATCATCGACTCTTTAGTTTCTCCGACTCTCTCTATTTCTCTTTGGAAACACTAGTCTCTTCGAACTAAATCTTAACGAAGATGGCAGGCTTGGCAGCTGTTCCAACCAACCCTCCAACTGAATCATCCGAAGAAGAGGTCAGCAACTCCGAAGATTCCGACTCATCTGACGACTCGATGGAAGACAAACCGTCTGACTCGGACAATGGAGGTACGTACATGCATGATCACTCTTTCCCATTTCCCCTGTTTACTACTCCTAACGAAACTCTTACTAGATATTACGTACGTTGATTCTGGAAACTGATAAGTTAGTTTTTTTCGTACGTGTCGTCTACTGTTGTTACATCTACAGAAACTGAGGCTAAGGCTAACATTACTAAAGATGAGTTTTGGGTTCGGAATTCAGCTTTGAAGACTTTTTTGGGCTACATGATACGCTTGATTGGAAGCGAATTTATGTCCGAAGACTATGTTTTTGAGAAAGCCGAGCTTATGGGAGATGACAAGGCCAAAGAGTTGAATGATAAATGCGAGGCTTTGGCTATTAAGGAGTTGGAGTTTGGTGGCTTGAAGTTACGTCTCTTTTCTGAGGTTTTGTCCTCCATGAAACCCTGAATATTGTCAGCGATTATCCTAGTGTGTGTGTGTTTCTTGTTTTCAAGTCTTTGAAAGTTTGAATCTGTGTTGATTTGTGTTGGTGGCTTTGTTTTGATGAACTCGTCTTTATTTATGTTATGCAATTTTAATCTGTTTCTTTATGAATGTTCAAGATTAATGAAAGATTTAAATTATTAGTTTTCTTCTTTTTTACATTATTGTTAATATCTCTTCATCACTTTAGTTATGTTATTATAACAACAAAATTGAATTCACCAAAAAAAAAATGACAACAAAATTGTTTCAAATTAATTTTGGAAGAAGAAAAGGCTAGAATAAATTGATTTTCTTCGTATGATAAAACTAAAGAAACATGTATCATTTACCATATATTTTGAAAATCCAATGAACTTTTTGTCCATCTACACTTTTTTTTTGTTTTCAAAGTTAAATTTAGTGTTATATTTTTGGAAGAACAAAAATTCTACATAACTTAATAATTAAAAAAATTTGTCAATCTAAGAAAGATAAATAAAAAATATGATGAGAAAAATAAAATAAAAATAAAAAAATGAATACTTTACTTATCATGCAACTAATTAAATTTTCTGTCAATAAATTCCAAAACAGAACTCTTTGCTTTTCTTAATCACAAACCCAAATGAGCCACAAAAACGAAGACATCATATCAAGAAAGAAACAACGACGATGAGCTTCACTGCTTCTCTCGTCTCTTCTTTAACGCCTCCCTCCTCGCTCGTATCATCACTCAGCGATCTTCCTCCTTCCTTCTTCCTCGGAACTTCACTCTGTCAACCAACAAGTCTTACTCGTTCACGGCCACCTCGATTGTCTGCATCCTTTGTTCCGGCTGCAAAAGCTGTCTCGCTTGCCACAGCTAAGGACGTTGTTCCCGAATTGGCTCCGACATCAGCCTCAGAGGTTGTCTCCAGCTTCTACGCCGCCATTAACGTCCATGATTTATCCTCTGTCACAGACCTCATCGCCCAAAACTGCGTCTACGAGGACCTCGTCTTCTCATCTCCCTTCGTTGGCCGGAAGGTGAAACTCAGATGAACCAATCTATCTTTTTAACATTCATTTTTGTTCCTCAGAGCCTAACCTGAATTAGAACAATGACAGGCGATTCTTGATTTCTTCGGAAAATTCATTGAATCAACAAGTACAGATCTGCAATTCGTGATAGATGACATCTCAACAGAGGACTCATCAGCTGTGGGAGTTTCATGGCATTTAGGTTAGTTTCTAAACTCTTTAACCTTACCTAACGTCTAGCTAACGGCAATTTACTCTTTAAAACAGACTTTTTAATGATTTCAACCATTACCTTGTTCTAATGAGTAGTAAACTGGAAATTTCGACAGAGTGGAAGGGAAAGAATTTCCCATTTAGCAAAGGTTGCAGCTTTTACCGGCTAGAAGTTATTGATGGCAAAAGACAGATTGTGTAAGCATACTCAACTTTGCTGCTACTACAGTTGACTTGACAGTGATGCCAATTTGTATTGCTGTGGGAACCATATCTTATTTGTTTTTTGCCTGCAGATATGGAAGGGACTGCGTCGAGCCTGCAATCAAACCTGGAGAAACAGTTCTGGTAACATGAACTACTATTAATTTCGATTGTGTGGATGTGTTTGAAATTGCAAAGGTAATGCAGATTTGACATCTTTTCACATTTGTATTCAGGCTGCTATAAAGGGAGTTACCTGGCTACTTCAGAAATTTCCTCAATTGGCTGACCAATTCTGATGTAATTATAAAGCTTGTGCTTTGTGACGCGAATCAGCTCAGAAATATAAGTTTCCCTTGTGGTATATAGGAATAACACTGCGGCGGCAATCCCCACCATTGTCCAATTTGTGTTAATGTATATGCTAGTACCATTCGTATTCAACTCCAACCAAAAATCGTCATGTATATAGAATATGTGCTACTAACTTATAAATCGCCAGTTGATCAATCACATAAAAAAGATGATATGATCCATGACGGTAACCTTCATCCTATTTCTTGAAGAAGTTCTTCATCTGAAATTTGCTCATTGATGGCAGCAGTGTCTTTCATCAGCTGATTCAGTCCATCTAACAGATGATAAGTATCACATGATTGAGGGCTTGATGTGTCACCCACCGAAAATAATGAAAACCCAAAATCTGTATAGATCCAAGCACAACCAGGATCTTTTTTCACCCCCAAGTCCCTCATGATAGTCCTCACTTCAGAAAGCTTGCTCCAAGAACCAGCAGCTGCATACATATTTGCAATCAACACATAGTATCCCGGGTTATCTGGCTTCATCTCCAGTAGCTTTTCTGCTGCCCATTTACCAATCTCTGTGTTCCCATGGATATGACATGCGTTCAGTAGAGTAGCCCACGTGGCACCAGATGGCTCGTATGGCATTTTGTGAATTAGGTCTCTGGCATCCACCAGAAGACCTGCTCTGCCATAGAGATCAACCATACAAGAAAAGTGTTGAAGGCAAGGGCGTATACCAAATTCACACTCCATCTTCATAAACAGCCTATGGCCTTCATGGACTAACTTGGAATGGCTGCAAGCTGATAGAACTGCAACCATGGTTACATGGTCAGGTTTAATTCCGGATCTGATCATCTCCTCGAACAGGGCCAATGCAACTCTCGCTTCACCCTGAATTCCATATCCATCTATCAGTGACGTGAATGTTACTTCGTCTCTTTCGCTCATAAAATTACATACTCGCTTTGCAACTACGATTTTTCCCGATTTTGCATAAACATCAACAAGGGAGTTCCAAAGCATTGTATTGTCCTTGAAGCACTTGCGCCTTAGGATGTAGCAATGAAACTCTTTCCCATGCTGCAGGTTTGCAATTCGAGCACACAGAGGGAGAATGCTAGCAAGTGTAACAGAATTCGGCTGAAAGCCAGCGATCATCATCTCCCTCAGCAGATAAGAGGCTTCTTCTGATCTGTTCAGTTGCGCATGGCCGGAAATGATAGAGTTCCACGTACATAAACTATTTTCGTCAATCTGTTGGAACACTATAAAGGCATGCCTAAGGTCATCACATTTCGAGTACATTGTGATCAATGTGTTTCGAACATTATCAATCCCATCATATAAACTGCGAATTGCAAAACCGTGAATCTCTTTCCCCAGTCTTGTTGCTCCTATGAGTGAGCAAGCCTTCAAACCAATAATCACAGCCACGGGATCTAAGCTCGCTGGGAAATGTCTCATCCTAGAGACCAAACCCAACGCTCCTACATAGTTTCCTGTATGCAAACAACCTCCAGAAATAATATTCCAAGTTATGACACTGACTTCTGCACCTGAAAACCACATTTTATCAAAAAGCTCAAACGCTTCACTCCACATGCCTTCTGACGCATAACAGCTTATTACTGCATTCCAAGAGACAGTATCCCTTTCAGACATTCTATCAAACAACCTCCGAGCAATACCCACTTTTCGAAACCTTTTATACATAGAAATCAATGCGTTACAAATGTATAAGCTGGACTTATAAGAGCTAACCTCTATTGATCCATGAACCACCCTTCCAGAAGCAAAATCTAATGTTGCACCACAGGCCTTGAGAACAGATGGATAAGTGAAGGCATCGGGTCGAATTCCCTTTCTCACCATTCTCTTATAAGCAGCAACAGCCTCCTCAAATAGCTCGTTCTTGGCATACGAAGAGATGAGTACATTCCAAGGCAAGGGATGCAAAATGTGTGAGTTCTCATTAATCGACTGAGCTTCACTGTGCAGATTAAAGGCAGAGTAAAACGCAACCAGCTTTGGTACTAAAGCAGAGTGATATTCAACTCCGGACGAAATACAGTAAGCATGAATTTGCAGCCCTGACACATATGCACGAACATCGATGCAGGCGGATAAAAGGGAAGCAGCCGAGTGCAGAACGAGATCACTTGAAACTGCATAAGAATAAGAAGATTGAAGACGAAGAAGAGAAAAGGTTTTGAAGGCATCGAGCAAATGACCACGGCTGGCCAAATGTTCAAGAGATTTAAAAGGAATCTGCATGAATCAATGTGAGTTTCGTCCCAAGAACTTCTGAAACTGGTTGGTTCTTTCCATGATAGGGTGAGACCTCTAGATGTATACGGCATATAATTTGTGTAACAGCATCATGCGTAGCTTGGCATAACTCAAGCACTAGAACTTCTAGTTGGATAAATTATACTATCATATCCAAATATTTCTCTCCTCCTGAAATCAGAGCAAAAAAATTTAGACTGAGAGGTGAGAAAACTTCATTGAGGCATAACATCGAACATGTGGTGCGTCGAACATACCATATATACAAACACACATGTACACCTGAAAGTATATCTATAGTAGAATCGAAAAGATATGATTGAGAATCAACGAAACAGAGGTTTAAACAGACAAAGCAAAGTGAAATAAGGCGCGCGAAAAACACAACGAGACTCTGAAGAAGAAGACTCCATAGACAATAAACTAACTTGCTTGTCGGCTAACTCATCAGAAGCGCATATTGGGTCATACTTCTCAGACCGAACGTTATGGGCCTTTCTTATTAAAAGCCCATTAACGCTAGTTTCCAAAAAAATCTGAATAAGTGAGGCGTGTTGGCAAAATAGAAGCCCATATAAAAAAAGTGTGGCTACCATCATCTTTCTTCTTCCTTTCGTTATCCACTTAGTCTCTCTCTCCTTTGTGTGGTCAAATGCATTTCCCTCCATTCTCTTACGCTCTCTCTCACTCTCGTCCATGGCGACCACCGCGTCTTCGTCTCTCCCCCGTAATTACTCCTTCACACCACCTCGTCCTCCTCCATCTTCAATCCGTGGACCGGGAACGTTGCCGCTCTACCTCCGCCGTAACCGTCGATTAGCTCTAACCTACCGATTGGATAAGAATTCGAAGCAGAGGAGTGGTGTTGGAAACATCAGATGTGAGGCGACGGAGGTTTCTTCTTCTTCCTCTGCTGTATCTTCGCCTGGAAGGAATTGGGTGCCGGTTGTGCCGTTATCAGCGCTTCCTAAAGGTGAGCGACGAGTGGTTATTCAAGACGATGAGACGATATTGTTGCTTTGGTATAAGAACGATGTGTTTGCAATTGAGAATCGTTCTCCAGCTGAAGGAGCTTACAGCGAAGGACTTCTCAACGCTAGGCTCACTCAGGTTTATTCGTCTTTCAGAAAGACTCTTTCTACTTTAATAATTTGTGGTTTTTTCGTCGTTTGGAATTCTTGGCATATAAGGTGTTTGTGTAAATGCTTGACTGAGTTAGTGTGGCAGCTTTAGGGGACGAAGTTTATGAGATAGACATCTTTAATTCCATAAACAACCCATGGCTTAAGTTGTATACAAATCTAAGTTGAGTTCGTATGGACCAAGTAAATTACCACAAATTGGTTTGCACATCACAATATATGAATCACATGTTCTCTGTATTTTTGGTTATGCTTTTTTTTTTTACTGTTGCTATAATGTGTAAGGGTCTTGGTTTTAGTAGTACTACTTTTGCTCCATATATGTTGGTTTCTCTAACGGTTAGTGATCTCTTTGTGGCATTTACATCAGGATGGTTGCATTGTGTGCCCATCAACAGATAGTACGTTTGATCTTAGAACTGGAGAGATCCGGGAATGGTACCCAAAAAACCCGGTTCTCAGAGTCTTGACACCTGCACTGAGAAAACTATTTGTATACCCTGTCAAATATGATGAAGATAACATCTACATCAGCATTAGAGACAGCGGGAGAGCAGAGGCAGCTGCAGAGATCGTCTTTAGTGGAAAAGCTCAGCCTGGGCTCACAGCAACAAATGTCAATGTAGATGAGGTAAAACAAAATGATAGATGTCAAATGTAACATGTTTCATATTGGAGAAACAAATGGTAAGAGTGATACGATGAATTTGTATTTTCACAGGTGAGAATGGTAGTGGACGAGGGTTCAGAAGGATTTGGTTTCACAAAGAAGAATGAAGTCATAAACGGGAAGGCGGCAGTGATAGGATTCTTGCTGCTGTTAGATTTTGAGCTTTTGACAGGTAAAGGTCTATTGAAGGGGACAGGGTTCTTGGACTTCCTTTACGCTGCTTCAGATGCTTTCAAGTAGAGAATATATTATCGTTGGTCTGGTTTTGCTTGCTTCGTTTATGCAATCTGCCGACAAACAAAAATTACTCCTGTAACAACTCCCACCGTGTCTTTGTCCATAGAGATGGTTTTGCTCTGTCTTTGTTTGTGTGATTACCTTCTTATACGAGATTCTTTCTTCTCCGTGAGCTTATCCCATTTGTGACCAAATATCAACCACCATTTGTTGTGACATACAACAGTTCAAAATTGATTGGATGAAACAATAATCTTTAAACAGTGCTAGGGTCCTGGACTATATTAACTTTGAAAGCACTATATGTTAAGTCTAAAAGTACACATATTTTTCTAAAGAGTTAACAATAGGTATTTCGAGTAAGATATCTTCTAACTCAATATGATCGGCCTGTCACACCACCTTTGTACCAAGATTTAGGAATAATATTGTGTAGACTAAGAGAATAAAGGAATATCTTGGTAGATAAATAGATAAGATAGGGAAGGAGAGAGTTCATTGCATTCAAATTGGGTTGCTCTCCAAACTCCAAAGTTATGTGATTCCGTGTGCGGAATCTTTGTTAGTATTGTATTAAGTTTGTGTACCGTCTTAGCAAAGAGACTACAAATCACATATAACTTATTCGTTTTCAGTGTACAAAACGAGACAAGAGACAAAAAGGAACTTTTCTGTCTTTTTGCGTCAAACTAATAAGGCCAAGACAGAGCACCCGTTTAAGACTATCTGGTGACGTCATGCCTGATGGTTTAGTAACATAAATTAACCCAAAATAATAAGATGAAGATCTAGAGAGAGAGAGAGAGAGAGAGAGAGAGAAAGGCAAGTCTCATGTTTTCTCGTTTTCAAGTTTTCAGCACGTGATGTCGTGATGAAACTTTGTGTGTGTTTTATTTTTCTACGAGACTTTGAATCAAGTCGTATTGGTATAGGTCATCAGATGACTACTATGTACATGATCAGAATCATGCTTTTATATTTCAAATTTTACATGATTTTTTAAAGTCATTATTCTTATTCCTCTACAGGTCTACGAAGGTTTAGAGTAATTACATGATGAATTTTGCACCAATTTGTTTTTGAGTAATTAAGTTTTTTTTTTGTTTTTTTTGAGATATTGGTCTTTTTGTAGCTAACCATTTTGGGTTTCTTTTGTCCAATATTCGACGTAAAATGGAGAAACTTTCAAAATAATATTACGTGTAGTTTACATATATATTTTCTTAATATATATATATATATATATATATATGTAATTTACATATTACAATTTTAGATTTGCAACTACGTAAATCATAACCAATCAATCACGCATAATGTTAATAGGATTAATTGGATTTTTAGTACATTTTTGAAACATAATTATAAAAGTAGTACATTTACTATTTATAATTAGCAAACTAATACATTTTTACTATTTGAACACTATTTAGACACTATTAAAAAACCCTTTAAATCTAATAACTATAATATTAATCAAAATAAATTTGTTTTTAATAAAATTTCAGTTACATAAAAATCTACATTTTTTTCTCTATAATTTGATATGCATTTTATTCTAATAATTTATAATATTTTTCAAACAAATTTTGATACGTCCAGCTATCCTTATGTACAGTTGTGTGTCGCTGTACGGAAAATCATCCGTACAGCGGTTTATATATACGTATAATTGTACGTGTACAAATGTTTTTCTTCTCTATATATGTATATTTGTTTATGTGTAAATATGTGTTTTTGTAGTTGTTTCTCTTTGTACAAATATTTTATGTACAATAATGTGTTGCTGTACAATTGTCTATATGTACAGATACATGAAATAGTAAAATTGTACTATTTTGCTAATTATGAATAGTAAATGTACTACCTTTATAATTATGTTTTAAAAACGTACTAGTTTACTAACAAACCCATGTTAATAATATATATTTTTGACATCTCATAATGTCTATAATCAATGATCCATTACCCAACCTCTCTTTATTACGTTGAATAATTCATTTATTTATCCAAATGGGGTTATTTAGTTGATGTAAACCTCAACCACTTGAAAATTGAAACATGACTAGAAGCCTCCATAGACACCCAAAAATGAAAACTATTAATAGAAAACGTCAACCAGTGCGAGCCACATGTGTTATATATCACATATTCCCCTCTGGTCACATACTTTGACCATATATATATATTATTATTAGATTTTTCCTATACATAACCCAATTTCAAAGTTTTATTAATATAATTATACATTTCCATACGATTTTATTCTTAACCAACGATCTGGACCACTTCCTTCTGCTACAACGTATTTATATAGTTAACACTTTCTCTCATGATCATACAATATCATCCTACTCCAGCCAAAAAAAAATGGATTCATCAAAAGACGCCGGAGAAACTTACCAGAGCAAGTACAAAGGTATCCGTCGTCGGAAATGGGGAAAATGGGTTTCGGAGATTAGGGTTCCGGGAACTCGTCAACGTCTCTGGTTAGGCTCTTTCTCCACAGCCGAAGGCGCTGCCGTAGCGCACGACGTCGCTTTTTACTGCTTGCACCGACCATCTTCTCTAGACGACGAAGCTTTTAACTTCCCTCACTTGCTCCCAACCTCTCTCGCTTCCAACACATCTCCCAAATCCATCCAAAAAGCTGCTTCCGACGCTGGCATGGCCGTGGACGCCGGATTCAACCTAAACAACGACGGTGCTGCGTCTGGTAGTGGTGGCTATGAAGGTAGATCGTCGACTGCGAACATGGATGACGACAACAACGATCTGAGTATCTCCGTGTACGATTACTTGGAAGACGAAGTACGTTTTTAGTAGTTCATTGTAGAATGTGCATAAATAGGGTTTAATTAGGATCTGTTTTTTTTTTTTTTAACTATTTTCTGTTACACTTATAGAATCTTTTTTCCCCCACATGAGCTTTTCATTTCTCCGGCTTCTTTTTCTTATGATGTAGTACTTATTATATCCAAATAGCTCAACCGGTTAGAAATGTTGTTTTGGTGTTTCATAACCAAGTTTGAGTTGTTTTGTTCTCTTTGCATAAGAATCATTTACATTTTGTTGACCTAGTACCGTTTAAAACCACCCAAAGTACCATTATTTGACGACACAGACACAATCATGATTATGAAATCATCTGAAGAAAATTAATTTTGGATGGGATGGGGTGGGATATATATTATACACTTCAATACTTCATCGTGTACTTTGTACTTTGTAGTCTTGTAATTATATGTTCAACAGTCAACACCAGAGTAAAGGCTGTCGGGCTTTATAAATAAGAATAGGCCCAGTTTATGAATTCATTGAGACCCAATTATGACCGGAACAGAAGAAAAATAATCAGACAGTGAAAGGTCGTTGACCCATTCCTTTATGATCTCCTCCTCTATCATCATTTGAAATCTTGATTATAGAAGAAATAAAGGACATTAAGTGGTACGCACGTTCCAGTTTCTCTATGACAACAACAACAGACTCACAAAAACGTGAGAGAGACAACAACAACAACAAAAAAAAGAAAGTTTTTTTGGTCGCCGACAATATCACCAAGACCAGAGTAGAAGAGTAGATAGATAAAGCAAAATCGGCAAAAAAAACCTCTGTTTTCCATAAATAGGAGACTTAAGTGGTCCGTTTTGTTTTGTAATGGGTTGTATTTGCGCCACCGCGCGTTCCCCTAGCGCCGCCGTTACCGATAAAGACCTGTTAGATTCCAGCAAATCAATCCTTCAACTCATCCCTCATCGTCCACCGTCGTCGTCGTCTTCGTCTTTATCCAAAAAGGAAGGATCTTTCACACGTACGACTTCCGCAGCTTCCATCACCATTGTAGCTAATGGTTACCCTGTGTCACGCCGTCCTTCCACCTCATCATCTGATCGAAACAGCGTCAAACCGGTGGTTGTTGTAGGAGCTCCGACCAGGAATCCCACCAGAAGAGTCACTGCTATACCCGTTGCGCAGCCTATAAGTCAGCAGCAGCCAGGACGTTTGATCAGCAATAAAACGGAACTTACCGGCGCAGAATGGCCCTCTTGGTTGGCTTCTGTTGCCGGTGATGCCATTAAAGGATGGGTTCCTCGTTGCGCAGAGTCTTTTGAGAAGTTAGACAAAGTTAGTTGATCTTCTCTGTTTTCTTACAGAATCGTGTCTGTGTTCCTCTAAGATGCCTGAAATAACAACTTTTGTTGTGTGTACTTGTTTTAGATTGGACAAGGGACTTACAGCAGCGTGTACAAAGCTAGAGACTTGGAAACAGGAAAGATTGTGGCGATGAAGAAGGTTAGGTTTGTGAATATGGATCCAGAGAGTGTGAGGTTTATGGCTAGGGAGATTCTCATTCTTCGTAAACTTGACCATCCCAATGTTATGAAGCTTGAAGGTCTAGTCACCTCTAGACTCTCAGGTAGTCTCTACCTTGTCTTTGAGTACATGGAACATGATCTCGCAGGTCTAGCCGCAACTCCTGGAATCAAATTCTCTGAATCTCAGGTATTACATACTCTGTTTTCCCATAGAGACTAAAAAAGTTTGGAAAATTTGAAGTCAGAAGAGAGATTTGCTTTGTTTGCAGATAAAGTGCTATATGCAACAACTGTTCCGTGGACTTGAACATTGCCACAGACGAGGTATTCTTCACCGTGATATTAAGGGATCAAATCTCTTGATCAATAATGAAGGTGTCTTGAAGATTGGTGATTTCGGATTGGCCAACTTTTACCGGGGTGATGGAGATTTGCAGCTGACAAGTCGTGTTGTAACCTTATGGTACAGAGCACCTGAGCTCTTGCTTGGTGCCACTGAGTATGGACCAGCCATAGACCTGTGGAGCGCTGGTTGCATTCTCACTGAGCTCTTCGCTGGAAAGCCTATTATGCCAGGACGCACAGAAGTAAGAGAACACTCTTTAAACCTGAAACACCATCTGTTCAGATTCTGATTCTCAGATCCCTATGCTGGGATAATTATCCTTTTTGCTTTTTAGGTGGAGCAGATGCACAAGATCTTTAAGCTCTGTGGTTCACCCTCGGAAGATTACTGGAGAAGAGCAACACTACCACTTGCAACAAGCTTTAAACCAAGTCATCCTTACAAGGCAGTTCTTGCTGAAACCTTCAGTCATTTCCCTGCATCAGCTCTTACCCTCATCAACAAGCTACTGGCAATAGAACCTGAGAAGCGTGGATCAGCTGCTTCTACCTTGAGGAGTGAAGTAATATATTAATACTAACCATAGATCCTTGTTTCTTAAGTAAGTAAGTTACAATCAAACTCATGACCAGTTTTGAATTTTCTTCTCTGCAGTTCTTCACCACAGAGCCACTCCCTGCTAATCCATCAAATTTACCTAGATACCCTCCAAGCAAGGAACTTGATGCTAAGCTTCGCAACGAAGAAGCAAGAAAGTAAAGCTACATACATCTTCATTCACTAGTCCTTCTCTTGGGAGTTTTCTAATGAATCTTTATGTTTGCAGGCTAAGGGCAGAGGATAGCAAGAGAAGAGGGGGAGAAACAGTGACAAGAAGACGGCCAAAGGATCTTAAAACTGCCCAGACACCTGAGTTTATGGCTGCAGGGCAGTCCAAAGTCACATGCATAAGCCATAAATTCAAAACAGACGAGGAGGGTGGAACCGGGTTTAGGATTGAACCACCAAGAAGAGGGATTCAGCAGAATGGTAAAGCTCATGCTTCTTCAATGGTTCACCCAACAGTGGCTGATACAGAATGGAACAGAGGTGGGAGCATCAAAAGGCAAACTAATGCAGAGCTCAAGTCTAAAATATCTCAAACAGGAGACTTGTCTGGTGATTCTTACAGGAGAGATTCCAACAGAGATTACTCAACCGTAAGCCTCTTTTCTCCCCTCTTTACTTATTTAGTGTACCTTAAGCCTTTGGTATGTAACTGTTGAGTTGTCTTGGGATGTTTTCAGGGAAACGCACCGAGGAAAAACAGAATCCATTACTCAGGACCATTGATGCCTCCTGGTGGAAATCTTGAAGATTTGCTCAAAGAGCACGAGAAGCAGATCCAACAAGCTGTCCGCAAAGCCCGTGTGGAAAAGTCTGCATCAAGGAAAAACCAAGGCTTAACAGGACAACAGCAGCAGCGATACACAGGAAGAAATGCTCGGTAGCCAAAAGAGAAAAGAACAAAAAGAAACTTTTAAACAACATAGCACATGTTTTGAGGTTCATCAAGCCATGGAACTCATAAGCGGTTTTTGTTCTGCCATTTCTGTGCGTGAAGCCAGGGGATTGATGCAATGTATAGTCTATTTGTGACTTAGACCAACAAGATTGACCACACTATAATGTCAAACTACCTTTTTGTACATACATAAGGTCACTATTGAGTTGAGTCAAGCAAAAAACATGTATTTCCAAGTGAAGCAAAATACTGACTGGCTCAGTCCCAAGTAATCGGATATTTTGTGTATAGAAATTCATATTAAAAGAGCTTATAAGTTGTGTATTTTTATGAGATTTTCTCATTTAAAATTGTTATACCATTTGTGGACTCCTTTTATTGTCTTAAAACAAAAGCCTTATAGGAATGCAAAATGTGGGAAAGCTGTAACATCGGGACGAATAAGGCTAGAAACGAGGGTAAAGAAAAAAAAGATCTGAAAGAAAAAATAATAGGAAGAGAGACCAGAGTCGTTGGATTTGTGAGTGACTTTTTAAAGTATTGTGATTAACCGCAGACTCGTTCAAAAGACCATCCTCACTTTCCTAAGATCCAAGTACTCAAATTACTTACCTCTCTATTTAAACACTTCATCACCTTTTGTAATCCTCATTAACCAGTAATTACTCTACTCTTCTAATTTTTTTTTCTTCTTTTTTTTTTTGTTTTCTTCTCTATACATATTGTAACAAAAAATAAATACATATACTTTGTATTTTATTTTTTTATTTTTTGTGAGTATTAAAGAAAACACAAGACAAGAATGACATACCACGTACCTCCTCCAGCGGTAAGTATATGCTTTGTCTGCCTTTACAAAGTATCTTTTTTATCTTATGGCAAGAGTGTGTGGAGTTTTGGTCCGACTTGTCTTTTCTCTCTAAGTATGCATCACATGAATAATGTAGTTTCATCAATGAGGCTCTAACATTTTTTTCATACTCTTTCCTTACTTTTATTACATCTTCCTGTGAAAACGAAATGTAACGTTAATCGCTTTTAGTGCTTTTTAATATCATTCTTCAACATTCACATCCGACATCCCTATATTAACCAAGCATAAATCTTGATCAGGATGATGAGGAGAACAGAGGAAGATCAACGGAGAATACTAATACCCGGGAAATGGATTACAATGATTGGTTGCCGGTCACAGCGTCTAGAGAGGCCAAATGGTATTACTCCGCCTTCCACAACGTCACGGCCATGGTCGGCGCCGGAGTTCTTGGTCTCCCTTTCGCCATGTCACAACTTGGATGGTAATTTTTTTTTTTTTAATGTTTTTGTATTCTTCATAAAATAAAGTGGTAACTAACGATTAAATTATTTGATTATTTAACAGGGCACCTGGACTTATTGCGATCATAATGTCATGGGCTATAACGTTCTATTCGTTGTGGCAAATGGTGCAGCTTCACGAAGCCGTACCCGGGAAACGGTTAGACCGTTACCCCGAGCTAGGCCAAGAAGCGTTCGGACCAAGACTAGGTTACTGGATCGTCTTGCCGCAACAGCTTTTAGTGCAGATCGCTTCCGACATAGTCTACAACGTGACAGGAGGTAAATCGCTTAAGAAGTTTGTCGAGCTACTCTTTCCTAATCTCGAACATATCCGTCAGACTTATTACATCCTCGGATTCGCCGCGCTCCAGCTTGTGCTCTCTCAATCTCCTGATTTCAACTCGATCAAGATCGTGTCTCTCCTCGCCGCCCTCATGTCTTTCCTGTACAGACACCAAACCTAACATAAAACAAGACAAAAGATTTGTGTTTTGTTTTGTGATGTATTTGTAACGAAACTTTATTTTTGTTTTTTTTGGCAGTTACTCAATGATAGCTTCCGTAGCGTCAATAGCTAAAGGAACGCAACACCATCCTTCAAGTTACGGAGTCAGAGGAGACACGGTGGCCTCAATTGTGTTTGATGCATTTAATGGCATTGGAACCATAGCGTTTGCGTTTGCAGGACACAGTGTGGTTCTTGAGATACAAGCCACTATTCCTTCAACACCTGAAATCCCTTCCAAGAAACCAATGTGGAAAGGAGTTGTGGTCGCTTACCTAATCGTCATCGTTTGTTACCTTTTTGTGGCTATCTCCGGTTTTTGGGCTTTTGGTGATCTTGTTGAGGATGATGTTCTCATTTCCTTAGAGAGACCAGCTTGGCTTATAGCTGCTGCCAACTTCATGGTCTTTATCCATGTCATTGGAAGTTATCAGGTCTAGTTTTGTTTCCTTATCTTTTGTTCCTTTAGGAAAAAAAAAAAGTTTCTCCAACTTTGATTACAATGAATTCATCTGGACAGGTTTTTGCGATGATCGTGTTTGACACTATCGAGTCGTATCTTGTGAAAACACTGAAATTCACTCCTTCAACAATGCTGCGTCTAGTCGCACGTAGTACATATGTTGGTTAGTTCTCATGCATTTAGGTTCTTTGATTTATTTCTTTTTTTTCCTTGAGAAATAGAAACTGAGTTTCTTGTTTTTTTTTTTTTTTGCAGCATTAATTTGTCTTATAGCAGTTTGTATCCCCTTTTTCGGAGGTCTTTTAGGGTTCTTCGGTGGCCTCGTCTTCTCATCAACCTCCTACTTCGTAAGACACCATACAAAAAGAAGGTTCTTTGCAAACATAAGTTTATAAAGATGGATAATGATATATACCTCTTTGAACTTGCAGTTGCCTTGCATGATATGGTTGATCATGAAGAAACCAAAAAGATTTAGCATCCATTGGTTTTGCTCTTGGGTAAGTCTTTCTTTCTTGAGTCAACAAGTCTCTTAGTCATAAAGCTAATGATCCCAAGAACTCTTTAATCCGTTTGTTTCTAACTAACAGGCAGCGATAGTCACTGGAGTCTCGATAGCAATTCTCGCGCCCATTGGAGGAATGAGACACATTATCCTTTCGGCAAGAACCTACAAGCTCTTCTCATAGGCTTTTTAAATAAAAGCCATGCAATAACCAGTACAACAAACTTACAAATGTCTTTTACCTTTTTTTTAACTTTTTTTAGTAGCAGTCTAGTTGGGAAACTTATATAGTTAGATTTATTGATTATGTGGCTTCTCGTTTCTATTTATAACCATTCCATCAAGAACTGCCTTCCCAAATTGCTGTGAAGGCTCTATGCGCTTCGGCCTGAGGCTGTGACGGATGATGTTCTCTCTAACCCGTCATGTTAAAACTACTTAAAGAAAAGGAATACCATACACAACATTGTGGTCATCCTCGGGATCTGAACTTGCAGTTTTTTGGAGTTTTTAGCATGTTTTGTTTTGAAGTCTGTAGATTTTATACTGCAATGTTAAAAAGCCTAAACGGCTGTATCAGAAGTTTTTGGTTTTGGATTGTAATAAAACATCTTAATAATGAGATTGGCTTTTACGTTTTCCCTGTGTTGTGTTACTTTAAATACTTAACGACCAACCCCAAAAAAAATGTAACTGTAAAACAGAGGTGCAAAACAGAGTTGCGAAAACAGAGAAGCACATCAGATGCAATACCTGAAAGATTTGATTTTGCCATGGTTGACAAAGAAAAAATTTGGCCATAAAGATACAACCAAACTTGCCCAAATTTTAAGGCTTCACTGATGAAAATATTGACAAGTTTTTACTTCAGAACATTGAGATTCATATATTCAATGAACATACGATTCTGATCAAATCACTGAGAAATGAAGATAAAGAGCTAAAGAGGAAGATTCAAATTGTCAAGGATCGTGCAATCAATAGAATCCCCTAAGAACATAAACGTATTCGTATTCAGACACATACAGAAACGTATTATTTCGATCTTACTTGCGGTGCAATCAACTCAAAGCTGCCAAATTAGACGGCGCCCATCAGACATCTCAAATCAAACCCTAAATTAGCAGAGAGGGTTTGGTGCTAAGTGATCTGGTCTCTAGTGTGAACTGGCCAATCTTATATTGGATATGTCATTAGACTTGTGCCTTTTCAATAAGATTTGTCATTGAACTTTTCCTAGGTTTTTACAAAGAAATTATATGACTTTGAGTTGAGATAGTATTGTATCTCAAAAGAAAAAATATATAAAAACAAACGGAGTTTCCTATAAACTGTTGTTTACAATTAAAAAAAAAAGGTAAATTAAAGTGAAAACACTTAGACTTGTAATTCGTAATGTAGTGAGTAAAAAGTATTCTAATTTGTAAGTTGTAACTGTTATACTACTCTATACTCTTTTAACTATTTTTAGAAACTTGGTCCTATATGGTGATGACACCGACGCCTTAATTTAATCATGAAATTATTATTGCTAGTGTCGACGAATCAATTTGGTACACAACAGCAATCAAACCAAACACACATGGACAACGCTTGAAAGAAAAATTAAAATCTTTTGTCTCTTTGTCCCCTAAAGTACACAGAAACCCTTCGGATGCAGTAGCGTTCGTCTCTCAGTCTTGAGCACAATCTCTCTGCATCCCCCAATGACGACTAATCTCTCGTTTCCGATTACCCTGAAACACATACTCTCTAGCTTGGCAACTCTTGTCCTAATCACTCTCTACTTCATCACCAGAACCGGTTTCTCACCGTCTTCTTCTTCTATTCAGCCTCCGGACAACAACACTCTCCGGATCTCCAATTCCTCCACCGTACAGAGCCAAGAATCCGCAAAGTGTAGTAAGATTCCTCCTTCGCTTGCTGACGCTCTGATCCACTATGCCTCCTCCAATGTCACTCCCCAGCAAACGCACTCCGAAATCTCCGTCACTAAGAAGGTAACAAAACATTCATTACATGCAATTTAAATTGTCAATTATTCCAAATCAAGAACTCAATTGGTGGTCACTTAAATTTACCAAAAATCAACATGATTAGCTGATTCAGTTAGAATGACCCTAGTCTAATCATTTGTACTAATGTTGCTACCGTATATATATATATATATATATATATATATATATATATATATATATATACCGTAATTAAATCTTTATAAGTACTAGTGTTGTTTCCGTGTTATAAGATAGTGTGAATTGTAATGACACAAAAAAGAAGAAATTTGCATCAGGTCTTAGTGAAGAAGTCGCCGTGCAACTTTCTCGTGTTTGGTCTTGGTCACGACAGCTTCATGTGGTCGACGTTAAACTACGGAGGAAGAACCATTTTCTTAGAAGAGAACGAGTCATGGATCCGTCAAATCGCCGAGAAATTCCCGTCTCTGGAATCGTACCACGTCCAATACAATACCAAGGTAAGAGACGCGGCTGCTCTGATGGCAGTGGCGAAAGAAAGAGAGGAGTGTCGTAGCGTGTCGACTGATCTTAGGGTTTCCGCGTGCGAGCTCGCGTTGAAAGGCTTACCGGAGGTGGTTTACGAGACAGAGTGGGATTTAATCATGGTGGATGCTCCGACGGGGTTTCATGAAGAAGCTCCGGGGAGGATGACGGCGCTTTATACGGCGGGGATGATCGCGAGGAGAAGGAAGGATGGAGGAGAGACGACGGATGTGTTTGTGCACGATGTCGATAGGAAAGTGGAGGACGAGTTCTCAATGGCGTTTCTATGTAGAGATTACATGACAGAGCAAGAGGGTCGGCTCCGCCATTTCACGGTGCCTAGTCACCGGAACTATGGTATCTCCGGCGGTAAATTATGTCCTTAAACTCTAATCCGCAGGTAAAATACAATTATATTGGTAAGAGTATCCGGAACTCCATAGGCGTCAGAGATTAGTATGAGTTCAGAGCTTTAAATGCTGTAATATAAAAAAACTATTCTATATTTTTTTAAATATAATTTCATATTTGATATTTAAACAAATGAAAGGACTAGATTGATATTGACCGTTTCGTGGACATAGTAGACGTTTCAAAAGGAAAACAGATTTGACTCAAAACGTTACAAGAAAAAAGTTACAAAGACTACTAAGTGATGGTCTATACTAATTGAGACTGGCCAGTTCTTGAATGTTGATAGGATATGCAACGGTGCGGTCACCAGCAAACGCCTTCTTTGCCATTATGAGATTAACTTTCTCGGTAGGATGAAAAGCGTCCCAAAATATATACTGATCTCTGTTATCACAAGGTGTTTCAAAGGGAAGACAAGTGATCTGTCCTCTGTTTTTCCCTATCCCACAACAGCCTTTGTCCATGGTAGTAAACCCTATATATATACAAATAACACAACATTATATATATATATTAGCTGAAGATATTGATTAAATTTGGTTGAGCTTGTTTAGCGTTTGTTCATTACCATAAGCTGCTTGGTTGGCAATGATGTCTTCGTACATATGAGCAATATCTAGGTAAATGAATTTAGCATCCGGGAGATTCTGGTTGAGATTAGAGATCATTGTTTTTACGTTTGTGTTGAAAGGAAGAACAAGTTGATTCACTTCTTCCGAGCATTTACCGTCGCTTCCTTGAGCTAAAATACTCGGAATGCATCCCATCCTTCCAAGTCCGGCCACTACGAATTTCCGACCACCGAGATTATATAGTCTCTGCATTGCCCCAAAAAAAAAAAACACACATGACATTTTGGTTACAATTTTAGATTATTTCTTAAAATAAGCAAGCTTAATTAGAGAGCATTGTTTTGTTTTTGATGTATTACGGTGAGTTGATTGGTGTAATGTTGAACCAAGAGATCGCCGAATTGTTGGGAATTAAATTGGTTACGGGTAGGGAAATTAGGCATCAAGTAATTGTTGAGGTAGTCGTTGCTTCCCATTCCAATGAAGAACAAGCTTCGAGTCACCGAATCCGCTATGGCCACTGCACCACCAGACTTGCCCGCTACCTGATCTAATGTTGTCTCAAAGTTATGAATCTGCTCGTCGAAAGGTATGCGCCCCACCTGACCAACAAAATCATCAAACCCAACGTTACATAATGAACCCTCGCCTTTAGCCGGGGCATGCACAAGGATTTTTCTCGGGAACTACTATATTTTAACCATCTAACTAATGATTTTACATCATAAAACCTAGCTTTTATAACAAAAATAGATAAACATCAACATCATCAAAGTACTTACATGTAATATAAATGATTGGCTGGTTAATTAGTAGATACAAGTAGATCTATACATACTAATAGGATAACATACATTCCCTTAAAAAATAAAAAATAAAAATAAAATAAAAAATAAAAAAATACATTTCCTACAAAAAAAAGTGTATATGTGTAAACCTTTTTTTGGTAATTAAAGGAAATATGCAACTTACAAAGTTTCCCCCGGTGTCAGGAAGGATCCCGGCGGCTGCGGAAGCGTAGTTGACACCACGAAGTACTTGATCTCCGGTAGCTTCCGAGTAGGCAGGAATCAATGGAAGCCCCAACAGTTGAGCTATATGATCAGTGCATGCATGCATCATAAGACTTTATATATTAGCATCTAAACTGTATTCACTTTCTATACAATTTTGTTTTTCCAGTTTAAGGAGAAATTAAAGAAAAACATGTTTTGAAGAGAAAGAAGATTTAAATGTTTGTAAAACTTGCTGTAAAAAAACATACCAATCCCGTCAACCATGGTCAAGCCATTGCAGAACCGACCGGTCGGACCACCATTGAAATCGATGCCGTAAGGGAAATAATTGGCTTTAGCAAAGGAAGGGATGTTGTTGTTATTCCCATTGTCTATAAGAGAGTCACCGAAGACAAACAGCGCCGGCACAACGCCATCACCGCCGTTTAGGTCGACCAGAGGAGGCGGAGGAGCAGAAACAGGTTCCTCAACCACAACTAGTTGGCCGGAGACGCCATGAAGGAGTTGGATAACCACCGCTGAGAGAAAGCAAAGTTGCCGGAAGTGGAAAGCCATTGTAAAGTAGTTTTGTGTTTAACTTTGTTGGGTGACGAAAAAAGATAGAATTGGAGAGATTTATAGACAGAGAGGGGTAGGGTTTGGTGAAGAGTAATAAATGTCTCTATCCGTCTTCTACCATCAGTCAGTGACTCAGTGATGATAATCAGTTAATCACAATAGGTGAGTAAGAATATTATACATGCTTTATTTTTTCATGCATGTCTATCGAATGACTCTCGATTATTGTCGATGCATGTAATTTTTGAGCCAAAATACTTGAAAAAATTTGAGTGTGATGTAGGTTCTAGAAATTAACGTACATGGAAAATTACAAAAATATATTAAGATGAAATTTATAATGTGTTTAGGTATATTATATATCACCAACAAAAAAAAACCATTCGTTCTTTAATTGCATATGATTTATATTAGATTAATTACGGAAAAGTTTAGTTAAAAGGTTTCGAGACAGCTCAACTAAACAAAATATCATTTACAAACAATCGATTTCATTAAGCTCATTATATGATATTGTCGTAAATAATAGTAGGAGTAGTAGTTGACTAAAATAGAGAAAATAAAACCATGAAAATCACTTTTTTGGTTCTACAGAAAAGAAAAAAACGTTCTACAGAAAAGAAAAAAACGTTGCATTTAAATCGTCGTTATTATCAATGACGTTTAATATGCTTTCACGGCCAAATCGTGACGACCAATTATATCGTAGAAGAGGGCAGAGAAAGCATCGAATAAGTTTCTTCTATTACAAATGATGGTTGTAAGATTTAACATTTCATTAATTTTAGGGTTGACTTTTAATATTTTTGACTTCTCAGATTGTGTAATAAAAGAGTATGAAAGTGGGACAAAATTTTAGGAGTAGTTTTTTTTTTTTTTTTTTGCCAATATATGAAGGGTCACCGGTTTTTTCACCCCCATACATATTACATTATCAGCATTACAGCCTCTATTTTTGAGCTCTTAATAAACCAACACAAACAAATTATTTCTATATATAAATGATACTTAAAAAGTTTCCACATCTGCATATATATTTGTTTCAAATTTCATGACATGATCAGTTTTGGAATCGAATGAAAGAAGATAAAGATTTTGTGTTTGATTTCTATACTACATTTAGTATCATTTGTCGACATTATATTTTTCATAATGGGCAAAATTTTACATATATTATGTTACAAAAAAATAGTAATTGAAATACACTGAAAAGAGGATAGCAATCCTCAATAAAACCCCAAAAAAAATCCATAAATTCAGAACATAGATAGAAACTAGAAAGAGTTTTACACACCACACTTGTAGTAGTCATTTCAAGTTCACACCAACAAATGAAAAACAACAAGAGGAAAAAAAAAACATACAGATAGTTTTTTCAACTGCCTTAGCAAAGTTCCACAGGCGTTATTTATTATAATTATGTGTGATATAACAACACTATATATTAGACTTACCAAGGTTGTTATTTAAATTCGTAAGACATAGTCTTCAAATACCCTATGGTCTAGAACTGAAATATTTCACTTGGCATGGTTAGCGGATAAGAATAATTAGTCTCCACTGTTGCGAAGGTAGCATCTAAAATGCTGTTGTTGTTCTCCTCTATCTGCATCATAACCCACCAACACAAAACAAATCATTAGACAATATTTCAGCAAAAGTAATCAAAATTTCATTGTCTATCTCAAGAGATACATTTGGATATAATTCTAGATCTTTAATTTCATAAAATATTGCAATATGGTGAGATCAATGTTATACGACTTAGTGATGTTGTATGTTACCTTCTCGAGGAGAAACTTATTGGTGTTTTTGAGGACTCCTTCCTTTACGCACAAAAAGGAAAACAAGAAAAAACATCCCGTTAAACAATGTTACAATAATAAATTTTAACTTTTTGTATTTGATTCTTATCAACCAAAATCTGAATATCTAATGACTTTATTATGTGCTTACCTTGTTCCTCAACGTCTGAATTTCTTGAAGCATAACATCCATCTGAAAATTTTACGTATTAACCTTTTTTCAGTCAATATTTTAGATTTCGCTCTCCCTAACATATGTTTGATATATACATTAATGCATGTAATACCTTAGCAGTGCGAATCTGAGAAATCCAATACTCAAGATGCTTCTCAAGCAAAAGAAGTTCTTCAAGATTCATCGCCCCATCGCCTCCTCCAAACATATACCTTATGAATCCATTTTATTATGGTTACATATATATGTGTATGCATTTATAAACCCATATAAACACCTTGGCAAGGAGATGGCATGTAAGTAATCAATATATATAATATACCTTATCCCTTTCTGAAGCATCTCAATCTCTTGCTTAAGCACGTTGATCTCATCTTTTGGATCCTAGAAAATTAACTTTATCATTAATTTATAACCTCATATTTTTAAGCGGATGAGAAAAATTGAAGAACATGAAAAACGTATATGTACATCAATTAAAATAATACTAGTTCATATCGTGTCAATTTTTAACAGTTTAGGGCAACCTTTATAAAGTGGTCATAGCAACTTTTAATCACCAAAAGGTTGTGCTGATTATAAACCAATAGTACAACTTCTTTTTGAAGTATAGAATGTGATTGAATAACCAAAGTCCAAAGATATGCAAACATATATTTTAAAATTGTAATATGGGTCTATAGTTGTCTCTAAGCATCTTTTACTTTAACAGTAGCTAATTAATTTGACTTGTTTTGTTTCCACTTTATACTAAGCTAGTACAACGTTCCACAATATATATCAGTTCCTCAACACTAGTCGACAAATGAATACTAAGCTAAATTCGAAGAATGGGAGAGCTGGGTGCATTGAATGTTGTACTTCACTACCTATTTCATGTAGAATCGGAATCAGGTGCCCTACCTAACTTCTTTGAGTATTTTAATTTCAACAGAGTCTCCCCTTTGCATGTCAACACGTGTTATCATTATTTTATAATACTAGTATATTACCTTTATAAAACGAAAAAGACTAATTAATTACCCCAAAATAACGAAATGGAAATAACTGATAAAAAACCATTGAGCATCCAATAGCTAGTTTAATTTTGATCAACCCAAAAAATCCATAAGATAATCCTAAGATAAGTTAAATAACTAAAGCTTTGACAAAAAAAAGGAACATAATTAATAACTAAAGGAAACGAAAGAGACGTACAAGATTTGGGGGTTGAAGTTGTTCTTGAGCAGTAAAAGTAGCAGAAGAAGAACCACGACCACCACCGGTGCACTTCATGTACTTATCAATCATTCCCTCCATTGTTCTGATGTTAAACCAGATTCCCATATATAATTACTCTCCAATCACATATAAACACAAACACCAATATGAACTCTATGAGAGATATATATATAGTTAATATATATACCCTTTAGTAGCGAGCTCAAAGAGCTTGCCCTGAGGAGAGAAGATCACAACACCGATCTCTGCGTCACATAGCACAGAGAGCTCCTTAGCCTTCTTGAGAAGACCAGTTCTCCTCTTGCAAAACGTCACTTGTCTGTGAACCGGGTTCTCAATCCTCTTAAGCTGAATCTTTCCACGAGCCATCTTATCTCTCTAGCTATCAGAATCTTCCCTTCTTCTTGCTGGTGATGATTTAACTTTCTTGTTTTGGAACTTAGAAACGTGAAACAACCTCCCACTAGTTTGAACTAGCTTCGAGGTTTCCCACTTAACTCTTTGGTTTCTCTGTTTCTTCGGAGAAAACTGTCAAGCTATAACCAAACTAATGCCTCCTTCTTCTCTTTATATATAATCTCCATTATCATATTCTCCCACTCACTTCTCTGCTTCTTAAAGCACCTTTTTTTTTCCACATCAGCCTCCTTTTTCTCGTATAAATCTACATATATGTTATATGTCAAGTACGCATTCATACAAAGTATACAGCTTTACATGCGAAAGCTCCGTCAAAAAGCATTGTTTGTTATTTTAAGGGGTTGTATTATATACTATCTCTAGCTTCTAGCTTGTAGTATAATTAAAATTCCTAGGTTATATTTGATTGATTGATCTTACATTCGATGTGACATATGACCTGACATGCACTAATGTTACAAAATCTAAATGGTGCATTTTAATTTAAGTTTGGTGTAGAATGGAAACTAGTTACTGCTGAGAAAAAAAGAATGGAAATTAGGTAAGTAAAAAATAGAAAAAAAAAAATTCCGAAATAATTGAGTTCCCAAATGACATGCCATTCCTTATTAAAGTAATCGATTGTCCATAAACTAAAGTGAAGTTTTTCCAAATTATGAGGCCACCAATATGAATGACCAAACATCATTGTCCATATTTGGACTCATCAACCGATTGTTTCCTTATATAACGAAATCATATGATAGTAGTTTTGCAACGGAGTGAGAGTGACCTCAAATACTATAAAGAACAACGTAATTTACAAATGAAGAACAAACTTCATGTCTTTCTAAATAATGTGTTTTGAGTTTGTTTAAGAGTTCAAGTATAATAAAATTCTTTTTCAAAGAAAAAAAAAAAACAGAAAACATCAATTTTGTTCTTTGTTATGCAGCTCATGAATAATTTTGCCAAATAGTGTTTTTTTTTTTTTTTTGAACAAGCCAAATAGTGTTTACGTTTCCTTTATACGCCGGAGCTTTTTAAAAAACTTTTTCTATACATACATATCCCTGGCCTAAAATATGCTAATGATTTAGAATTAATTATAATACGTTACCTTGTTCTATTACTAAGCTAAATTTACTGCATAAACTTAGTATTTTTATTACAAATATTAATTCATACATAGATTTGTAAACTTAATACATTTTAGTGATGTATTAAACTTAATACATTTTAGTGATGTAGTAAACTTAATACATTTTAGTGATGAAAACTTAATACATTTTAGTGATGTAGTAAACTTAATACATTTTAGTAAACTTAATACATTTTAGTGATGTAGTAAACTTAATACATTTTAGTGATGTAGTAAACTTAATACATTTTAGTAAACTTAATAAAGTTCATTCGTTTCACAAAACACGAGACAATATTTAGTTGGTCTTTTATACATTTTTTAACCCATTTTAACTACTAAAGAACAATTAAGTGATGGTCATTAAGCCTTTAACATTTTTTTAAAATGGTCATTAAGCATAATTAGCTAATATTTAAAGAGGGTATCATGTGCATCTCATCGTGGTGGAGAACCAATGACCTGCCCATGTTAGGTGACCATGTAGCTTTTCTTTTGTTATTTGTATTTATTTATTTGAAATTAACACTTTATTTTTGTTAATTGTTTTCCCATTTCTATTTTTTTTTTGGCCATCTTGTTTTGCCCTTTGTCTACATGACAAACTCCTGAATCTTATTCTTCTTCTACGTGGTTTTCGACTCACTTTTCTTCTTGGAATATGATCAGATTGTTTCTCTTATATCTGAATAGAAAATGCACCAATTCATAATCTCAAAGCTTCGAAGGCTGTTTGCCATTATTTAACACTCCAAAGATATCTACCTAGACAGTAGACGCTTGGCTCATCTTTACACATTAGATCATTATAATTTGAATGACCTCACGTTTTTTTTTCTTTTTTCTTTTTTTGTCAACAATGACCTCACGTTTGATATACGTATTTGATATGTTTTGTTTACGCTTGTACTGTATTTTGTTATTATTTATGATCAAATATAAATGCCATCATGAAGATAGTAAGGTTTGGTCAATCTCGATTAATGCATAAACGTCTTCCATAAATTTATTGATCTTTATTTGAAAACAGCTAGCTTATAAGCAATGTATATTTAAAAAATAAGGGAGAAAGAGATGGCTCAAGTTAAGTAAGTAAGAAGGAAGTAATTAGAGAATCTTTGTCAAATCAAAATGCATCAAACATGCAAAAAACTCAGAAAGTGTGTGATCGATCTGTTGCTTCTTTTTCGTCGCATCTTTGCGCTCATTGGCCCTCAGGATCGTATCCATGATTGACACTTGGTTTGTTTTTCATGTCTTTCTAGCCTTCTAGGGGCATAGCATAAAGCTTCTTTAGATTCTCCACTCCCTAAAATTCATTTGTTTATCTTTAATGCATGCTTTTAAATTAACTATGAGCTTATGTACAATATTGATATGCGAAAGTGGGGTTTTTAAGATAACTTTAATATATGCATTGATTTATAAATTATGGAGAAATTAAGTAGTATTATTAGGCATTCGAACCAATTATTTCTTCGAATATATGGATCTTAGAATAAGGAACCAATTAAATGTTCATATGAAAATATTCAAATTTTTTATAATCTCGTGGTAATGTGAATACACTATTTTATAAACTTAGAACCCTAGTTTGATACTCATCCGAATAGCCTACGGTTATAAAAAAAAAAAAAAAAATCAAATTATAAATACTAGAAGTCTAGAATTACAACAATAAAAAATTTTGATACTCGCTCTAACACGTTCAAAAAATTAGTTTTAATGTTATAATGGAAGATTGGCATATGTATATTTGTTAGACACTCGATAAAATCAATCACAATACTCAACGGCATCATGATATAACCTTGAACTTTCGGATTTTTGTTGTTGTTGTCGAAACGGTTGAAATCAAAGCAGAAGAAAGTCCTATATATATGCATATTCGTGGTCATTGCCAAAATGTCGGAACTACAATTTGTTGGTCATATATAGAGATCATCTGTCACAGATATATATATGAACATAGTATGCAATCCTAAGCCTTCTGCCACTGCCACATGTGACGTACGTATTAGAACCATCTCAAGTAGTCTTGCTTGATAACTCTCGATTTCTAGTCACAACTTCTCAAGTCGGCCTCTCCCCTTTCGTTAAAATCCCTCTTCACCACCAATACTTCCCTCTCACTTGTAAGTATCTCCATTACGCTCACCTGTCTCAGATCCTAAGTATGGATACAATCTTTTGCAATAGAGAGACGACACCTTTTTTTTTTTGTGAAGAAGAAAATGGCATAAAACTATACTACATATGTTCGCTTCTCCCTGCAACCACTTAATGGAAAAAAAAACTGGCCACATTTTCAAAGTTTAGTTACTTCTTTTTATTAGTGAGTTATTTTAATGGCTAGTTTTATGAAATCCGTTGTTACGTTGTTTTTTCTTTGTTAAATTCATAAAATAGATCCATTATTATATAAAAACCCACATAATATATTCATTATATAAATTATGGATATATACCTGAAAAAATATAGAAGATGAATACAACATAGATATTAAAAATATCTAATCTACAAGAAGCACTAAACTTATATGGTCCCATCGACATTGAATCTTTAAAAGAAAGGACAAGATGCCTTCGGATAATTAAGGTTGCCCTTTATACTCTTATCAAATTTTTGATAAATAAAACTATATTAGAAGAATCATTGTAGTATTAATTAATTTATTGTAATTAGATTACCACAATGTTGCGTATAAATAATAGTGTTATTATTAGATTGCAAAAACAACTAATTTTAAAACCAAATATCTAACATGCTAAATCTTGATGCTACATATAAATGTTGAATCTAGAAACAATACCGAGATACACAAACGAGCAAAGTCTAGTCCCTCTCAAACTTTTATTGGTCTCCAATAAAACATGCAAGAATAAACAATAGTATAAAATAAAATTTAAAGACAAATACCCCAAAGTTTTATTCTTGATAAGAGAATTTTGACCATAATCTAGCGATCATGGTCAGCCATTGGTCCAGGGTTTCAAGTAATCTTAATTAGTGTATATATATAGTTTGTGAATTAATTATGTACATTCCTTTTAATTTTATATTGTTTTATAATATATCTAGTTATTTGTACCACATAATCTATATGAGTCATGAGAGGCATTTTTCTCTGTAAAAGAAAACTCTTTTATCCTCCGTTCTAACACAACCAGAACAGTGATAATGTGACATGCATGATAAAAGAATAAATCTCTTAAAATTATTAACATATAAATTAATTAATCTTCTTAACAAATGTTATAATTGTTGGTAATGATGCGAAGTGGGATGGAGTGGAGCATCCAACCATCCACAAAATGGTTTCACAGCTAAAAGAATAAGCCGTACACCAAGTTGGTATATAAATTAAACTCCAAGTTTATTTAATTATATTTGAGATATGTACGCACGCATTTGAAATTTTGTTATCCTCTTCCATTTTATTGTTAAACAATGTTTTATGATTCCAACACAATTATTTTGGGACATATGCCGTATTTGGGAAAAACTATAATTCAAACAAACAAAAAATATAGATTAGTTTTCTCTTCCCCTTAAAAAGTAAAAATAATCACGTTTTTGCTTTATGCAAATTGTTGGACGGTACAAATATAACATAGCATGGCATGTCAATATGTCATACTATTATTTATTCCTTAATATTTTTGGTTTGCCATAAAAAAAATTATGTTGATATATATATATTTGCACCTTATCTAACCTAGCTAACTTATATATGTAAGTTCCGACGTCACACACCCACAGCGTTACTGACACTTGACGCCTATCTTATCTAAAGTATAGTCATCGTCGTCACAAGCACACGAGATCCACACTTTCTCATTTCACTAATTTCAGAAACTTGGCTTCTCATTGACCTAAATCGCAGTTTATTTATTTTTATGTATTGTACTATTATTAATAAAACATCAGGTTTTGTTTAGCGATCAGTTTGTAAGGAAGGAAAGGTGTCCTACCAAAAGAAACCCTTAATTAGCTAGTACAGTCTTGATTTTATTAAACTAAAACCTCAGTTTCAGAATCTTCTTTACAAAGACAAAATAAAGTTGAAGGCACCACGTGTCTTCTAGCTCCCGATTCAATTAGATGATACCCCAAAATGGCTAATAGTCAATCATATGATTCTCCCCGGCTGCTAGTGTCGGTGTATTAGTGGTGACATTATCGGAGTAGTGAAACAGGTAAAATCTAAAGATTACGGAGACACAAGGTTGGTAGGGATTGCCTTTGTGATTCCCCTGGACACGGTGCTGGAGTCTGGAGGTAACAGCCCTGAAAATGGATCAGCTGGTAGCTGGTATTCCAAGACTAAGAGAGATTAAAGGAAGGTAGAGAGTACATATGAAAGCCAGACACACATGACTGACACCAAACTAACAGAGTTAATCATCCTGTAAAACACCATTGCGATAGCGACGAACAGCTCGACGCATCCCCATGCCTCTTTCAAACTGACGATCCAAACGATAGAGAGCCACGTAAGCAGGAAAATTATTGGCTTTGTGGTCCCTGCTGTTGTAGTTTGGCTCTACTTTATCGAAGTAGGCATGAGCAGCACCTAAGCCTTTAGTCTTGGCAATGAGTTTAACAAAAAGTTTAAAGCTCATGTGGATCAAAATCCATCTTCTTTCTATCCATCCACTCAAAGATCTAAGCAGAATACAAAAAAAATAAACTTTCAAAAATCTTAAACAAGAAAAGAAAAGAATGAATTGAAATGTTAAATAGATGAGATGATAGAGACAGAGACCTCGAGGGCATATTCATGTTTGCCTTACTTGTCAAGCTGCTCGGCCGTGCTGACGAGATCCGCCTGAGTGAAGGAAACATCACCCTTCTTCTCTTCCTCCCTCATGACGAAATCTAAGGTCTCACCCATAAGAGACCGCAGCTTCTCGAATATATTATTTTTCTCAGTCTTCTCAGCAGAAGAAGCTCTCACGATCTTCCTGGTTGGGTTATTCGCATCACAAGTACAAAATGGAGCCATTCTTGCGATCTTCATCTCTCCCTTCCATAGATGAACAAGAGAACCTCCTGTTGCAATTCGTCGCAACTTCAACATTTTGCTAACCCTAACTTTTTTTGACAATTCCATATTCTATGTCTAATATAAGAATAAATACTCGCACTCTTGTTTTGGGCTCTTTTAAACGGCCTGGCCCAATTAAAATAAAAAAATAAAAAAAATTTCATGTCTCTCTTCCAAGGGTTTTCTCACTTTGAGCATCTCATACGCAAATTTATTTTGATTGTTAGATACCCTCTCACAAACCATCGATGGACATGCTCTTAGTAGTTAATAGGTTACATGTACATATTTTTTTGATTTGTCTGACGGTTATGATTTGCGCACAAGACTTTGTCACAATGACAATTGTCACGAGACAAACATTGCAGCTCTTTTAAGAATAATTAGGTGGTGTGACAAAAATTGAATAGAAGACATTAAGTGAGTAGCAATAATGCAACTTAAAAAAATATATCTCGGCCACCCTGTTCAATTTCAAGGTTTGACATGGATAGGGGCCAAAGTATAATTGTATGAATCTCTATGAGAGGAGATTTATGTATTGATCACATATATATATATATATGGTATGTGTGTGATAAGATTGTATCATTTTAGCTCGATGAAGGATGTCCGATGCATAATTTTGCTGATTAAGAAATGTACCTTTCGGATTGCGCAGGATAGATATACGGAGTGATCTTAGATCTGTCATGGCAAAGGCAGAATTAATCAAGGGTGGAGATCTAATCAAGGAGAGCCGGCGAGGATGCGGTGAGAGCAATGTCATCAACATAAAGAAGCAAATACGCAATATCCCTGCCACGAGAAAAAACAAACAGCTACGAGGCCGAAACACTTTGAATAAAACCAAGTCGCTTAGCAAACATGGAGAACCTTGTATACCATGTGTGTGGTGCTTGTTTTCAATCACGTGCTCGCTTTGCATTAGATTTTCAAAACTTGGAGAAAGTCTGTTCGCTCTTTTGGGTTGATTTCAAATACCCCACCATTTCTGCTAAAGTCGCAATCTTCATAAACCATTAATTTACGATCCACTGACCCAAACGAATTTGCCAACACAAACACGCGTGCTTGTCTTGAATTTCGTCCACTGTCAATTGTCATGCGAGTTTCTTTCTACAAAAAAAAATCCACATCGATACTTTCTTTACAGAAATGGATCAAATCACTTTTTGGGACTCTAATTAGACCAATAACTAGTAAACACAACTTAATATGAAATTTTAGATTACTTTCGATATATAGTTGTCTGTCGCTAGAGGCTAATTAATAATGCTATCAGACTATCATACACCACAATATATAGAGTATGTACAAGTGTACTATCCAAGACCCATAGATGGGCTATGATATTATTTTGACGGTGATCTCATTTATGACTTTTAGATTCTTCTACACTAGGCTTTTTGACTTTTGTTGGTTGTTGCTGCGGAACGCAGTTTCTCGTCATATTATAATCTCCGGTCTCCGCGTCCATAACAATCCAAATCGCATGCACGCGACTAATAAATAACTCGTGTATATATATTATACTCCAAAACTACTTCTAATTGTCAAATTAATATAGCACAACATATATCATACTATGCTTAGTATTTTTCTTAAGAATATTTCTTTTTCATATATAGAAAGTTCCGGGCATTATTTTCATAGTAGCGAAGACGTAGTATTTTGATCATGCTTAGGGAAGGACCGTAAAGAATCCTCTCTCTAAACATAGAACATGGAATTTGAGTTCGGGCTTTATGATAAATAGCACTAAAACAATTCCTTGAACAGGTTTAAGTAATCGAAAATTGTACACGGAAAAACAATCAACGTTTTCAATTTTACTCTAATTAATAGTAGTACTATTTATATCCATTGTCAATAGTCAAGTTGATATAGTAATATAAACCCCACACGTATTTATCTCCTTTATCTTTAGGAAAAAAGAAAATATTTATATGCTTTAATATTTGATCCAAAAACTACAAAGTCTATGTATATATTTTTTTTGGTCATCATATCAAAAATGGGATTGTGTTAAATAATTGACACGTTAATTACATACGGGGGACGAGACCCGTTCCTACGATCAAAACACAAACTTTCCTCGCAGTTTTGTTTTTTTTTTTGTTTTTTTGGTCTTTTGGAAATAATAAAAAGGGAAAATTTGCGTTTTATTAAATATATATGGAAGGAGGAAGCTTTAAACCTAAATAAGCTAAACAAGGACCACATTTGCCTATAAAAACAAAGTCCATATAGTATTTCCCAAGAACAAGAAAAAGCAGAGAAGATAGAGAAAGAGAGAGTGAGAGGGTTTGATTGAGAAACAAACACCAAAAAAAAATGGCAAAGGGTTATTCGACACGTGTGCTCACGTTTCTGATGTTGATCTCGCTAATGGCGGTGACACTGAATCTTGTGTCTACTGCGGAGGCAAAGAAGCGGAGGAGAGATGCCCCTATAGTGCAAGGTCTCTCATGGAACTTTTACCAGAAAGCATGTCCCAAAGTCGAAAACATTATCAGAAAAGAGCTCAAGAAAGTCTTCAAGAGAGATATTGGTTTGGCCGCAGCCATCCTTCGTATACATTTCCATGATTGCTTCGTTCAGGTTCCATATCTTTCTTCTTCTTCCTTTTGTTTTTTTTTTTCTTTGTATTAAAACCAAAGAAAACTTAATCTGATTCTTTAAGCCTACTCGAAACGGTTCTACTTATGTAATCTGATTCTTTCTTTTCGAAAAAAGGAATCTCGGTTTTAGAGTACTGTATAACTCATTATACCCACACAATAAAAAAAAAAAAATTCGGGTTGTGGTACTTTTGTTTTTAAAATCCGACCAAAATAACCTTAAAGAAAAACACAACATCGCCTCGAAATTCTCAGGAACAAGATAAAGAGTTGTCCGCTTCTTACTTTCACAATTTTTGTTTTTTTCAAACATAAAAAAATATGACCAAACATACCATTGAATAGTGTTGTACTGTTGTTTAATACTGCTACAAACTATTACATTAATATTACAATATAAGTATAGTTTCTACCCTTTGCCCAAAAAAAAAAGGTATAGTTTCTACCCCAAAAAATAAAAATAATTAAAATAATACATTACATGCAATAGGATCGATAGACCGATAGAGAGAGTTGAAGATAGAGGGACATGTCGCATTAATACTATTCACCGGCTTTCCGTAGGTTAGTTGGATCTCAGTTATGGAACATGCATATATATCTTAAACAATTACATTTCTAACTATTGATAAGAAAAACAAAGAAGTTATGATGAGAAAAAATATATTCAAGATTAGAATAGCATGTACAACAAATTCAGCACATGCATGTATGTGAATTATATAGTTGAATATGACTATTAATTTGATGTATTTAAATTTCTGTTGAAAAATATCTGATATTCCTCTTTAGCCAAATACTAAACAGAATTTGTTTTGCACTTTGCTGCAATACTATTCAGACATTTACACCTTTATAGTGTTACCTTCAAATTGCAGACTTATATATACTTCAAACATTACTTAAAATTTGTTAATAATTATGGAAAGTGGCATAGTTTTGATCAGATCAGATAAATATATAATATTTAGGAGAAAAGATTTCTGAATGTATTTATATTATTTATGTTTGGTAAAATAAATGTCATGAGAAAAACAGGGATGTGAAGCATCAGTGCTGCTAGCTGGATCAGCTAGTGGACCAGGAGAACAATCATCGATCCCTAACCTGACGCTCCGTCAACAAGCCTTTGTCGTCATCGATAATCTTCGTGCCCTTGTCCAGAAAAGGTGCGGTCAAGTCGTCTCTTGCTCTGACGTCCTCGCTCTCGCCGCTCGCGACTCCGTCGTCCTTGTAACCAACTCTCTCTTTTTCTTTCCATTACTCAATCACATTGCTTTCAACTTAATACTCGCGGTCACGCTAATACAAACTATATATTAGACTACAAGTCTCACTAATTCTAATTGATAGTTTTTTTTTGGGTGTGTCAATGTAGTCAGGAGGGCCAGACTATGCTGTGCCACTTGGGCGACGCGACTCACTAGCATTCGCGAGCCAGGAGACCACATTAAATAACTTACCACCACCCTTCGCCAACGCGAGTCAGCTCATAGCCGACTTCGCCAACAGAAACCTTAACATAACCGACTTAGTGGCACTTTCTGGTGGTCACACCATCGGAATCGCGCATTGTCCTTCTTTCACAGACCGACTCTACCCGAACCAAGACCCAACCATGAACAAAGCCTTCGCCAACAACCTCAAACGCACTTGTCCCACCGCGAACTCGAGCAACACCCAAGTGAATGACATAAGGAGTCCTGACGTGTTCGACAACAAGTACTACGTTGATCTCATGAACCGACAAGGGCTATTCACTTCCGACCAAGATCTTTTCGTAGACAAGAGGACACGTGGCATCGTGGAGAGTTATGCGATCGACCAGCAGCTGTTTTTCGATCATTTCACGGTAGCGATGATCAAGATGGGTCAGATGAGTGTCTTGACGGGAACACAAGGAGAAATTCGTTCCAACTGCTCAGCAAGAAACACCCCAAGTTTCATGTCCGTCTTGGAAGAAGGCATTGAGGAAGCTATTTCCATTATATAAATAACCATAAATCTTCACCTTTCTTCTTAACTCTGTTTTTATTTCGTTCACGCACTTGTGCATGGTTTGTCGAATGCTTAAAACTATCTGATAAATAAGAGCATTGCTTCACTTATAACTATGTTTTTTAGTTCACGCACTTGTGGTTTGACCAATGTTTAAGATTTAAGAATACCATCTTATGAATAAACTAACGTATTAGTTTCTGCATCATTCTTATCATATCAAAGTCCCTGTCTCAACATTTGTCTGAGTGATTCTCTCTTGAGCTACGTGCTCAAAAATCATTAAAAACCTTGTCACCTTGTGAAAAGAACAGGTCAACTACAACAAGAGTCACTAGATTTTTAACGGGCTAAGTCAATTTATACTAGGCCCACTAGGATATAAAACCCATAACCCAAATTATGTAACTGCCTCAAGCCCAAGTGTTTTTTTAATCTTTGCTGATGCTACAGGGTCAACGGTCTCGTCCTCCTTCCACTGACCCTTCCTACCTCAACAATGGTGAAAACCCGATAACCCGGCACTGCTTTATCGAACCAATACGAAAGGAAGTGAGAACCAGAGAGAGAGATCTGCGTTTTTTCTAGATATGAGCAAGCTCAGACTCGTCCACTGTCTCCTATTTTTTACAGCGATCTGCATTCTCCTTCCTCCGATCGCCGCTAGAGGAGGTCACTCCGACTATATCCACCCAGGTTCGTTGCCATTTGCTCATACCGCACATACATATAGTTTCTGTGTCGGTGACTGGTTATTTCCGTCATTGGTTGCGCTTGATTTGGCATTAAGCTTAACTATTACAGTTTGGTTTAGATACTAATTGATGTTTATGCATGGCTGCTGCATTAAGTGATTTGCTTAGTCTGAAATTTTGTGTATTTCATTCTTTAGGTGATGGAAATTCTAGTTTTCATGGTATTGCGAGGCACTTATTTGCTCAGGAAGAGCCTCGGCCGAGGTAATGTCTTTTAGAGGTTTCAAGCTGTTACTGGGGATGTCATTACTATGTGTCTGTGAAATGAACTAATGATAGCTGTGCTTTTATATTGTTTAAAGTTTGGAATTAACTCGAGGGTACATGACAAATGATGATCTTGAGAAAGCAATGAAAGATTTCACCAAGAGATGCAGCAAGATCTCTAGATTATACAGGTAATTACTTGGCTGATACTTGGATCTTTCTCAGAGTCAGTATTCTTGGTTTAATATTAGTTCTTATGGTGTTGTTGATTTTGTTCTTTATTTCTCTCTTTGAGGGTTTTCTGGAACGTGCTTTCAGCATCGGAAAGAGTGTCAATGGATTTCCTTTGGTAATAATGCCCCTCTTAGCTACCATAAGTTATTCTTCTTCCTTTATAATTTGCATCCTCTTAGGAATCATTATAATTGATGCCTTGTTGTATTTGTTTCTTGTTTTCCCTTTTAAGTGGGTCATAGAGATTTCAGACAGGCCTGGAGAGATAGAGGCTGAACCTGCATTCAAGGTGAAAACATCTGCTCGATTAGCTATTCCTATACATGCAATCATTTTTAGATATTTGATAACTAATTCTGATTTTCGCTGGTGAAAGCCTTGATGAAACTTGTATACTTTAAGTTGACTGGGATTCTTTATGATAACGTGTTGGTGGTGCTTTTATTTTCTTGGAATCTAAATAGTTAAATAACTGGTCATGCAGTACATTGGGAATGTACATGGAGATGAACCTGTCGGGCGTGAGCTCTTATTACGTCTTGCAAACTGGATTTGTGATAATTATAAGAAGGATCCATTGGTAAGTGGTTTTTGCTTCTTTATTCCACCGTGCATTAGAAAAAGGTTATGGGCACATACTGATATTATCCATTTTAATATGCAGGCTCAGATGATTGTAGAAAATGTTCACCTTCATATATTACCGTCATTGAATCCAGATGGATTTTCTGTCAGGAAGCGTAATAATGCAAACAATGTGGATCTAAATCGCGACTTCCCTGACCAGGTGATTGTTTGATGGTGCTTTCCACATTCAGCAGTCGTATTGGTTGGTTTTATACAAAGTCATGTTTGGTTGCTTAACTCGTACCTAATAGTGCAGTTCTTTCCCATGAACGAGGACTTGGCTTTGAGGCAACCTGAAACTAGGGCAATTATGACTTGGCTGAGAAACACACGATTCACAGCGTCGGCTACACTACACGGGGTAATTTTCCTGACATTTCTCTGTAGTACACTTGTGCATATTCTCCCATCTTAAATGTCCAATTTGAGAGTTTACTTTAAGAAGATCCGAGATTTTAAACTATCAAGTAAAATCGTGATTTCGTGATTTAATGTGAATAAAATATTTGCTAAACCTGGTTTTGTTTCAGGGTGCGCTGGTCGCAAATTTCCCATGGGATGGGACGGAGGATAGGAGGTGTTTACTTCTTTTAAATATTATTGAACATACCAAAAAGCTCTTTGCTTGGGCCTTTATGCAAAATCATGTAGCTGTTCTGCACTCTTCTTTCAGGAAATACTATTATGGATGTCCTGATGATGAGACATTCCGGTTCTTGGCACGCATATATAGCAAATCTCACCGTAATATGTCTTTAAGCCAAGAATTTAAGGAAGGAATCACAAATGGAGCATCCTGGTATTACATCTGATTTACTTCCTCTGTCTTTTCCAACAAATGAGTTTATTAATTAATGCTTTATGCAAAATGCTCTTCAGGTACCCAATTTATGGCGGTATGCAAGACTGGAATTACATACATGGAGGATGCTTTGAATTGACCTTGGAAATAAGTGACAACAAGTGGCCTAGAGCCGCAGAGGTCAAATCCTATATTACTGTGTGATAATCGCTTCTCATTTTTCAAGGTAGTTAGTTTAGTAAGCTGATAGAGTTCGCATATCTTATACAGCTTCCCACCATTTGGGATTACAATAGAAAGAGCATGCTGAATCTTGTTGCAAGCCTCGTGAAGGTATTATTTAATCTTTCTTTTTAGAACCCAACTTTTTAACCTTGCTGTATCATTTTAGATTGAACCGCTGGAGATTATCTTTCTTTAATGGAAGTTTGCACCTTTCCTTCCATCGTTATATTTAATGTTTTTTTGTCTCTTTTCCGTAGACAGGAGTTCATGGCCGGATCTTTTCACTAGATCAGGGAAAGCCACTCCCTGGGCTTGTTGTGGTCCAGGGAATTAACTATACGGTATACACATATTAAACCTGGCCTTCTAAAATCTCCTAATTCCAAATTCTTAAAAATCGTGCTAGCTCTTTGGTACTCATTGTAGTCTTTGTGGTCTTCAGGTTAAAGCTCATCAAGCGTACGTGGACTACCATCGGTTGCTTGCACCTGGACAGAAATATGAAGGTCTGATGTTCTTTCCTCGCATTCAGTTCAAAATAGTGTTAACCTGATGATTATCATTATTACTAGCTCATTTTAGTGATTCATCCTTAAGACCTTGTGGCTTACATATATGCACTATAATATCTCCTTCATAACAGTGGACAGACCATTGCCCCACTGTTAAAAGCTGAAGCTAACAATACCATATCTTCTAATCATCATCTCCTAGTAAATGTTGATTACTGGCCTCGTTTTGAGTTTTCACTTTCTTATTTGTAGTCACAGCATCATCCCCGGGATACAAACCGAGAACAACAAGTATATACTTAGGTGACAACGCTGTCACCGCAGATTTCATTCTCATCCCAGAAGCAAGTTCCCGAGGCAAACTACTGAGAAGCAACTGTGACTGTAGCTGTAAAAACTGCGGCCAACCGCTACTAGCACAATTTTTCCCAGAGACAAATAACGGAATCACGCTAACGCTTGTCGTGGTTGTAGTGTTCCTGTGTTTTTTGTTGCAAAGAAGGGTGAGATATAACCTCTGGAAGCAAAAACAATCCTCTAGAAGATCAATAACAGTATGATTATAAAGTATAGTACCACACAACTCTTTACACTCTAATAAGCAAAACCATTATGGAAAATAAAAGTTGTACTTTATGTAAGTGTTTGATTTTAGATCTTATCATCTTACAAAGTCAAGAGTGCAACATTGTCACCAAACTTATGTCATAAAGAGACATTAAAATACTGTGCACGGAAGAAAAGGCCATGCTGATTAATATAATTGTTTGAAGAAATTTATTAGGAAAACCAAATTCGTTCACATCTGAAATGTCAAAAGCAAATATGGAGTAAAATAAAGTAGAAAATCTAATTTTGTTGATATCCATAGCTTTCATTGAGATTTTCTCAAGACTTTTTTTTCTAGACATGAAATATTTTTCTATCTCATCTGTAAAAGTGTACTTTATTTAGAAAGTAGCATTCTGTTTTATTATAGAAAATCCTTTCTTTATAAAGCTCACTTATTTCTATAATAGTGTGATTATATGATACATCGAATCTATGATACTAATTATAAACCACTACATATAGAGAACAAAATGTTATTTATATTTAATTAGTTACCCTTTTACTACTTTTTTCTATGACCTGTTTACAACAACTGTGATCTGTGAACAAAAAAAAAACTCACTACTGCTGTCAAAAAAAATAAAATTAAAGAAGACTATTTACTTTCATTGACTTTGACCTTTTTAGCAATGACCGCCTCGTTACGCCGTTGACTTAATCCGCCCATAAATATCGACGTGTTTGTATCTCATTGGTTCCGAGAAAACCGTCGGTCACCATAACCGTTTATAAAACACCGTCGTCACTTGGAAAAAAAGCCCAATCCTATCACGCACACACACACGGGACGAACAAACAACGAACAACGAAACTACGCGTTCTTATCTTTCTGGGTATTTTTTTATATATAAATTTTTACTTCTTATATAAACTTTAAAAGAAAAATACCCAGAAACGTAATTTCGTCAAGTTCAAAAATTCAATTCCCAGAATCATTTCTTTCCATAAAAAAGATTCCAAAAAGCTCTCTTTTTTTGTTGATAAATCTTCTCTCTCTCAAATAGAATCTCATACCCGTTTCGAATCTTCTTCTTCCTCCAACTTTATTTCCATAAACCCGATCTTGTTTCAATGGCGATCAAAACGAAGACCAGTTTGATTCCGAGTTGCTCATCACCTGAGGATCTAAAACGTGTTTTGACGACGCTAGGTTCGAGCTGGGGAGATGTAGTCGAAGATCTGGAGCGGCTTGAGGTTGTTCCGTTGAAAGGAGCTATGACCAACGAGGTTTATCAGATTAATTGGCCTACTTTAAACGGCGCTGAAGATGTTCATCGGAAAGTTCTTGTTCGGATCTATGGTGACGGCGTTGACCTTTTCTTTAACAGAGATGACGAAATCAAAACCTTTGAGTGTATGTCTCATCATGGTTATGGTCCTAAGCTTCTTGGTCGTTTCTCTGATGGTCGTCTTGAAGAGTTCATCCACGCCAGAGTACGTTTTCTTCTACTTCTTCTTCTTCTTTTTTTTTTCCTCTTTAAAGGTTTGATTTTTTTTCTTTTCTGCTATTGGCTTTAGAAGAAGAACAGAGGAGATAGATTTTAGTTTGGTGGTATTAGAGTCTTTAGGCTTATATAATATTGTTTGCGTTCCAAGAAAACAAGATTGGGGATAATATACATAGAGAGAGAGATTTGTGTATGACGTAAATTTGTTGGTTTGGTTCGTTCACCAGACTCTTTCTGCAGATGATCTTCGTATAGCTGAAACATCTGATTTCATCGCTGCTAAGCTAAGAGAGTTTCATATGCTTGATATGCCTGGTCCAAAGAACATTATCCTCTGGGAAAGACTTAGGTAAGACGAAACATATTTCATTTCTTTCTTTTGTACATATAAGCATATCAACGTTTCTTGCTAATCTCTTCTTATGGTTTTTTTCTTCTTCAGAACATGGCTTAAGGAGGCTAAGAACTTGGCTTCACCAATAGAGATGGATGAGTTTCGTTTGGAAGCTTTGGAAGGTGAAATCAGTTTGTTGGAGGAAAGACTGACTATGGATGATCAAGAGATTGGTTTCTGTCACAATGATCTTCAGTATGGTAACATCATGATTGATGAAGAAACCACTGCTATTACCATCATAGTAAGCTTTTTTAACCGAAGCTTTTCTCTTTTTTTTATCAAGAAAGTGCTCTGTTTTTGATCATTTTGTTCATTGCAGGACTATGAGTATTCGAGTTTCAACCCAATTGCTTATGATATTGCAAATCACTTCTGTGAAATGGCTGCTAATTACCATTCAGACACTCCTCATGTTCTGGACTACACTCTATATCCAGGTCCATATCATATAAACATCTAGCTTAATATGTTACTCAAGAGTATCTCAGAATCTGATTGTGTTTGTGTCTGTTTGTATGAATGATTCAAAAACAGGAGAAGAAGAACGGAGAAGGTTCATTAGCACATACCTTGGCTCTACAGGTTTTCATCCGTTTATCCATTAGTTATACTTCTCTTCACACCTTAGACATAATAACTCTTCTCTTAATCAAAACTATTCCTCTTTTTTTGTTAATCTCAGGGAATGTAATAAGTGAGGAACAAGTTGAGAGGTTACTGAATGATGCAGAAAGCTACACTTTAGCAAACCATATCTTCTGGGGATTATGGGGAATCATCTCGGTTCGCTCTCTCTCTGTCTTTCTTTCCCTCTTAAAGATACTTATATAGCTATAATCTTGAAACTAGTAATAATCTCTAGTTTCTGTTGATGCAAAGCAGGGACATGTGAACAAGATTGAGTTCGATTATATGGAATATGCAAGGCAGAGATTTGAACAATACTGGCTTAGAAAGCCTTTGCTTCTGGATTTACCTTAAAGGATGACGAAGACTCGGAATGAAGCCGATATATACATATACATTGAATTTCTAAAAGTTTGTTCAAATAGATGAAAGGAAAAAGAAAAGATTTTAGGGGACTATATTTGCTACTGTTACTTTTTATCCACATATCCATGTATTTTTCTTCCCTTGTACAAAAAGGTTTGTAAACTTTCAAAATCAATGAAGTCGTTACTAAAGCAAATAATTTACTCAGTAGATAAGAAGCACCAGTGGTCTAGTGGTAGAATAGTACCCTGCCACGGTACAGACCCGGGTTCGATTCCCGGCTGGTGCATCTCTCTTTTTGCTTGAAGGGAAATTGGCTTTCTTTTTTGGTAATTTATAAATAACTAACTACTAATCATAATCATGATCTACTACTACTAATTATAATCATGAATTAATGGATGTAAAATATGCTTGATTTCATTATATATCAACTAAATTTACAACTGTAAAACCAACACACAAAAAGAGGAAAAAGATAAAACTATATAAGAATGTAGACGTTTCTCAGTGTGATGCATCAGTATAAACGACATGAGATTCAAAAACCTATCCGTAGAAAGAGAATGCCTCTTTCGCCAATACTTCATATGCATATTATATGCAAGATCAAACACAAACATGCACCACGAAATCTCTTCTTCTTTTTAAACGAGAACGGCCACAAGTCTCTCGTCTTCAATCTCTGCATCCGTGAATGTCAACGCTCGCTGAAGCTTTCTAGCAGAAAACACCTCCACTTCAGCCATGTATATCGCGGTAACCGGACGATGATCTGAGAATTTCTGCTCGGTTCTCCGGTAATGAACCAACCTCATTCCTTTCCCATAGGATAGTACTCTGTCACACCAAGCTGGTGTTCTCTTTGGCGCCTTTCCATCATTCCCCGTGTACTCATCGGAATTCGCTTGGTACTTATAGGTTGGTGGAAAATGTAGAGTCCCTTCTGACCATCCGTCAAATGCTCGACCTTTCCTGTATTCCTTTACCAGCTGCAATACATATTCATACCAACAAAAACATTATGATTCAGAATATGACGGGACATATTTGAGATTGTATCTCTATTCGTTTTTTTCTCTATATATTAGGTTTTAAGATCCAAATTCTGACAGTAACAATGGTTATTATTTCAGTACCTGATCATATTCAAGTAACTTGGACCATTCTCTCTTGGAAATGAGGTCTCTAGTTTTCTCATATGATAAATTAAGCCTATAGTTGAGATCTCCTAACCAAATTATTCTTCTGCAAAGAGGTGAAAACACAAATCAAGTTAGACATATAAATATTGAAAACCCAAAAATACGCAGAAGAGATAAAAAAAGACTGACTCGTGATCATAGATAAGCTTGGGAAGTCCAAGAGCTGAGACAGAGTGGAAGACTGTTCTTTTATGTATCTCGTGTACATCAGCATTCCTCTTGATCTGATCAACCTCTCTTTCTCCTGCCGTCAAATGAGTGCATATGAAACAGAAGAACGTCTGGTTTATGGACATGCTCACAGACACAGCTCCCTACAGAACACAGATCATGTCAGAGTTTTTAAAATATTGTAACATAAATTTGATGGATATATCTCATCTTTATATACCTTGTTACCAATATATCCCATTACGCCAACTCCAACGGTAGAGACTCGTACGTTTTGAATGTGTTTTCGCAGGCTTCGTTTAACCCAAATGGTCAAAAGAATCCCAACCATTTGTTTACTCACTAGCCTCACATACGCCGGTCTACGTTTCCTCTCCATTAGCAACTTGAGGTCCATTTCCGCTAGAGCCAATACCTCCTCCGGAATCCCATTGTTGCTTCCGGCCACAGACTTAAACGAACTGTAAGCCTTGAAAGACTTTGCTGTTCTTAAAGACTTCGTTGTCTTTATGGACGGCTGTCTATCAAGAACGCAAGACGGTCCTAGCATGTTCAAAGGCGGCTCGGGCCAGCTTAAACCGATCCGTTCTTTCCCACTTAACATCCGATTTAACGTTCTCATACCGGTTTCAGAAGAATCCTCATTGTTTGTCCTCTCCTTAGCTATCTTTATTGATGGCTGCCTATCGAGAACAGACAAGGGTCCTAACATGTTCAACGGTGCCTCAGGCCAGCTCAAACCGATCCGTTCTTTCCCACTTAATATCCGGTTAAGCGTTTTCATATCATTTTGAGTAGAATCCTCGTTGTTCACCCCCGAAAAGCTATCATCAACACGTAAACAGATTTGTCTGTCTAGCTTCTTCGGAGACGTGAACTGTCTCTTGATCTCAACAACGGGAGAGCCATTATTCGGATCGACAAGAGTGTTGACCTCACCGATAACTCCACCGTCATGTTTTAGCGCCCAGAGCCTATCGGTTTCCTCTTCTTCTTCCTCGTCAATGGGATGAATCTCAACACCAACATCGCTATCACTCTCGAAAGCTACTTCCTCCTCTATAACATCATGTGTTTCCTCAAAAGGTTTAAATCTCCCCGGGGATGGTGGATCACTGTAACTCTTAACATTAGAGAGTTTTGGTCTAACTCTGTTTAAAGCTTCTCTAATGACTTCTTCCCATTTGGCAACAGGACGATCATCTTCCGCTCCAAGAATGTTGCCAGCATTCAAAGGTACAATCTCTTGTAAACTTCATACCCAACAAAAACAAAAAAGATGAATAAAAATTCTCTAACAAGAACATAAATGAACAGAGCTAGTTTTGTCCATGTCGTTAGACAAGAAAAAGTCAAAAACTTGGTATATATTTTTACCCAAGAACGTAGATATCAGCAGGTTGATTAATTTCAATCCAGTCATCGATGTCAAGATCAGATGGTGGTGAGATTCCTCCAACGTTCCACGTACCAACACATACTCTGCACACAAATTCCGACATGTTAGGGTCTCCTTTTACCCAACAACAACGAAAAAAATAAAAATTTACATGTTGAAAAAGATAACATCCGAATCTATATAAATATATAGTAGTACTATAAAAGAGAAATAAAATACAATAAAAGAAAAAAAAAAGTTGTACCTTATTTCTTTGTTGTTAATGTACTGTGCTCTCAATGTTTCAGAATTCCTTCTTCGTAACTTCATTGGAGCATCTGGAAGAACCAACCAAAAAAAGAGAACAAAAAATAAAATAAATATTCACAAATTTGTAACTTAAGTTTGTTAAAAAGATTCTGAAATTCAAGAAAACGGATCTTATAAAAAAAAAACCCAAAAGCATCCCCAACACTGAATCACATAACTACCTATGCAATTCCCGCATTACCATTGCTTATAAACTCCGCAGCGGCTGCGGCTGCGTCTACAGTAGCCGAAGCCGCGGCGATGGCGTCCTCCGCGTTCTCACAAACAACCTTTGGTTCTCTTCCCTTCGAGCTCGATTCTCTACCACCTGTTTATAAAACCGATTTAGATAACCGGAAAAAATAAAAATAAAGAACCGGTTTTTAAAGAGAGAGAGAGGAGAGAGACCTTCTTCATCGGAGCTAGAATCATCATCAACATCATTATCTTGACGAACCTCTTCGTTTTCGGAGTCGTCTTCACTATCAGCACCATACTCAGGATCTCTACCACTTATGTTCAACCACTTTCTCATCACCACCTTTGCCCATAATCTCTGTTACAATCCACACACTCAGCATCAGACCGTAATCCAATCAGCTTTTTTTCAGACAAGCAAAAAGTTGTTTTTTTTTTTTTTTTTAATTACCTGAGATTTCTGACGATGAGCTTTCTTCATTATTCTGGATGGTTCAACTGGAGACATGAAAAATTATAGAGAATCGTATAAATATTTTTTCAGACAAAAGAGAGAATTTATTAATTTTTATAAAATAAAGAGGAAAGTGACGATTTATATATAAATCTGGAATTTTTTTTTTTTTTGCCAGACCATAAATCCAAAATTACATGAAGAGAGTTCGGAAACAACGCGTGAGTCAGTCCTCGTCTTTATATTCATCATTTTATGTAAGAAAAAAAAATAACAACTTTATTACTAATTTATAATAATTGCGTGAAACAATAATGTTTTTTTTCTTTCACGTTATAGTCATTTTTTTTTGTTCAAATAATCAAAACCAAAGTTTAGACCAATTTTGGAAACTTATGGGAAAAACAGGATATTTTTATATCGTTTTTAAAAAATATCTGCAATGATTAATTATGGTGATTAAAGTAAACTATTAGGAATATCCGTATTATGGTCGCTAAAAATTTAGTATAAGATAACGTAGAATTAAGGTGATCGATGGCTTTTGAATGAAAATAATATAATTTTATTAGCCACTAAAACGATGATTACATTTAAATTAAAAGTTTAATTAACTATGTACACAAGTTGTTATACTGGACTTGGTGTAACAACTCTTGCTCACGGGATCACTTTATATATACATCTGAAAGCTGAATCTTGACATAAACTAATGGTCTCTCAGTCTCAACCTTTTGGATTTTAACATTTGGACCGCAGCTCAAATGCTTTTTCTATAAGATATTAAAATGAGCTTGTGTGTTAGACTTAGATGATGTATTGTTAACTTAATAATAGTTATAATATAGAGTTCACATTATTAACGTGGTAAGTTTATAATTATTCAGGGGGTTGAATTAACAAATAAAAAAGTTGAATCGAGAAAGCAGAAGTGGTGGCCAGGCAGGTGGTGCTGATGGTGGTGGCGTGGCTCAGTTTGCAATAGTAGTAGTGGGTATATAATAATAGCCGAGCGAGAAAGGTGAAATAACATATCATCAACAAAGATGATTCAGACGTGAATATACGGGAACCGTTTATTTTCTTTCTATCCTTAAACTTTTTTATAAGCATTTTAACTTTTTATTCTAATGTACGACATTTTTCAATAATAGTTTTTTAAATATCGTATTGAACTTTTTAGATATTCGGTATAGTTCTGGTTCGAATTCGAAGTTTATATAGAAAACCGATACCAAACAAGTTCGGATACCATTCGATTCACGTAAGTTTGAATAGCTGAATTAATTATCAGTTTGGTATATTTGGTTTTTAGGTATTTTGCTCCGGAATACCGAAAAACATAACCATCAGCATTAAAACAAAAGAAAGCAAAAAATCATAAAACTCAACAAAAGTAAACCAAGAATATGAAAAAGCTAAGCTTTAGAATATGATTCGGGATACCCAAAAAGAAAAGAGTTACTACTGTAAGAGAGAAAAGTAAAAGAAGAGGGGAACAAGTAAGTACATGGAGCGGCCGCCACATACATAGAGTTCGATAAGGTGTAAAAGCAATCTATTAGAGATCCGGTCCGGAAAGACCGGTCAGAGTCCGGTTAACGGATAATGTGTGTGTTTCGGGTCGGTGTGGTCTGTGGTGTGGTGTGGTGCGGTGAGGGACCCGAAGAAAGAGAGAGACACGGACCACGGAAGAAGTCTACGAAGGAGTTTTTTTTTTTGGAGTCTTTCGGGTCCACACTCTTTTAACTAGACTTTGGCTCTACGTGCCGAACCACTTTGTACCCCCCTATTTTGTTGTTTCATAGCTTCCTCTTCTCTACCTAAATTCCAAAACCACTGTTAAATCAACCATTTTTATCATTTTATTACTCTTATTCTTACTTTAGAAAATGCTTATGTACATCGATCATGTCTAGAATTTTTTTTAAAAAAACACTACACGTCTATTGTGTTTGTAATACGAGGGTGCAAGTCCCATGAAGGTCCATACTTCATTCTTTCATCATCGATGATGTTTTTTCTGTTCATATTCAATCTTTTTATATATTCTATTACTTTTCTTATAACCCCAAACAACAAAACATTGCTACGGAAACATGTTTCTTCTCTCTTTGGAAGTTATAGCATGAAGATGCGTAATATATATGATGTTTAGGCTACCCCCTTTAGCCAATATATATATGTAAGCAAGTAGAGAGAATACTTTTTTAACGAGATGTGTTTAAAAGGAAAAAAAAATAATATAGACGACGAGGATCAGGATGGGTCAATGAATGACGAAAGAACAAAGAATTATTATTATAGAAAACAAAGATGGAATAGAGATAAATGGATCATAAGGAAAAATAAAACACATGTTTGGTCCCTTTTGGGATCACATCAATCTTGACCACAATCCACATTCTCCACAATACATCAGCCAAGGTAGCAAAAATATGGTCGACACCCTATTTTTTCAGCCAGTCATTTATATTATTTTATATTCCTCCTGATTTTATAAGATAAGATAACATTTCAACTTTTAATAAAATCAACTACAACGTATTTTGATGGTTTAATTTTTTTTTTATATACAATATGAAGTTTTGACCAAATTGTAGATATTTCTTTTTTTTTTCAAATAAAAGATAAGTAATAACTTTAATTTTAACGTAGTGACGTTGTATATATACGTAGGTCGTTTTGGAAATTAATCCAAAATTTTACTGATATTTGTTTGTCTTCTTTAGGCTAGTGGAATACATATGCCACTTTAAACTCAACTTTATGTGAATTCGAAGCTCACTCATGTCGAAAATGACATGAAAGATTAAAAAAATATTGATCAAATCAACAATACTGTCTTCAGATTGATGATATCTACATTTTACCCGAATATATATACTTTTTAACTCCATATATGTTTTTTTAAAGGAAGAAGATGACTAAAATTTAGATTCGCCTAAACATGTAAAAGGCTTCAGAATTTTCCCTTTATAAGAAAAAAAAATAAAACAAATAGTGGACAAAGACAAGAAAAACAAGAATCACATAATAATAGCAAAAGCTATTGATACGCAAGTTTTCTCTACCAATAGTTTTTGCCAACAACATATATTCTCATAATATTTAGAGATTGTGTAGATAACGAAAAAAAAAAGTACGATACAAGTGACTAAGTTATACCTTTATTTAGGGAATATATGGTCCCAAATAACACAGTATAACTCACTGTTCTTCTCTGTTTTTCACTTGTGTTTTTATTCCTTGTTTTTAGACTTTATATATCAAATGTTCAAGCACATATATATTCCATATCTAATGTCCCCAAAACAAAAACAAATACCATATCCATTTTGGAGTAATAAATTCGAAAAGTTTAGTTTGTTTACATAAAAAGTAATGATGATTAAACAGATTGGTAATGTTTATTGGATACGGAGAAGAAAGTGTTCAGCAATTACATCTCAATAATTGAAACTTTTTTTGTTTGTTCTCGTTTCAATAGAACAATAGTGTTATAAGTTTTGTATGTTTCTATTTACAGTCACATATATATTTTGATCAACGACAAATTTCATTAAATACAGGTTTCGTGGTCAGATTAAACCTAGCCAAACGAGACAAAGTTTGAAAGCATATAAAGAAAAATCTAAGACATAATAATGAGATCAGATGAAAGTACCTGTGTGCATGTGTGTGTGATGAGGCTGTAGCTAACTGTGAGAAGATAGAGGTGACGAAACGAACGAAGAAGAAGACGAAAACAGAAAAACTAAAGAGCCAAGGCAATTAATTCTTCTTTTGGGTGACTTGTGAATGTGAATGTGAGGCTTTTTTTTTCTTTGGGAAGGAAGGTCGAAAAAAAAAACAAATCTCTTTCGTGCTCTGGCCCTATTGCTTCACCATTTATATAATTTGTGTGTTCTTCTACTACGAACGTTCACATGTTATCATCACATATTGTATTACCTTTCTTTCAATGTACACGTTGTTTCCTGCCACGTGTGGTTCTTAGAAAGCTTTATCATTTTTTCCAAAAGTAAAAGTGTTTAGTCGACCTCGAAATTTACTAATTCAAGATGATGTAAAATCTTATTGTTTGGCTCTAATTATTTTTTTGGGGGACATGTTTTTTCTTCTTTTTTTTTTTAATCTTTTTAAAAATGGTTGGAGCAGAAGACAAACTTTTTTAAATATCGAAAACGATATATGATGGAAATGTTTTATGAATATCGGCTTCTGTTTTTGTATTATATAACATTAACGAAAATGCTATATATATATATATATATATGTGTGTGTGTTTTCTTTTTCCAATTTAGGTGCAATGTGGGTATAGTTTGTTTTTGATTAAAAGTCAAAATTAGGTTTCCCATTTAATCTAGATCCATCGAACCAACAGGAAATATGGGGTTCATCAGCTAATGAAAAGTTAACATTTTTTACGAATGCTTTAAAATTTTAATTTTGTTGGTCCAATACACTCCAATTCGTAACACAAACCTGTTTAAGTAGAAAGAGTTGGTAAAATAATAACAAAATATATACACCAAAAAAAATTACCAACCATGTACACCTTTAATCTCCTTTTGTTTTTTTACTTTTTAGCGTAAAAAAAAAAGATAACTTTTTCGTCGTGAGTAAGTGACAAGTGACAACTGGTAAAACAGGACAATTTCAAAAGGTACATAATAGTGTTCGTTCCACTTCCATCTGAATTTTTACACCTATCCCAAACGCCATTCATACATCACTGCAGGTTGTTTGACCTCCGGTTTGATTTCTAGTAACCTCAGCTCCTTTATGATACATCCATCTAACCACATGTCATTCGACGTCAACGCCCACAAATTTTAAGTCCGAAAATAATGAACTGATTCGTTGTTAAAATTGTTGTCGTGTCGAATGTTTACTTGATCTCTGATTAAATATAAACTGAACTCGTTATTACCGGAAGAAGATACTTTGTCTTACCTCATTACTCCATCTTTTTAACTTATCTGTCCAGCGATGATTACGCCCTCTCGGCCCTCATTCATTATTACACATACCTATCACCGTATGAAAGAAATATTAATATCATAGTTTAATGCAAACGTAAAAAACTATATATACACTTTGTTTTTGGGTATTTTCTTATTCGTAAGAGACTAAGATAATAGTTATGCAAACTTCTCGATCAGCTTAAACAAAATTGCATCTCCTAGAAAGTCTTACCACAAAACGTTATAAAAGTTTGTTTGGTTAGCCGCATACAGGCCTAAAGACTAGTATCTAGGTTTTATAAACCACTAAGCTCAATCTAGTATAATCTGTTAAATCAGTGTACTATGATCCAACAATATTTAATTTTCGGATGCTCATCATCGAGCACTAAATTATTGATTTTTTAAGTTTTAGTATAATACTAATAGAGTATTATTAAAAATATATATACGTAAACGATTGACATTGACTCACAGAATAATTAAAGATTCAGTGCATACTTAATAATTTCATTTTCTGATAGGTGGCGGAGCGGCGATTAAGCATGAATAATATACTCTAGATCGGTGTGTTTTTATTTGTATATATAGCTCTCATGATGGTCACAATTATGTAAAATTAAAATCGAGTTATTAATTTGCGTGCTGATGGGTTGTCATCAGGTTAGAAGAACTTGATCATCATCATAAACAACAACTCTAGTATGAAGCATCATCTCATTCATCCCCATATATGTTCTTTTTTTTAATAATGACGATTTGAAATTATGCAGTTTGTCTAATCGTTGTCTAGTGTTATTATTTTTCACTATGATCCAAATCCAAAATTTATATATGAACAAAACTTCTTTTTCATTTATTTAAAACATTCAAATTCTTTACTGAAATTAAATGCAAATACAGTATATTGTTTATTGTTTTTTATTGGCCGACGCGAATGAAGTGTAAGCCGTAGAGTAATTTCCACATTCAGTATAAATTTATTTATTTGATACCATTATGTGTTTTTTTTTAGATGAGAATATAAAATAATGTATGAGAGTTCATGTCTGGTTTTGGTTCGAGTTTTCGAATTATTTCGGTTTTTAAGTATACTCTAGCACACGGAAAATATTAGCGACACATTTTATCAAATTAAGAAAATTTATAACTATACATATCTATATTAAAAAAATGATTTTATAGATGATAATGTTTTAAATTTAAAGAACAGTAGCTTTGGGTAGAGGATATATCAGAAAATTAATTCGGAAATTCACGTTGAAAATATAAAATAATATTTTACGTTTAAAACAATACTTTATGTGAAACATAAAAAAAAATGATAATTTTTATGAAACCAAATGCATATAAAGGATTTGGTATCTTCATTCGAATTTCTAAAAATTTAAAATAACTCCATCGTTTGGACCGAATTCGATCGAATATGAGTGTTTAGATTTTTAAAAGAATTTGTTAACGTTATGAACTTATGATATGGATTGTATTACTTTTACATTGAGTCAAATCGGTTTTATCCAGATTAAGGAAGGTCTCTACTCTCTAGACGTTTTTGCATTAAAATCGAATCGCCCGACCGCATTATTTAAATGTTAATATCATCACCAGTTTAATAAATGCGACGGTCCATTTAGAAACAACGGGTCCATTATTATTTTGACATATAACCATACAATTTATTAGGTCCATTACCAAATGTTGGGCTTTATTGTTAGCTGTCGCCTGTCTCCAATAGCTGGGTGTTTTTTTTCAAAATTTAAGAAGTTTGGGTTTCATTTTTACATTTAAAACTTCATATCTCAATTGATAAAACTTGTTAAATTAGAGGGCCTTTTTGTTAAATCTGGTGAAAAGAAATGGATAAAAACCGTTTGAAGATTGTTTTTTTATCTTCGCGGCGGATAAGAGAAGAAAAAGATGCAAACGCTTCTCAGTCAGCCATGTAAGTCTCTTCCTATACCCACTGCTTCGTCGTCTTCGTCCTCGTCGATTCGTAGCTCCGGTGATGTGCGAGAATGTATCAATTTTAGATCCTCACAGTTTCGATTTTGTGAAACCCTAAGCCCTTTTCGGCTTCGTAGTTTCGCAATTTGTCGCGAATTTGCTGTTCGTGGAGCTTATGGGATTAGATTTTGCTCACGAGACGGTGTTTCTGGTGTTGAAAATGGAGGAATTGTAACGGAGGATGAAGAGGAGGGTCTTGAGCTATTGAACAAGCCGAGTCCTGTACCGAAATCAGAAAATGAGAAAGAGAGTGGTAAAGCAGATGATGACGAGATTCTCGAGCCGTTTTTGAAATTCTTCAAACCGGAAGAAGACAGAGAAGGAGATGAATCGGAAGTCTCCGAGGAGACGGAGAGAGTCAGTGTAGAGTATTACGATCCCAAACCTGGTGATTTTGTGGTTGGTGTTGTTGTTTCGGGTAATGAGAATAAGCTTGATGTGAGTATCGGTGCGGATATGTTGGGAACCATGTTGACGAAAGAGATACTTCCTCTATATGATAAAGAGTTGGATTATTTGCTGTGTGATTTGAAGTATGATGCTGAAGAGTTTTTGGTTAATGGGAAAATGGGGATTGTTAAGGATGGTGATGAAGGTGTTGAGATTGCGGAATTTGCACGGCAAGGTAGGCCGGTGGTGGAGATTGGGACCGTTCTTTTCGCTGAGGTTTTAGGGAGGACGTTGAGTGGGAGACCTTTGCTTTCTTCTAGACGTTATTTTCGGAGAATAGCTTGGCATCGAGTGAGGCAGGTTCTTTTCTTGTGCCTTGATTTATTCACACTATGGATTCAAAAACTGTTCTTGGTTTTGAAGTATTTTGTATTGTTTAGAAGATGCTGAGGTATATCTATATGCATCTAATGAAGAGTGAATTGTTCTGTGGCAGATTAAGCAACTTAATGAGCCTATTGAAGTTAAGATAACAGAGTGGAATACAGGAGGCCTTCTCACCAGAATTGAGGTACCTGAATTTTGTCTTGATTTTGGGCTTTAGCTGTGCTTAGATTTCATACCTCAAGTGTATCATTTTGATGGTTTAATTTCAGGGCCTGAGAGCTTTTATTCCGAAGCAAGAACTGGTGAAGAAAGTGAACAGTTTCACCGAGTTGAAGGAAAACGTAAAGCAAGAGTTTCTTCTTCCACTGTAACAATTTTGTTTTCTGCTGAATCGCAGTAAGATTTTGGCTTCACAGTTCTGCATTTTCTCAGGCTTTATTCTTCGTGTTTCAGGTGGGTCGTAGACTAGTTGTGCAGATTACGCGATTGAACGAAGATAAAAATGACTTTATACTGAGTGAAAAAGTAGCCTGGGTTAGTTTTTCCTTTTGTCTTGTCTTTATAAGAAAGACCCAACAATGAGACTAATGATCTATCGCATAATTCTCAGGAGAAGCTGTACCTTAAAGAAGGAACACTCTTAGAAGGAAGAGTTGCCAAAATCTTACCATATGGAGCTCAAGTCAAACTCGGGGATAGTACCAGAAGGTTAGTTCAGCCTATTGCTTCTTCGTAGTGACTGTAGTTGTGTATTCATCTCGTTCCTATACATGTTTGATTTTTCCACAGTGGACTGCTACACATTTCAAACATAACTCGCAGAAGAATTGGATCGGTAAGTGATGTGCTTCAGGTCGACGAAAGCGTAAAGGTTCTGGTTGTGAAATCTCTATTTCCAGACAAGATCTCTCTCAGGTTAAATCCTTTACAAGAAAGGCAAATTGCAAAATTCACTGGTCCTCCTCAGTAACAACTAAAACCATCTTCTACTCTTCTTTTATATACAGCATTGCAGATCTTGAAAGTGAACCGGGTTTGTTCATCTCAAACAAAGAGGTATAGCTTGAAAATCTTTTGACCTATGGACCTAACTTTACCTCGTATAACCCGGTACAAAAACGCCATTCATATCCCTACTATGAAAGTTATACCGCGGTTTTGTCAATGCAGAAAGTATTTACAGAGGCTGAAGAGATGGCACAGAAGTACAGAGAAAAGATGCCTGTAGTGGCTACAAGCCCGATTGCTGATCGTCCCCCAATCACAAGCAGTTTCCCTCAGGGCAAGGATGAAGAAATCTATGCTAACTGGGACTGGTTCAAGTTTGAGAGTCAGTGACATATTCAGAAAATCTTGTTAACATGTTGTACAATGACTTTTTGTATTTGAAATTTTGAAACTATATAATATTATGAGTAAATGTGTTCTTCCTGATAAAGCTTTTTCCTTTACAGAAAAGATGTGTTATGTAAACGATCAAACACAACGAAGCTCACTGAAATATAAACTTATAAAACTGTTTCATTGCTCCATTCTCTAATCCAAAAAAGAACAATAGAGGCTAGGGGCAAATGCAAATTTCACTGAATTTTTAAGAATCTGAACTAAATTTATTGAAGCACACAGATATATAATAAAACAACAATGGCTCGGTGACCAATTCGGTGAAGATGAAAATTTCTGCTGACCTCTTCGTTCTCCACAAGAACGACATCGTCTCAATCAATCACTCGTTCAGCTGTTGAAGCTCAGCTTTGAGCTGTTCGATCTTGAGTCCCATGGATCGCTGCAGAGATGCTTTCTCCTTCTCTGTAACTTTCCCGAGCAAACCTTCAAACATCTCCAAAACATCCGCCACGGCGGCTCTCGCGCACTCTGCCTCTTCGTTAAAGTAAACCGTCTCCTTCGAATCCATAGCCATTTCGATCTCCTCACGAGCTTCAGCGAATTTGAGATTGATCTCGTCCACTACCTTGTTAATATCTGGCGGTGAGCCGCCGCTACTAGAGTCGGTGCCGAATCTCCTCTGATTCTCGTGGAAGAGCCTGGAGAATGAAACGTTCGGGATACGGAGAATTCTAGAGCTAGAAGATGATGATGCTTCTGAGAGACTGGATTTCGAATAGTGAGACGGTGATGGACCTGAGACATCGCCTAGCGAGTTTATAGGAGCCGAAGAAGAAGATATAACGCTTAGATTCTGCGAGACTCGGAGAGACCTTCCGGTGAAGAAACTTCGAAGAGTAATTGCTGAGTGAAGACGCATGGTTTCTTCTGAATTGAATCCGCCGGTTAGGTTTCTCCGAGTTTCTGTAGGTCGGCGGCGGACGGAGATAAGTGGGAAAAATGAGCTTCAGGTTGATGAAGAGTTGAAGACGAAGAGATGTTTTGGGCCCAATGGGTTTTATAATTAAGCCCACCATGAGATCCAGAAGACAGGTGAAAGTCAAAGTCAAAGTAATCAACCAAACCACAGAAGCACCTGAACCATATAACCCAGAAGGTTCTCAGTTCTCACTGACAACTCCATTGACGAACCACTCCATTTCCATTGACTTCTTTGCAAATCAGACTCCTACATAAACCCCTTAGCTCAAAGACAGTATCAACCCATAAACACCAATGGATCCTACCGTTCAACCATCCCGAACAAAGCCTCTTACAGCTTTCAAGATGGGTTTAGCCTCCGCAAGCTTCCGTTTGGTTAGCCTTGCTTCTCGTTCGAAGAGGAAATTGCGTCGTTGGACTGCATGTTATGGCTCTGGAAATTACGAACCTGTTATACATCTCCAAAACGACATGACTATGAACAATGGTGGTATTTATGAGCCATATGACGGTGAACCGAGCATGCTCTTGAGTGGGGATCAGAGACGAGCTCCGTTGTGGCAGAAGAACATTCTCATGGGAGGCAAATGCCAGCTTCCAGATTTCTCCGGTGTTATATTGTATGATGCTGATGGCCAAGTTGTTCCTCCGGCCAAGAACTCTCTTCCTTTGCTCACCTGGAAGTGAACAAGAAAGGCTAAAACCTACTTATTATTTGTTTGTATGCTTCAATTTCTTGGAATGTAATGCATTGTGTATGGCTCTATGATTTTCTATATAAAAAAGAAATATGAATGATATGAAGCTCTTGCTCAAGACATTCATAGTATAACATATAATACACCAATTTGCATTAGTGTTTTACATCAGAATCACTGTAAAAGTGTAGAATAATAACTTTGGTGATACTGCTCTGAACAGTAATACAAGAGGAAAGTCACATATTAAAAGTATGGGTTTCTTTTGAGATGAACTGACTTTTCAACTCATGTAATATTCAGGCTTCAATACGCCAATGTAAGATAGGTTGCGGTATTGTTCTGCAAAGTCCATGCCATAGCCCACAGCAAATTCATCTGGACACTGCACATATTCAGAAGATACAAAAATATGTTCAAAACAATGCCATAAAATATATATTCTTAAGTCAGGCTAGATCCTAAGACCAACAAATACTTTTGTTTAGCCAAGCATAGCCATAAAATGCAATAAGATCAGAAAGCATCATGCCATGATCCCACCTATTCTCTAAATAGCTGTATACTCTGGTTAAGGTGGCTTACAAATTGATAGTAACAAAAGTCGCAATTATATAAAAAAATATTTTGAAAGCAATATTGTGCAATTCCAAAGCCCTTAGACATACATATTTGAACAGAGAGAAAGAAGAAACAGCTTACTTCAAAACCAATGTAGAATTTCCCCTTTCCGACCATCTCAAAATGAACCTTTCTTCTAGATGGCTTGTCCAGGAGAGTGCAAACTGAAACAGATGATGCCTTTTTCGCTTTCATGTGCTCGATCAAGCAGTGGAGTGTATTGCCAGTATCCACAATGTCTTCAACCTATAACAAAACACATACGCTGGTGAACTAAAGAGGCAGTGAAATTTCTAAGATTAGCAAAAGACTATCATCAACTGAGAAACGTTAAAACATCAGAGTAGTCTACTGTCTAAAATGTTGATCACATCACAGTTTGCGTATCTTCTTCCAATGTTAAAAACTCCATAGATAGACTTCAATTCCAGGAACCAACACAGAGCAATTTCAAGCTGTAAAGACTCAAAACTTTTCATGAAATTCATATGAATCATAACACATAGCACTCAAATTCAAGATACATCGCAGACACACAAAATTTCACATGAAGGAGACGAATATTACCAAGACTACATGTTTGTTGGTGATGTCAAGCTTTAAGTCAAAAGAAATTTTGGGAGTTCCACTAGAGACAGTACCAGAGCCATAAGACTCAGCTCTAATGAAATCGATAGCGATAGGCAAGTCGACTCGCCTGACTAGATCGGCTAAAAAGAGGCAAGCACCAGTAGCTACCCCGACGAATATTGGCGATTCCGATTCACCGGAGAAATCACAAGTAATCTCGGATCCAAGCTGACTCACCCGCTCCGCTATTACTTCGGCTTTGAAAAGCACCTTCTCTATGTGCTTCTCTAGCGCCATCACCTTCTTCTTAGGATTTGGGGTTTTAGGGTTAACTGTATAAAACGCGGGAGCGGAATCGAAACTAACCGAAGTTATTTACTATTACCTTTCTCTTATTACCCACATCCGGTAAACTTCGATCACACCGTACCTTTAAACCAAACCCGGTTCAAAATTGTCAAAACTTTTTTGTATTATTCCAAATTGGCGCTAGAAAGAAAATTGAAATTTTCATTTTTGTTTTTTTTTGTAAACTTGAAATTTTCATTTTAAACACACAAAACCGAAATCCCTAGAGAAGCAGACGAAGAAGAAGAAGAAGAACAATGGCGAGTACTCTCTTCATCGCTCTTCAATGTTTCGAGTGTTCAACTATGCAGGTTCAAACTCTCTCGCTCTTCCGTCTTCTCTCTCTCTCTCTCTCTCTCTCTCTCTCTGTTGATTTGCGTATTGGTTAGTATTTAGGGATTTTGATTTGGGGATCGCATTCGCAGGTGAAGCAGAAGAAGAAAAGTAGCAACAAGTGGGTTTGTGTGATTTGTAATCAGAAGCAATCAGTGAAAAAAGTGTTTGCTCAGGGTTATAAGGCTAAGGATCTCCGTCGCTTTGTTCAATCGTTTAATATGTCTCGCAAAGCTAGCGATGATAAGGCACTAAGCTTTGTAGATTCGTGCTCGGAGGTTGATGTTAGAGAAGAAGTTGACGAGGAGGAGGTTTCAGATGCTTGTGGAAAGAAGCGATCTGATTGGAGTGAGTATCTCGATTTCGATTTGCCAAATGATGACCGGAGATTAAGTGGAGTAGAAGACGGTGAGTATCAATCAAAAGAGTCAAAGTAGTGTTACATGAAAAGTTGGTATAACCAAATAGGTATAATACTTGAGTTTAAAATTGTTGTTGTTGCAGATGTGAAGATTGTGACCGAGATGCCGACCAATATGTTCAAAAGGCCAAAGCTGAACAAATATTCTACTCCTGGTGCACCTTCATCTGAGACAGGAGATGGTGATGGGATTTTTAAACCTGCCTTCTCTATCCGCAACATCGAAAAGCCAGACTTTTGTTCCGGTAAGAGGATTTGGGCTACTTATAATCGCGTTATAGCAGAAAGCTAGTTTGCGAATGATGTGTATTGACATTCACGAATACTGTTCTAGTTAAAGACCTGAATGGTTTTTTTTAATAAGATAGTAACTGCTGTCCTTTCAAAATTATTGCAGATGCAGTGGTGATGAGGAAGGAGAACATAGAACAGAGAAGTCTAGAGTCAGAGTTAGAAAGAGTTACTAAGCCTGCTTCAAAATGGGACGCCTACTTGATCAATGACAAAATAGAACACCAGGCACCACCACGATTTGGTGGAAAAAAAGCCTTGAAGGATGTTGACGTAGAAGATTGGGACAGTGCAATAACGGAGATGAGTTCGGAACACCAGATAGTAGACGAGGAAGTACATCCAGATTTCATGTAATTAATGAAGTATTATGTTTAACCAAAGCAAGTTATTAGATGAAATGCAAAATGTAAAAAAGGTTTTGAAGCAATTTAGAGTTGCAAAAGAGTTAAACTCAGTACAGACTCCAAACCAAACTAGAAAAAAAAAGTGCTAAGAGTAAAAAGTTCAAAACAACCTATCAAAGAAAAGTTGCAAAGGAGAGAAAGAGAAACTAGTTAAAGAGTTCCTAAAAGTTTTAAAGCATCTGCCTAAGAAAGCCAAATGAATATTGTCTTAAGTTCACTCGGTTGAGGAGAGGGCAAACTGGTCATCAACCGATGCCGCAGCTGGTGGATTGGCAGAGAGCCTGAGAACATCCAGAGCCTCGGAAACTTTGGCCTTAAGAGCTTCAGGTGACTCAAGAAGGTGCAAGATCTCTGCTTGATCCATCTCCAGCAACATACCAGTAACTTTAGCTGCATGAATTGGCTCCTGCTGCTCCACAAGTGGGTAAAGATTCTCCCCAAGAATCTGTCAACGATTTACAATGCAACAATATCGTTAACAAATCTATTTCTAATGCAAGGCCAACATGAGATAAGAGAAGAAAATAAAGGAGACAAACCTCGGGGCTAAGCGCAGCCAAGTCAGATGATCTGAGCTTAGAGATGGGAAGGAGAGACTTGTGTGGGTTTTGTGGAGCATTGTGTGAAATTGCAGATGCATTCAATGGCAAAGGGATGATGCCTTGAGGACCATTTGCTTCCATTCCATTCCTCCTGTTGCCAGCACCTTCCATGTATCTCATTCCCGAGTTTACATTTTGCTGCATAAACTGACATATCCAGAATATTAATAAACCTCAACAAATTCAAATTCGTATGATTATGTTAAGATAGCAAACGATAAACGACATATAAGAATTCATGAGTCAAGATAACAAAAGACTTTACTTGGTGTTGCTGGAAGTGCTGCTGCATACCGCGCCTGAACCCAACACGAGGACCAGGCTGATGTTGCCTTTGAAGATGATAAGGCATCATGAGGCCTGCACCTGGACGCACCCCGTGCATGAACTGAAGTTGGAACCCATACTGTGATGGCAGCAGACCTTGACCGTTCTGGCCAATGAACACTGGATGGTGTGGTCCCGACATTGGCCCTCCCGGTGGATGGTGATGGAACCCAGGCATTGGTGATGGAATTGGCGACATTGTCCCAGGTGATCTGATGTGAGTAAAGAGACTCTGAAACAAGTGAAAACATATTTAAAAGAGGTTTAAGAATCAGTATCACAGTAAATAGTTGAGAGAGAGAGAGAGAGGTCTATTTACGTACCTGAAGGTGTGCACGTCTCTCTTCTTTGCGTTGAGCCAACGCAATGTAAAGTGGTTTCCTTCCGATCATCTTATTGTTCATTTCATTCAACTGCATATATACCATCATCCCCAATGAACATCTCAGTTAGATTGAGGTATATCATATTGTATATGTATAGAAAGATTGTAGATTAAGTTGAAACTTACAGCTCTTGAAGCTTCTTCTGGATTGGAATAAGCAACAAATCCAAACCCTCTGCTCAAACCTTGAGCGCTCGTCATAACCTAATTATAACCACAAACAAGACGTTGTAATTTAGTTCAGTATATATATGCAGCATAAACAAATGAATCAATCGTTAAAATATAATTTAGAGATGGTAGCAAACCTTGCAAGAGGTCACATTCCCATACTCAGAGAAAATATCCTTGAGCTTCTCATCATTGACACTATCATCAAGGTTTTTCAAATAGAGATTGGATCCTTGCAGTTTCTCAATCCGGCTCATCCTCTCTTGCTCAAACTTCCTCCTCAATTCCTCTTCCCTCTCCGACTTCTTCTGAGCCCTCCCAACGTACAACACATCCTCCCCGAGGCTAATACCATTCATCTTCTCGACCGCAACCGCAGCAGCTTCAGGGGTCTCAAAGTTGACAAATCCAAAACACCTCGAGCTCCCACTCTGGTCCTTCATCACAACCGCACTAGAGATATCACCATACTTCCCAAACGTCTTCCTAAGCTCATCATCAGTAATCTCTTTAGGGAGATTCTTGACATAAACGTTAGTGAAACGCGGGACAGCACCGCTCTCACTACGGGACCTGTCCTGACGGCGGACAAAGTGGCCAACAAAGACTTGCTTTTCGTTAAGCAGCATGCCGTTAAGCTTGTCAATAGCATCCTCAGCGGCTTCCTCTTTCTCAAACTGGACAAAGCCATACCCTTTGGAACGTCCCACCACGTCCATTGCAACCTTGCAAGAGAGAATGGTCCCAAAAGTCGAGAAAGTGTCATACAAAGCTTTGTTATCGATGGATACATCAAGGTTTTTGATGAAAACGTTTCCCTTCCCACTCAACCGAGTGCTCGGATCGCGGTTGGAAAGCATGATCCGTATAGGCCTGTCTTTGATCGGAGTGTAGTTGAGATTATCCATCGCACGACTCGCTGTTCCAATAAGAAAAAACACACATTTTATTTTTTATAAAAGAACAAAACAGCAAAAAAGAACAAAACTAGACAAAAAGCAAAACACATGAACAATAAAATAATCATCCTGTCGTAATCCACAGAATATATAATAAAAAAGAGGAATTTATGAATAAAGTTTTACCATCTTCAGGGTTAGTGAAATTGACGTAAGCGTAACCAAGAGAACGACGAGTCAGATCACGACAAACCCTAACTGTATGAACAGGAGCCACTTGACCAAACAGATCCATCAGATGACTCTCATTGACACTGGGATCTAAATCTCCGACGTAGAGAGACGAGTTGGGATGAGTTTGCAAAGCCTCCACCGCAGCAGCAGCAACAGCCGCAACCTGACTCGCAGCAGCGAAAGGAGCAGCCGCGGGAGCAGTCGGTTGATTAGGAACCTGATCGACCATAGCAGTCGTCGGGGCAATTCCAGATGCAACCGCCGCCGCCATGATGATGAATTCTAGGTTTTTTTTTTTTTTTTTCTGTTGTGTGTGAGAGACAGAGAGATTGATCTGATACTCCAAAGTTTGTGTTGTTTTCCAAAACAAAATTGTAAGAAAGGAAGATTTGTTTTTATATAATTTTTATTAAGGATTATATTCTTTTTTTTTTTTTTGGGTTTTTTCCTTTTTTGGGATACTCCGGTGAATAAGAAGAGAAGTAGAAGAGAGACTCGAAAGGGTGTGAGGGGATGCGTTGTTTGTATTTATACCATTCGCTAACGAACCGGTCCCTACGGATCTGACGTGGTTTTTTTTTTATTGACCGAGTTTTTTATTATTATTATAATATTTGGATCTTTCTGTGACTTTTTTTTATTACTCTGACCAATAAACCGATGCCACGTCAACATTAGTGTTTGTTTTGTGCGTGTGATTTGTAACACGTGAAAATTTATATTCATATTTGATCTTTATTATTTTACCCCAAAAACAATTTAATTTTTATTATTCAAAACCTATTTCTTCATTTCTTATGATTTGACCAAACTTTGTTACGGTTATTTTGTTTTTCTTTTGGAAGTTTTTTGTTTTGGTACTTAAGTAATAGATTAAACACAATATTTTCCTTTTTATTCTGACTGTTTTAATCCGCCAGTTTGGCTAACACAACAATTGTATCATGATTACATTAATTCATCTATATAAATAATATTTTGACGAAAAAAAAGGATTAAACACAATATCTTATTATATAAACCTTGATTTTCAAAGTCAGCCATTAACAAGATCGTGACACGTGTCAATTATAAACGATAAGATGTTGACACGTGTCGTAACTAATTTTGTTAATATTTGGATAATATAGAAATATTATTAACCTTATAAAAAAGAAAATATATAAAATAAATATTATATAGAATTATATATTAAAAATTATTAATAAAATTAAACAAATAACCTAATTTCAGTTATGTCAATTTGGTTTATTAATAAGATAGAGATTTAAAATTTATAATTAACAAGAATATATGTCGGTTTTTGTTTACAGAAGAGGATTAAGGTTTAAACTTTAATTTTACAACTAAATCAGGTTATTTGTTGGTTTGGGTATATAAATGATAAATAAGAATTATGGTTTATCTTTATAAATTAAAATTATGGTTTAAGTTTAACAATTAAACGAGATTATATGTCGAAACTTGGTTTTTAAATTTACTAACTCACGTGATCATGATAAGTGTCAAGTAAAACATAAGATGTCGCAACATGTTATATAATAAGATTTTGTTAATATTAAGATACAAATAGAATTATTAAACAACATTAAAAAATAATTATAAAAAATTAAAGAGAAATTTTGAGAAATACCCCTTTTGTTGTACCCCTTTTTAAAAGTACCTCCTTTATCTATCTATTTTCAAAAATATCCATGTTTAAATATGAAAAATTATAAGGTTTTATATGGTTTATAAGGTACTTCTATATAATAACTACTAATTGGAAATTTGATACAAATATTTTATAATGTTTTAAAAGGTTTTAAATCGTTTTTACAAGTTTTATAAGGTTTTTAAATGGTTTTTAAAAGGTTTATAAGGTTTTTAAAAGGTATTTATAAGTTATTTTACGCTATTATGAAAGATATATAAAAATTTAAACATATACAAAGGTAATTTATGTGTATATTTATAAGTTTTCACACATATTTGGATAAATTTCAACATTTAAAGTGGTTTTTTAAAATAAAGTTTGAAACATGGGTATTTTTAAAAAGTGGTATGGAAAAAGGATATTTTTGATAATTAAAAGTAAAACAATTGGTATTTATATAAAAAAGTGTAATCTTATATATTTAGACACAAATTATCTTTCTATGTGTGTAAATTTAAATACCATATAAATACCTTTTAAAAACCTTTTTAAAATTATTTTAAAAACATATTGAAAAAAAAAACTTTGTAAACCTTATTAAAACCTTATAAAAGTCTTATAAATGCCGTTTAAAACCTTTTTAAAATTTTATAAATATTTTTATTGAGTCTCTCAATAGTAATGATGATCTAGATGTACTTTATAAAATATATAAAAGTTTACAATTTTTCATATTTGAAAAGGGATATTTTTAAAATGAATAGAAAATTGGTGTGTTTTTAAAAAAGGGTAAATCAAAAGGGGTATTTCTCAAAAATTCTCTTTTAACTATTAACCTAATTTTTGGTTTTGCCAGTTGTAGGTTTTACAATTATAAGGGTTATATGTTGAGTTTATAAATCTGCATTATAGTTTAGATTTTATAATTAAACGAGATTATTTATCGGTTTGGGTTTATTAAAGAGGAGTGAGATTTAGGTTTTACAATTAAACAATGTTATTTATCAAGTTTGGGTTCATAAAGGAGAATTAGGATTTACAGTTTACAAATAAATTAGATTTTGAGTTTAACTAAATACAAAATTTTATTGAGAAATTGATACCAATAACCTTTTTATGATACCCTCTTTTAAAAATACCCTCTTTTAAAAATACCCTCTTTTTGCCATTTTCATTTTTGCCCTCTCTTAAATTTTAATGGCCACTTTACCCCCACTTGAAAGAATATATTTTACAAAGGAAGGAATATTCATTCCAAAACAATTCCCGCCAAAATTTCTCGCAAAACATTTTCCTGCAAAATTTTTTTTAAAGGGTTTACAAGGATTTTTAAATGATCTTTTAATGGGTTTACAAGGGTTTTTAAAGATATTTACAAGAGTTTGTAAATGGTTTTTAAAAGATTTGCAATGGTTTTTAAAGTGTTTTAGAAGCTTACAAAGGTTTTTGAATGGTTTTTTAAATGATTTACAATTGGTTTTAAAAGTTTATATAAGTTTATAACAGTTTTAAAAGGATTTACAAGGATTTATAAAAAAGATTTACAAGTGTTTTTAAAAGGATTTACAAGTGTTTTTAAAGGCATACAAGGATTTTAAAAAGAATTTAAAAGGATTTACAAGGGTTTTAAAAAATATTTAAAAATATTTAAAAATGGATTTTAAAGGACTTACAAGGGGGTTTAAAGGTTTTAGAAGTTTACAAAGGATTTTAAAGGGTTTACAAAAGTTTTTAAAGGTATTACAAGTTCTTTAAAATGGTTTTAAAGGATTTACAAGGGGTTTTAAAGGGTTTTAGAAGTTTACAAAAGTTTTTATTAAATGATTTATCACGGTTATAAGGGGTTTAAAGGGGTTTACAAGTGTTTATAAATGTTATAAAATGATTTACAATGGTTTTAAAAGATTTACTCAATTTTTGAAAGGTTTTGGATGACTTTTAAAAGGTTTACAAGGATTTTTAAATGATTTTTAAGGGATTTAAAAATATTTACAAGGTTTTTTAAGGAATTGCGGAAAAGTTTTGGCGGTAAAATTTTTTTGGCGGGAAATTTTTCAGAAAGAATATTCTTTTTGTTGGAAAAAATATTCATTTCTTCATCATGAGTTATAATAAAGGAGGGTAATTTAATCATTTTATACATTGAAGATGGTATTTTTGAAAATGGAAACCTAGAGAGGGGTTTTGTAGAAAAGGGTATCATAAAAGGGTTAGTTGTGCAAATCCCCCAAGTTTATTCAAGATTTTTATTTTATAATATGTTATATTTCTTTAACTTTTAATTTATGTATGAATGTATTATGCCATTGAGCAATTTCATTGTCTAAAACATAAGAGTGAATAAAATGTTTTCGAAAATAATATTTTTACCTTAAATTAAAGATAACAAAGTTCAATATAAATAGTAATATAGTAATTTTAAAATATTTTTAAAGAAAATATATAGTTTTTAATAATTCGTATTTGAAATTTTTTTTTATGTTTTTCTCAACGGTGCTATAATTTATTTTAGAATCTTTATGTTTATTTGCGTTGTTTTTATGAATTTATTTACAAATGACTATATTTGTATTTAACATCATATTTTAGATAGATGTTAATTTGAAAGAACTTTACCATCATATTAAATAATAATTAAATAATTTTCATAGTCTGAGAATGATTTTTTGAAAAATTGAAAGTTAAGAAATAATTTTTTTTACAAAATGGTATAATCATATTTTAGAGGATAATTGCTAAATTTAGATTTTTTAAAATATTTTAGCAATATTATGAGTAATGGTGAATAGCTCCCAAATAGCTCCCAAATGTTTTGGTGATTGTCAATTTGACATTACTAGATTTTTATAATTAATGTTTAATAAAGAATTTTAAGATATATATATATATATATATACGTTTATTTGATACTTCAAACCGAATAAAATCTATTTCCAAATAAAAATAATTTCTCTTATTTTTTCAAAAAAAAATTTGAAAATTATTTTTTTATAAGTTCTAATGAATTTTAATTTTAATTTAATTTTAAATAAAGATAACCCGTCTATCGGACGGGTACTAAACTAGTATATTAGAAAAGAAACAGATTTGTAAAAATATATTAGTTTTGACTATGCTATGTACGGACAAAATCTTCCACTTATTTTAGAATCGATGAATTTTTTCACAAAAAAAAAAAAAAAAAACATGTAATTTGTTAGATTTATGTTGATAATATAACATCTTTTTTCTTTATTAATTTTTATTAATTATTATATATGATCTCTCTCTTGCCTATGCACTTATTCAATATACAGTACTAATGCTATGTCAAGATTCATGTTTTTTTTGTTTGACTGTCTTTTGCAATAACGTGAAAAGTAATTTTTATTTAGTGACACCTATGTTTTCTTGGTAATGATATGACCAAAAAAGTACCTGTAGGAATCTGCATATCTATTGCAGAAAAAGTTTTCATGGCATGTACGGAATTTTGTTGTTTTCATCATTCTTTAAAAGCAAATAAAAGACTTCTCGACATAAGTCTACCACAAAGAAGTAGGTTAGAGACGGGTGAGGTCGACCGATTCATGTTAAAATTGCAGACAAATCATTTAATATATTTTCTCTGTCTTTAACTTGCATATGTACAACAAAACTAATACAATAAGAAGGTTGTCATTAGGCTTGTAAGTTTATTATATCAGGAGCTAAGTAAAATGGACAGGCTTCTAGATTTATACTAAACCTTTGTTTTGTAAAAACAAGTATCAGTTTCCATTAAAATGGAAAAAAAACCACATCGCACGATAAAACTATAAAGTTTAGCAGATATTGAGAAAATGCTTGCTCTCTCTCTCTCTCTTGGTTCTGAAAGCAAGCAATTTGGCGCCTCAAGGCTTATCAAAGACAAAGGGTGTTACGAAAGAAAGGAACTTGTTCGGTTAAGACAAGAGAACCTCTATATCTATGGTCGATTAAAGACTACAATTTCGACCACATTTCAAACGAGACCAGTGTTAGGGTCTGCCAAACTACCAGCCATGCTTCTTCAAGAAGTCTCTGGTTCTCTTCCTACCTCGAGTGAATACTATTACTATGCAGGCGAGCACCCACGGAGGAAAGGTCCCAATGGAGATGTTGTTCTTGATCCACGCTGGAGGGTCTTTCAATAAAAACGTTATTAAGAGCGTAACAATCACGACTCCAAGAATGATTCTTGTGATGGGTTTGATCAGGGAATCCTGAAAACAATAAGTGTTCAAAGAAATAATGTCATCAAATGCATCACAGATTTAAAGCTGCATGTTTTAGCTTTTTTCTTTCTTCTTCTTATAACCATGGTATCTAAAGACTTTCTTTTACTCAATCAAATTCAGAGTACCATTCTAGTTACGACATGCGTCTTGTAAATCTATGATTCAGAGGTGTGTACTTCCAAGAAGTTGTTTATTTACAGTACGAATATAACCTCTACCTAAAGCTAAGGTTATATGAGACACGGAATGGTCCGAATCCACGTAAATTGAAATTCCAGTGCAATTGAAGAGTAGAGAAGCTTAAGAAAGTCTAGACTATAGCTGACATGTATAATAAGGTCTCATGGGCACAACCAAAAGAAAATCATAAAGCTTAAATGAATGCAGAAAGTGTCGAGTAATTCTACTATTCATGAAGATGAAGAACAGGTAAAAGAGACAAAAAGCAGCTATTCCTCAACCTTGCGTTCAGAGAAGGTCCAGCTGATGCAAAGCAACACTTTTACCGTGATGTCGTTTCTCTTTAGCAGTTGTAATCAACATTCACATAGCACAATTCACCACAATTTCAACACACTTCATTCAAAAATCAGTTGGGAACTATGACTAAGCTATGGAGATCGTTCTCTTTCTTAATTCCTCTTGCGTAAGTCAAATTCAAAATCAAAACAATTATAAGATTCAAGAGGATTACCTGAGGTTCACCATCGATGTAGATGACGGCACCATCCCTGTAAGGCAGCACAGACCGGCCATTCCTAGGATGAAATCGGATCGGAACAGCACGACCTTTCTCGACGTTGAAAGCGAAGATTGATTTGAGACCATATTTCTCAAGAATAGGCCTAACCTCGAGCTGATCCTGCTCATAACCGCCGAGATTTGACTTGAACACATCGATCGGACCTTTTCCACTCTTATACAAATGGATCTCCACTTCCGGCACCTTCGCCGCCGCGGCATTCGATCTCAGTTCACCGTCAGTTTGAGGCTCTTCGAGCAACGGAGTAGTCTCTTCAATCTCTTGCTGTGGATCTCTCTCCTTCTCGTTCTCCGTCATCGATGACATGACTAACGACGTTTCACCGGTCCGATCAGTTTTTTTTTTGGTTATATCAATAAGAAAGCAAAATAAAATATTCCCGTAAAACGCTGTCGTTTGGCTGGTCAAAACTGATTGTTGAAGTTTGGGCCTCAATATTGGCCTAATGGGTATGATAGACTATTTATCAATTTGGTTAGACGGTTTACCATCAGTTGTTAATTCACGGCGGAATAGATTTCTCCGGCGAACAGAGGTTGAAGAAAAATGGAGGCAGCTTTGGGACTTCTGAGGAGAATGCCGCCGAAGCAGTCGGAGACGGCTCTCTCTGCACTTCTAAGCCTCATTCCTCAGCATTCTTCTGATCTTCTCTCTCAAGTCGATCTCCCTCTTCAGGTATTTCTCTTTCTCGAGATTTGAAATGTGGTTGTTTATCTCCTAAGGTTTGTTTGGGTTTGGAGAATCACAAGGCCTTAGTTATATAGTTTCAGCGAGATTAGGATGATCTGATAGGTTTGTAGCTCGGTTGATTATCTTTATGTAGTCTGAATGAGCATCTGAGTAAATTAGACATCTGTTAACCTCTTCTGGGTCTAATTCAATGGTTTCCTAGTTATTTTGTAGAAAGAAATGTAAGTTCTTTGTCATGTTTGATGACGGTGAATGAGTATCCATGTATTGCAACAGGTGTTACGTGATATTGAAAGTGGGAAAGATTTCATCTTGTGTGAGTACAATAGAGATGCAGATTCCTACAGGTACTTTTTTGCTCTATCTCATATTCTCATTGTGTTGTGTGTAGAGAATAAATTCACTCGTGCTACATTTTAGGTTTTGCATACTTAAAAATGTTGGATGGTTTTGGTTGGTGCTCGGAAAGTGGGATCTGGTGAAAAGAAATAAGTTATTGGATTAATGATTCTTTGATAATTAGGTCCCTGCACTACTTTCTATTCATAGCTAAATTGCTAATTGTTGTTCTTGTACATTGTTACTTTTTCAGGTCACCTTGGTCAAATAAATACCTTCCTCCACTAGATGATGCTCTTTACCCATCGTCAGAATTGAGAAAGCTCGAAGTTGAAGCTAACGATATCTTTGCAATCTATCGTGACCAGTGAGGTTCTTCACCTACCTCGTTCAACTTTTTGAAACTAATTTGATAGGCGATAAAGTTATCTGAATTGGAGACACAGTTAGCATCTGATCCTAAACAAGGCTTCTGTACTCATTGTGGAGATCCATTCACTCTTCTGTTAAAATACAAATTAAAAAAATTTCATGGCTTATTCATATATCATATGTGGCATTCCATGCTTTTAATTCTACATGGCTCCTGAGGTTCGCATAATCGACTTGGAGAAAGTATCTATCAGATTGGAGACTGAAAACACTTGTAAAGTTACCCAATAGACACCTGTGCTGATCAGTTTTCTTTTCCAGGTATTATGAAGGTGGTATATCTTCAGTCTACATGTGGGAGGATGATAATGAAGGCTTTGTGGCATGTTTCCTTATTAAGAAAGGTATTTTCCTTCTGTAGAGTTCAATAACACCGAAGGTTAGGCAATGCAAACTCTTTACCTGAGCTGTTCTGCTTTTTGGTTCTTGAAGATGGGTCAAAGTCAGGTCATGGTCGGAGGGGATGCCTGGAGGAAGGAGCATGGGATGCCATACATGTTATACAGGTGACTCTCTTAATATACCTATACATACCACTCCCAAGTGCCTTTTGCGTTATAAATGTTGGCCATATTGTAATACATACTGCCTACACTTGCAACTATATTATAATTTCCTGGCAATGAGACTTCATATTTCTAATTCCCTGAGGTTCAAAATCTAGGTTGGTCCAGAGGAGGAAGAAATGGCACAGTATTGCTTAACAAGTACTATCATGCTCTCTCTAGCCACAGATGATGAGTCCTCAGGCAAATTTGGCTTATCTGGATCAATTAGAAGACAAGTAAGTATTACTGTATTAGCTTCTATTGAATACATGTCTTCATAGACAAATAGCTCCTAGTAGGAGTCTAGGAATAGTGATTCAATGGTGGAATACCAAATCTCTCGAAAAGAATAACATTATTCTGCTACTGTTGAAATTAGATGAAAATGGAGCTAGCAGTAGCTGAGGGACATCTGTGCAATATGGGGAGAATGATTGAAGAATTGGAAGGCAAACTGAGAAACTCACTTGATCAGGTTCTACCCCCAATCCCGTACTAATTCCCCAAACTCTTTCTACTTATGCAACCTCCAGATAAGCTATGTGGTTGCTTAAATTACCGGAATTTGGATTGCTTAGTTATATGCTATGTGGTTGCTTACTTTACCCGCACTCGGATTGCTTAGTTAGTTAATATCAAGGTTACAGTTCTGTGATCTATCATCTCATAAGTCAATCTAGTATGTTGGTCCAAAGTTTGATAGTTTGTTTTGGTGACACCGCAGGTTTACTTTGGGAAGACAAGAGAAATGGTTTGCACATTGCGTCCACCAGCTGAGATAGTACAGATGAGATTACCTGACACCTGATGCTCTCCTCCCGTCACTTTATATTAGAACATCTCATATCTTCGATTGTTTTGTTATGTTTGATTATTCTGATTTCAAACGCTTCCCCCTAGTGTTATGTGTGTATGCCTCTTACTTGGTAGTGTTTTCTCTGACTTCATCATCAATCATGTATAACCATCTTTTTCCATAGATATGCAACAATGATACGTTTTTTTAAGGTAGTTTAAAAACTGTAGAATGAATATAAGAAACAATGATAAACTCACAAAGAACACAAAATAAATCACAATTGATCATTTTGTTGTAATGCATTACTAGTAATGAAGATATATTGAGTAACTCACAAGGAACCAAAACTGGGTGATTGGGGACTTAAGAAGCTGTTGAAACAAGACTCCTCTGTCAACGGTGAGGATAGGGGACAGCTTTTCCGGTGCTCTTCCTCTCGAGGCTGTGAAGCCTCAAGTTATCCAATGGACGGCTTATTCAACTGATTAACTCCAGCATGAACCTATAATAAATACAGAAAAAAAATTATTTTATTTCGATTTTTATTTTTTCTCGCAATATATATTTTTCTGCCGTCGCAAAATTTGTAAAGTTTCCATTTATTGTTTTCCTTTTTCCCTTTTCCCTTTAATTTGTTGTGAAAAAATAAATATATTCTCTCTTGGCTTAATAATTAGTAATCTCATTCATTCATTCGTGTTTAATTCTTCTTACAAGGCAAAAACTGAAAACAATAAGGCAAGTCCTAAACCGTGGTCGAATACGAAAAAGATCTCTCTGTCTGAGAGTTTCACGGAACTCCCTGGTTCGAATTCAATTGAAAAAAAACTCGTTCTAAAGAACCCGTTTCTATTTAGGAAAGGAAGAAGATGAAGCCGCGCTTCACCTTCTTCTTCGTTATCTTCTGTTGAATTCAATGGCTTCATCATCCCAACGTCGCTGCGTTTTTGGTAACTTACTCTTCTTCTTCTCCTATCACTCTGCAATTCTCTTTGATTTTGGATTCAATTAGTTTAATTTTTTTGTTTTGTTTGTCTAATTTAGTTGGGAACATTCCTTACGACGCAACCGAGGAACAACTCAGAGAAATTTGTGGAGAAGTTGGACCTGTAGTCTCGTTTAGGTCAGTTTATTGTTCAATTCGGGTCTATTTGTTTTAGGGTTTTGTTAAAGGAATCACCTTTCTTCCAAACGAAACAGAGGAGCCTTATATAAACTATGCTGTTTTGCTTTGTTGGTTCAGATTAGTTACCGATAGAGAAACTGGTAAACCAAAAGGCTACGGCTTTTGTGAGTATAAGGACGAAGAAACGGCATTGAGTGCTCGTCGTAATCTTCAGAGTTACGAAATCAATGGCCGTCAGTTAAGAGTTGATTTTGCCGAGAATGACAAAGGAACTGACAAAACCCGTGATCAGGTTAGGTTACTCCTCTCTTAACTTCTTTATTTGTTGGATGGTTTATAACTACTGAAGTTTTCATTCTCATGATGTTATAACTAAAGATGGTAACTTTGGATTTTAGGGTCAAGGAGGAACTGGTTTGCCTGCTACTACTGGTATGTTTTGTTTCAGTCTCTGAGACTTTAATGACCACAGTTTTCTTAAGATAAAAAAGACTTATCTTTGTTTTCCTTTCTTTTGGCTGTTTAATGACAGAATCTCAAAAGCAGATTGGAGGGCCTGGAGAGTCGAATATGCATCAGCCTGTCGGTCTCCACCTTGCTATGACTGCTGCATCTGTTATGGCGGGTGCGCTAGGTGGTCCACAGGTCGGTTCACAATTTACACAAAGTACTCTGCAGGTTCCAGCTAGTGATCCCCTGACTCTTCATCTTGCCAAGATGTCTAGAAGTCAGCTTACTGAAATTATATCGTCCATTAAGGTGTGTATCTTGAATATCATTGTTTCTTACTTTTTATTTTTGGTGCAAAGTTATACTATTGGAAGCGAGTTGTTTAATATGATTGTGTTCTCTTAATGGTCAGTTAATGGCTACACAGAATAAGGAACAAGCTCGACAGTTGTTGGTTTCAAGACCACAGTTGCTAAAATCTGTTTTCCTGGTAATAACTCTTCTCCTGATTATGCAAATTGTTTGACTCGTGCAAAATAGTTGTTGGTGATTCATGGGAACTAGGAGGGAACAATCTGTTTTATTTCTCTGTAGATATTGTGCTCTTGATATATATATGCTATACACTTTTATGTTTTTTTTACATTCCCATCTAATGTGTCATGAGTTGAACCATATTCTGACCTTCATTGCCCCCTCAACTAGCTGAGAAATGTCTCTACCAGGGTGTTTTATTGTTTTAGCATCTCTTATTTTTTTCATTATTGAAAAATATTTCTTATGACACTATGATCCTTACACCATCTTTTGAACCTGTACTTTGTCTACTGTTGTAGGCGCAGATAATGCTTGGGATTGTGAGTCCACAAGTGGTAAGTGTTCCATCTTATTGAACAGTTTATGCTTATTCATTCTCTATCTGTCATGTCTGAAGAGGACTCTTGTCATTCCTGAATTATGCAGTTGCAGACGCCAAATATTGTTCAAGCCCCAAGTCATATGACAGGGTCTTCAATTCAAGACACGCAATCATCTGGTCAAAACCTTTTACCGCCACTGGCACAAAGGCCGCAGCAGCTAAGTCGCCCTCCTCATAGTCAGCTTCCCGTTCAACAGTCTTCTAAACAACCTTTTAGTCAGATTCCACAACTAGTAGCACAACCAGGTCCTTCTTCTGTGAATCCTCCTTCTAGATCTCAAGTTAAAGGTCTCAACGAAACCGCTCCATTCCAACGCCAGCAAGTGGTTCCAGCTTCCACCAGCATAGGTTATAGTAGTCAGACCTCAGTTCCAAATAATGCTATCCAGCCATCTCAAGTACCTCGCCAAGCATTAACAAATTCTGTGATGCAGGTGAGTTTCCACAATACCTTCCTTTTTAGAGAATGAAGCCAAGGTGATATAAATTTAGTTCAAAAGTCTTTGCATAGCTTAGCATCATGGCATATAAATGTTTACTTTGTGTATCAATCACATTCTTTCTTTTATTTGTCTTTTTGGATTTTTCTGTGAAGATAACTTCTCGTCTGTGTTTATTTACATTACAGCAAGGTGGGCAATCTGTATCATTAAATTATGGCAAAAGAATAAACGAGGGTCCTCATCAATCAATGAACAGACCATTGAAGATGATGAAAGTGGAGGATAGGAGAACCACTTCACTCCCTGGAGGTCATGCATCTAATTCTATGCTTCCGAATCAAGTACAAGCTCCCCAGGTATTATCAATCACATAATTTGGAATCGCTCAGAAATGCCTCGAATGAAATCTATTAACCTGCAAATATTTACCCCATGATTTATTCTCTTTATCCAGGCACATATATCACCTGATGTTCAGTCAACACTGCTCCAGCAAGTAATGAACCTTACGCCAGAACAGCTGAGATTGCTGACGCCAGAGCAACAGCAAGAGGTCTTAAAGCTGCAACAAGCGCTCAAGCAAGACCATATGATGCAGCCTTCATAGCTATGAGGTAGTTGTCTTCTAATATCATGAACCTTCTCAATTCTCCTTTTTTTTTTTGTTAGTATGTTGTTTACATTGTTTTGCGATCTGATCTGATTCTCGTCTCGGTTTCACCTCTCTTCTATACACAGGGGAAAGCAGCTCGGTTGGTCAATTTCATTGCAGAGATCAAAAGGGTTTTTTTTCTGATGCAACTGACCATAGAAAGAAGAAGGCTCTCTCACCTGAATTGAGGCGAGTGATTGTACGATTAGTGTAGCATTTATTTGTGCTGAGTTTGTCTTATAGAAGAACCATTCAGCCATCAAAATATAAAAGGAAAGAGAAAGTTATAAGTTCAAAAGTCTCAGAATAACTGTGTTCGTCTCTTCTTTTCTGCTACTGTCTTTATTTCCTGCATTAACACACAACTCTCCTTCGTTGGTTTTAATCCCGTGGCCCCTGGTTTGGTCACTGGTGAAGATTTTAGTATTTCGTCAATAAACATTTTATTTTCTCACTACACAAAATTTTCGTTTAGGATTTACAAATATTCGAGGAAAAATAATTAAGGTGGATTAAAACGAGAATTAAGATTATTTTATTTGATGCTTTTGTTCAAGGGATCATTCTCATAAAATGTATTAGAAAGAATTACTTAAACATAGCACAATTGTTGGTTTATTGTATAAACAATAAAATCATTCGGATCAATGGTTTTTGGACATCAAAGGAATATCCTACGAATGGTTCTAGCGAAAGCCCGAGACGCCAATCTTCCAACCAAGTCACCTGGCAACTGAAGCAACCTCTGTTGCGACTCCTGTGGAAGCTGCCACATTCATGCAAACGCCCAACAAATAAGTTCAATTAGTCTCGAATCATAAAATTAATATAAAACTGTAACTGATTAGTAAAAAGTTGAGTTCAGATTTGCAGTAGAAAAAATGTAAGGGATTAGTAAAATTGATTTCAGATTTGCAACATCAATTGTTACCTCAGGTAAGATGGAGAGAATAGGAAGCATCTCTTGTGCTGATGGAAGCTGAGACATGACGAGTGATGCTTCGTCTACAGGTGTGAGGGCCTCACCATATTTGCTAATCGCTTTTACTTGCTGTGAGTTTGTTGCGTAAACCTTTAAGATAAAGTTAGTCGAAGAACATTTAATCTACTTTACACAAATCAGAAGAGACGAGGAATTTGTTACCGTGCTTACGCTTCCGACCTTTTGCATCCCTGAGAACAATGAGATGAGTCGATAGAAGGTTCTAAGGTTTGTCATGTCTTCTTCTGACAATGAACTCAATCCCCTTGAACCAGAAAATGTGAAGGACTCTAAAGTTGCCAATCCAAATGCATCAAGACCCTGTTGATAAGACAGACCAATGCTTTTGATCAACAACGAATTCTATGTAATACGTGTCAAGCCAGTCAGTATGTTGGACAACCCTTCGATTAAACTGTTTTCCTCACAATTGATTGAACAGCTAATCAGAAAATTGATTGCTCACCTTGGCGAATTCTCGAAGAAGGATTTCTCTTACAAAAGAACCCTGTTTAACGTTTCAAGAGTTTAAGTAATTGTAACATAAGTTTAATAATTCATAGTACAAAAACTACCACTTCATTTTAATTATATATACCTGTTCCGTGAAAGTAAAAGCAAGCATTTGCTTCATGGCGAC